ACTACTACTACTACTACTACTACTACTACTACTACTACTACTACTACTACTACTACTACTACTACTACTACTACTACCACCGCTGCTTACTAGGCTAATCTCTTATGTCAAGTTATTCACTCTAGCGGCACATCCCTTGAAAAAGGCCAACTAGTGAAGCAAGCACCAATTTCCAAAGGTTTCTGATTGTATTAGAATGTCAAAGGAACCCTCCACCCATGCTTCCTGTCTGATTGTCACCCCTAACACTCCATACATGAAAATAACAATATACACGCCTCAACCACTTTCCCTCGCTCTTTGCTTCACTCCCCAGAAACAATAAGCCCTCCACTTATCAACCTACAATGTTCTGCCCAATCTGTCATCCCAATCACCTCTATGTCGAAGCCCCCGTCTTCATAACAAGCTTTCAAATCCACGAGACCCACGGCACGACAGCCCCAGATGCAAGGTTCCCCAGCCTCACTACCTTCGACCAAGGCCAGCTCAAGCTGGCGCAACATCTCAGCACGATTCTTCCTCATGAATGCCGCCAGTCTTTCGAGGCATGCCGCATCGCCGCTCTAAAAGCCTACGACGGGTTTAAAAAGCTCACCGACCTCCACTCCTTTCGCTACAAGGCTATGTGTCCACAGGCTGATGTCGCTGATGGCCCTAACACCGACACCAACACTGACGCTGGTGCTGGCGTTGAGGCTGACAATCCAGGCCCTCCCAGCGATTCATACGAGCCAGAACCAGAGCAGCCAAACAAACCAGATTATCCCGACCTTCCCCCTGTCCCTGTTCCCTTCTCCGCATTTGCTCTACACTGCGCGTCCATCGACCACCTCCTCAACTGGCCCGTCCTTCACAACCAAGACACCCTAACCGTTTCCCATCCGCCCAAGATACCGCCTGAAATACTCTCCTTCATGGTGAATCAGTCTGCTTACGAGGCATACATGGACGCGTTCCAGGATGAAGTGGACCAGTACATCACAGGCGTCTACGAGGGATATGGAAAGGCGAAGAAGGATTTGGAAGAGACAATTTGGAAATCAGGGATAGGGGAAATGAATATACGCATGTGGAGACAGTTCTGGGAGGAGGGCTTCCTGGCGCAGAATGAGAAGTGGGAGGAGGACCTGAGGAATGTGGTGCTGCCGGAGTGGGATGAGATCGTAGATGAGTTGTATCAAGCTATCTTGGAGAGAGTTGAAGGGGCGGACGGGATGATGAATATGTTGCAGGCTTCTGAGAGGAAGGGCGAGGATGGTGAGGAGGGTGTTTTTGTTGATGATGATTCAGGTGAGTGCCTTCCATAATGGGATTGATGATGGAATGTTAACCCCTGTTCTAGCTAGCTTCTCAAGCTATGATGCGATCAGCTCTGTGGTGGAAGATATTGCGTCGATGTAAGGCGTCTTGCACCGTCTGGAAAAGACCTTTAGGTGAGACCTACATCGAGGCGTTTGACGCTGTGCTGATCCATATCCTGCGAAAAGAAATAGTCTTCAAGCGAAATATTGGGAAGAACAAGGGGATAGTCATTTCATTTTTTGTCTAAACTGTATCCAAGGAGACACAAATGAGAATCAGCTAAAGAAATATCTGAGAGAACTTAGGAATACCTGACGATACATTCATTGTTGCACAGCAGCAATGTCACGTGTGAAAGAAGCCCTATCATCGTTACCGCTGATTTTCACTTCTCGATCACGGATTTGTCAACTTCCTACTGTGAATGCATGTCATGGTGTCTGTTTATCTTTACTGTGTGACATCATGATATTCATGATCTTTCCAGGCTGGTGGATGTGTGTATGATATCCGACTATCCATCTCAACCCTGTCCTTAGCTCTGGTTACCCGTAGGTCTAAATGATGTCAGGAAATAGTTAAATAAGTCACAACCTTCACATCCATGGCACGTCTGCATACCTATGTCGGATGTATCGTCCTCAAGACCTATGTAGGTATGCGCTACTTATTTACAATGAATTATTCTTGCAGCTTTCTCTTATTTTGCCTGGCAGTATTACTTTCCCCATGTTCTTTAGAAACGACACATTCTTGTTCCTTTGAGTGAAGACCAAACTATATAGCTAAATATGTAGCTTATTAAAATCAGGACTAAGCGATGTAGCTAGGGTGCAGGCAGCATCAGGCGCCCAAAATGCTATTCGGTCACATGTCAGGTACCAAAACATGAGCCTGAACAAGACAATCTTACAACACATTTCCATTCCTCGGTAAAAGGCCATGGACATATCAACAGAGCGCCAGTTACACTTCCCAGGAAAAACACGGAAACAAGAAACTCATCTAGGACGGACATCATGTCTCCTTTGCAGGCAGAGTCCTACAATGGGAGAAAACATCCTTGGTGTGTCCTCTTCTCCAATTATCTGTGCCCATCTAACCGATTTACAGACTTGACCCAACGGCTACTGAAAGCCAACGTGTGTAAACCCCCATGTGTCAACTGTTCGCTTTCGCCATACCCCCTTGTTTGGTTCCACAAAACCTGCTACGACGTCCTACATGGTAGCTATGAGCCACGCGAGAAACCTTCCCTCGAAAATCTAAGGAAGTTTGCAGATACAATAAAGCCCTCTTATAGAACTACATATGAGGGGATTGGAGAAACTCATTCGGCCTGGGAAGGACCCACCAGCAATTATACTAGAGATATTATGCAAACCAGTTTCAAACAGGACTTGTTTTGCCGATTACCGCATGAACTTCGCATCATGATCTCCGAGTTGGTTGATCCGTGCTGGTTTTTAACCTTGCTCGGGGAGACTCGTCGATTGATTGAACAGCTGCGTGATGATCATGAAGTTCCATGTGCGAAGCTCAATATAAGACGAAAACTCTGGATTTCTAGAGTCACTTATAGGGGCGTTCCTTATTTATCAAGACTCGGCACTGACACTACCAAAAAGCCAATAAATGGCTCTGACCAGGACTGTATAGAGCTGCCGGATAAACTCGTGAGGGTAATCTTATCAGTTGACTATATTGGCCTACGCGGGATACAGTTCATCGGCCGTGGTTCAAATCCTTTATCGGATGAGTCACCGTGGTATGAGATCCTTGAGGTTAAAGACTCTCGATTGAATATTGCTGTGAACTGCAATTTATGAATGCCAGCTACTGACCTATATGCAACTACTAAATTAACTAGGGGGGGGGGGTTTCGTGAGAGGGATCAAGCTCATCCCAGACAAGTCAATTTCTACATACAGGATCTGGAGCTCACCTTTTGTTCTAAGTTATCAAATGAAGAACTGTCACCACGCTCGAGATAACCCTCGCCTACACTACATTAAGCTCGGTAACCATGTTCAAGGCCTTCTTGTTTGCTGTTGCAATGATCAGATGATTGGGATCCACTATTTTTCGAATGATTCAAAGCCGTTACGGGAATTCATCCATCAAATGCATAAACGCGCGGGTTGAAGCAATCAGTATTGGATCTATTTTCCATTGAATAAAAGTGAACACATTACATCAGCTTGGATCAGAAGGTTCACTTTTGATAACATCAAGGCTTCAAAACCTGTTTTTGTTGTAAGTTTACCTTCTCTCGTTATTCTCCCATATCTGACCAATAAGATACGAACATCTCTATCAAGAACTATGACATTCGGTCCTCGACCTCTGGGTGAAAGCATAAATGTATACGAATACTATAATCTGGTTCACGGACACGATGGTGCTATTTCAGGGATTTCCATGATGGGCTTGATCCAGACTCCAGATATATCTTAGAAGTTGGAGTGACCTGCAGTGACCTGTATCACAGGAGGACTATGAAGTCGCCGCCTACGGATATGGATATCCAACCTCCAACTCTCCCCTCTAGTCGAGAATTAATGCCAAGGACTTGGTACGCGACGAGGGCCTCACTCACAACCCTTGTCAAAGTCCAGGTCTGCAGGGACCGGAATCAGCCACATTGCCCTTGTCTGGGCCTCCTCTTGTTCTACAGCGACGATCATATTGAATCCATTGGGCAGATACGCTGGGAGCTTGGTTTGACACAGGAGGCTCTAGGGCCCAGGTTTATTGAAAACGGTACCATTGACGGACGGAATTAAATTAAGGATGTCCGAAACAATTCCTATGGCGCTGTGCTTCACAACGCAGATCCCAATCAAGTGCAAAGGCTCCCACAGTCTGGCACTATTGTCTGGTGGTTCGGTCCACTTGGCGACAACGTACTCGTTCATTCGGAAGAATCCTAAATGCTGCAGTTTGTTGTCACTTAATTCTATACCCCAAGGAAGTCTAACAATGGCAGGTTATTGGTGATGTCGAGGTCAAATTCAAAGATGATTTTATAGCTAACTGTCATTTGTTCTCCTGCAAGGGGCTTTTAGAATGCTGTATAGGGAACTTTTGCTTTCATTCAGCATAATTCTCGCATTCTACCATGTAATCAGTCTCTAAGAACCAAGCCAAGTATAGTGGGAAAACCAATGTACGCACACTAACTAAGGTAAAGCACACTGGAGAAGCCCACCTCTCTATCCGAAAATGTCCCACATATCTTCTTTGAGACAAAAAGAGACATAAAATGTCATTGTCCTATTCTTTGTTTCTCTCCCCCATTTACCATTTAGCCTACATAGTCCTGATCCCTAGTATTTAAAGCACACATACCCAACGCCCAAACGCATTTACATACTCCTTGCTAGTCATACACACCACAGCACTACAACCCCCTACAACCCCCTACTACACACCTACTTACCAACCTCCTACACTAACCCTTACAAACCCCCATCCCCATCCCATACCCACATCCACACACTCACATTGCCTCTCACAACCCAAGATGTGCAACTCCCAAACCGCAAAATTCACCCGCTGCGGATGCATCGTATCCAAGGCTCCTGTGGTCTGCGAACTGGGCGAGTCGTGCCCATTATACAACAAAATGGAGATTGTCGATGAGGACCATCTTTGCCTTGAGTGTTATTTGGACGCTGGGGGAGAGGCTCGGTGGTGGCGTCTGGTGAAGGAGTTGGGTGCTGAGGAGGTGGTAGTGGAAGGGAATGATGAGAGAGAGGAGAAGGAGGGGAACAAACAGGATCAAGCACTGAATGATTCGGAAGAATCAGAAGAATCAGAAGACACACTGGAAGAAGTGGAAATAGCTGAGAACACCTACAAGGAAAAAGTTGAGGCAGAACCTGCAGAACCTGACTATGGGGTGGACGTGTCGAGGGATTGCTATCCTCCTGTTACCGTCACTTTGGCGGATCTCCAGCTGAGAAAGGAGGAGCGGAAAGAGGCAGAGGTGGCGAAGTTGAAGGTGTTGTATGGAGAGGATTATTTCGAGGGAATTTGAGCTTCAGATGGCCCGGGTTACTGGTCTTTCCTTTCATTTCCTTTCCTTTCCTTCCAGTTTTGGTGCTCGAACAGTGCAGCGTTATAACTACTATTCTACAAAGAAAAAAAAAAAAAAAAAAAAAAAAAAAATTTCAGTTCGATGAGGTGATATCATAGTGCAACAATTCATATTCCTGGTCTCTTATAATAGCTCATAGGAAAAACCTGTATCTAATAAGTACGTATCAAACGCTAGCATTCAATCGTTCCAATCGCGATGTGATTGCATCAATCACAGCAGATCTGTAAGATATCATTAGCATATACCGCGACATACAACATAGGTCTATCAGAATACTCACTCTCGTTCCACCATTTGTATGGCATCAGCCACCTTGGCGCGCTGGAGTCTATGCGGCACTCTCGGCTGCGAACCACCTGGAGATGCTGGGCTTCCAGGGTCAACCGACACCGGAGTCTTGGCCGCGATGGATTTGGCATCAGCCACGAGATCGTCGGCAAGATCTTTGACCTGTATCTATAATTAGTATAGTTACCCAGGCAGGACAATGTCAACTTACAGCATCAATTCGTTGAGTTAGCTGCTGGCCATTCTCCCGACTTTCAGACGGAGTACTCTCAAAAGATTCGGAAAGCGTCTGGACCTCAAAAACCCACGATTTCTCCTTCTCGCTAAGTGGTCGGCCACCTGACCAAAGAACTCGAGTGCGCAAAGCTTCGTATCGCTTCACGAGCTGTCCCTGTCGGTCCTTTGCAGCCTGCATCCGCTTGTCGAGGGCTTCGTTCCGGGATTCTCCGTTGCGTTCGTCGGCACCGTCATTTGAGACGTTTTTGATCCTTTGGGCGACATCGGCGAATTGTTTTAGCTGTTCCTGCATCTCTTCCTGCAACCGCTCACAGCGACGGAACAGATCCGACGCCGCTCTCTCGAGCGCATTCGTGTGAGCAGACAAGATTCTATGGGCGGCAGCCACGATGTCCAAGGTGGCCGGAGACAGGCGAACCTGTTCTTTCAGATGAACACGCTCGCGGTGAGGAACGTGCTTATCGACAAAGAACTCCAACGGAGGCTCCGAGTAGAAGACAGCGGGCACCTGGTAAGGGGGTCGTCGAGGTGGCAAGACAGGAGACCAAGAGGTTTGGTCTGTCAGATCAAACGGCCGTCGATCAGCCGCCGATGGGAGGGAGACCACCGGAGCATCCATAACAGCGGCATAGGGTTGAGATGTGTGGTAAGTAAGTAGTAGATAGCCAAGGTCGTAATCATAATACACAAGGGAAGACGGTAAGTGGTTTGCTTGCTCTTCAGCACCACCGTGCACTTCATCTAGTTCAAGAATCTGCTCCCTCAATGACACCGTGCCTTCACAGAGAACCGCGAGGCGGAATGCCGAGCCTGATGTGTCCTCGGATGCAAGCTCTGCTTCTAGTCTCTGCGCCCAGGAAGAAAGCGAGAGGAACACGACATTCTTTTCGTTGGTAACGAAGAAGTTGTATCGCGAGTGAGCGTCTCGCGTGAATGTGGGCCAGTTTTTGACTGATGCTTGCCCTCCCTTGAAGGTGTCCAAAGATTCCACCAAAAGCAAGTCAGACGGGTCGGAAGTTGGCGTACGGAAAGCGTTCCTTTTGGCTCTTGGGAGCCATTGACCCTCCACACCATCGAGTTCCAGACAAATATGAACCCTACCACTTCCGGTCGATAGACAGACAATGGTGGCTGACAACTTGTCATCTCCATTATCATCTACGGCAAGGTCAATGTCTTCACCCATCATGAGGGCATCGGTGTCGATTTTGGATGCGGTCACAAGGATATCGCAGAGGTCCAGATCCTCAACCTCATCGCCAGTGTCGATGCGGAAAGGTCCCTGCAACCTAGGGATGGCGCTGGGATTGGCGGGGCGAGATCGGATTTCAGACGAAGCTCCGGTTTCTGGGTCGGAGAGAACGTGCAACGGGTCCTGATTATCGATTTCTGCCAGCCAGTCATACTGTTGCTGACATGCCACGAGCTCATCCTCGGCTTCGGAAGGGTCTTCTTGCGATGCTGCCAATTTCGGGATGATAGCTGCGGACAGCGAAGGAACAGTCGTGGAAGGCGCCCTCCATTTCGACGGAAGCAAAGGGCACAGGGCGTAAAGATCCCCAGGCTTCATAGCAATCCACAAGGTCATCGGTGCCCAGGCATCTTCCGTCTCGTTGCCGCTACCGCCAAAGCAAGCAGATGCCACTTCCATGTCGACATAGTCAGCAGAAAATCCTTTGTTCTTCCCGAAACCTGAGGGGGCGAAATCCTGATCCGACGAAGTGCCATCTACCAGCTTTCTCAGGTCAATCGCAAGAGAGGGCCGGTCAAAAGACCAATGGTCATTGCGGTCCAATTCCCAGACCCGCACCGCCGCATCTACTGTGACGGTCACAATGCAGCCGGCCGAAGTGCTGTTTGCGCCGAGCGGATGCCAAAGTGCGGACACGACAGGCGACTCCGGGATGACATGCGTCGTGGGACCAAGCTGATAGTATTTCACGCGGATAGGGCTGTTGTCAGTACCGGAGAGGTGGGATGGATCCGGGAGCACAACGATGTAAACAGTGTGGTCTGCCACAACCGCGAGGAAGACGCCGTCCGGGGAGGGAATAAGCTGGCGAATGTTTTCGTAGACAGGGACCAATAGTTCCTATATTTGTCACCATCAGCATAAGCCATATGTATTTATATTAGGAAATGATGCGCGATCCCGTACCCTGTATTGTACATTGCGACTGGAATCCGTCTGTTCCTGAGATCTTGTTTGCTGCTGCCACTGGTCCTTCAATCGCGTCAAGTCAGACCAGCGGATGTGGTTGTCGACAATCGTGAACACCTCATTGCCTCGCTGAGCCAAGGTGCGCGAAGGTCCGGTATAGTCAAAATCCTTACGAAGCTTCTGAGAGGTAGTTTCAACGCCTTTCGTAGCTGTGTCGGCAAAGAGCGAAGCGCCGGGCGAGGGGCGCGAGAGCCAAGGGGGAGTATAGCTGATAACTTTCGGCATTGTGGCGGTATAATTAGGACAGGAACATTACTGCCCTGGGAGGGTCCGGAAATCAAGAGAGAGGTGGTCTCAAAGGCGAGAAAGCGACGACGACAAGGGGAAACCGCGACGGCAACAAAGACAAGAGAGAGACAGAGGAGCTCCGGGGAAATTTTGGCGGAAGCTGGTCCGAGCGCGCGCCAAGAGCGGCGCAAGTTTCCTTGCGTTCCCCGAGTGAAGCTCTGCCAAACAATCATCCTCCCTTTGACCAGTCCCTGCCATTCATTCATCAGCCAACTGATTTCCCTACACACAACATGAGCACATTACTCTACAACACAGTGGACAGGCTGGATCGCCCCAGTGCCTATTACGTGGGAAAGGTCGGTATCCACCCAAGCTGCACCTCCCAATTGGCTACCAGCCGTTTGACCTCAGTCATTGACTTGTTTCGGTTTGCAGAAGAAGCGCAGATACCAGGAAGAACAGGAGGAGCAGGAGGATCCCAATGCCAAGCTTAGAGGTGCGACCACGCTCTACGTCGGTAATCTGTGAGTTCTTCAGCCCCGAACTCCCGTGGTTTTGTCGCTAACCGTCCCAAGTTCGTTCTATACGACCGAGGAGCAGATTCATGAACTTTTCTCGAAGTAAGACACCCTTGTTACCGTTCCACAGGCTACCTGCATACGCTAAAACACCGTCATAGATGCGGTGAAGTTAAACGATTGGTGATGGGTCTCGACCGATTCAACAAAACGCCCTGCGGTTTCTGCTTTGTGGAATACTACACTCACCAGGACGCTTTGGACTGTTTGAAGTACGTGGGAGGTACCAAGCTTGACGAGAGAATTATCCGGACGGATCTAGACCCTGGGTTTGAAGAGGGACGGCAGTATGGGTATGTGGGATCTATCTTGCATTTAAACAGAGCGACTTCTAACGCTGCTCTAGCCGGGGCAAGTCTGGTGGACAGGTCCGTGATGAATACAGAGAAGAATACGACCCCGGCCGCGGAGGCTATGGTCGGGCCTATGCCGACGACCAACGACAACGAGAGGAAGAGGAGTACGGGCAAGGTAGGTGAAGTGGGAACGCGTTCTATTTCCAGTGGCGCATGTACGGCGTTTGCATCATATCTATTCTATCAAACAATTGGCGCATCAAACCAAAGCTTCATCCAGACCGCCCAATATCTCCCAGATAGGTACTGTACACTGTACAACTCGTGCAAAGGGTAAATGCGGGGTATCAGCACTGTTCTAATTTGTGTCGTCGCCGGATGGAATCCTCCACTTGGCGCAGCCACCATGAATGAATCCTGGCATCGCCGGTCAGCTCGGGGTGGAAGCTTGTTCCAAAGACGTTGCCCTGTCGGACAGCAATGATATCCCCGGCTTCCTTTTCTGCGTCGATGTTTCTGCCCTCGCTGGCCAACTTGGCAGCTCTGCCCGGGAGAGTAGCCAGTATCTCAACATCAGTGGCCACTGCGTCTCGGGCTGCGGCATCCTTGGCGTGCTTCGAAGGCGCTACCACCGTTTCGTCTCGCTCGATTTCGTCCACCTGAACGCCTTCCTGGTGCGGTAAAATCTTCTCTACCACCGGCGCACGGATGAAGACGGCCGGGAAAGAGGATTGGGGGCCCGAAGGGTCCAAGAACGGGAGATCCAACGGCGCCTGGAAACTCTCCGTCTGCCGGCCGAAGTGGTTCCGATTCACGCGCACGTCAAGACCCCCGATCAGTTCCTGACCACCTTTCTTCGTCCGATTAGCAGACTCGGCGAGCAGGATCAGACCGGCGCAGGTGCCCCAAGTGGGTTTGCGATGAACCCTATCGGCGAGTATCCTGTCAGCCTAAGGAACCTCTATAAATCAGATGAATGGAACGATGAGACATACTTCACAAACTCTCTCAACGGCTCCAAGAGATTCGACCGGGCGGCGACCAGAGACATGGTGGTGCTCTCGCCACCAGGCAGGATCAGAGCGTCGCATCGCTCCAACTCCGGCGGGGTTCGCACTTCGATGAACTCCCATTGCGACGAGGAGGCCAGATCGGTCGCTGCCTGTTTCAGCAGCTGGACATGCTCGTAGAAAGCGCCTTGTAAGGCGAGAACCCCGACGGTGATGCTCATTGACACTCGTAGAATTGAAATGTCCGACTGAGTCACGGATTGGCCACTCTGACTGGCCGGAGAGTATCTAAATAGGCCCGCTTATGTAACAGGGTCAACGTTGTTCCGTCTTATCAGCACGTGTTGCCCCGCATCGATAAGGTTTCCCGTTGGGTAAGTCACATGTCTGGTGTCTGGTGCCTCGATTGTTGTGTTGGCTGAAGGCTGACTTCGTACTTCTTCCCCGTAAGAAATCCATTTTTGCGTCTCATTGCAGCCTCTTGTCGACCACATTGTCCTTCTCATTCGGATACCTCTCCGCTGCTTCTCCTAACCATGAGCCGTTGACCAGACTGGAAACATATCTCCCATACCTAATCATCAACCCCGCATTATATCCACCACACCACAAACACCATCTCCAATTCTCATCTCCACACCATAAACGCAATGGCGACAGCACAACATGAAGCCAATCATCCCCTTATTAGATGGTACATTGACACTCGGCCCCTCACATCCACCATCTCGACTCTCCCCCTCCTAGAGACCCTACAACCCGACGACCAGGAGACCGTCAAACGCTTCTACCACCTCCGCGACAGACACATGTCACTAGCCTCCTACCTACTCAAGTACCTCTTCATCCACCGCGCATGCCGCATTCCCTGGTCAAAAGTGAAGGTCAGCCGCACCCCGGCACCACACAAGCGACCCTGCTTCATCCCGGACGTCGACACCACCGCAAACACCAGCAAACCCATCCCCGCCGTTGAATTCAACGTCAGCCATCAAGCCTCCCTCGTCGCGCTCGCAGGGACAACTATCCCCACAATCACTTCTACAACCCCCGCCCCAGCCCTTGCCGCCATCACCCCCTCCCCCTCCACGCAATCCCACCCGGGAAAAAACACCCCCGAAGTAGGCATCGACATCACCTGCGTCAACGAACGACGGAACACGCGCTCGCAACCCCCACCAACCAGCATCCCCGAATTCATCTCCTTTGTCGACATCTTCAGCGAAGTGTTCTCCGCGTGCGAAATTTCCACCATCAAATCCCTGCACGGCATCCCGGCACACCAGAACACGACGGACGCGCAACGCGTGGCCTACGGCTACCGTCTGTTCTACACGTACTGGGCGCTCAAGGAGGCGTATATCAAAATGACCGGGGAGGCGCTGCTGGCGCCATGGTTGAGGTTGTTGGAGTTTACTGATGTTAGGGTCTTGGATCCCGCTGCGGCCACGGGTGGGGAGGGGGAATGTTGGAATGGTCCGTATACCGGTGTGCAGACGTGGTTGGATGGGAAGAAGGTGGAGGGCGTGAGAATCGAGGTGCTTGCTTTCCAGGAGGATTATTTGATTGCGACGGCAGCGAGGGGCGCTGGGGTTGGTGCTGCTGGTGAAAATGGGGAGGAGAGGTGGTTGACGATGCAGGATATTGAGATTGAGCGGGATGTGAGGGATTGTGCGTTGGGGAGGTGTAGATGTTTGGAGTAGGGAGATTTAGGAACCTGTTTATTTGGGTGTTAGTTGGGTGGAGTTGGACCTAGATATATTTTTATAGATGCCTTGAGATGTATATCCCGGATAGCATCACTAAGACCCAGAGAATCCCCACCAGCCCGAGAACCCACCCCATTTTAGACCTAGCACTACTCAAATAAAGAGACAAAGATATATATATTAAAAAAAAAAAAAAAAAAATATAAATCCAATACGTACCATATTTTTATATATACTTTCTATAGACAGTTCAAAATATCAGTCCCTCCGACCTCCCACATCAGGGGACCCAGACCCAAGCACAAATAAAAAGAGTTCAAGAATACTCAACGACTCTGCTCTGTGTATATGAATATTTCCATGTTCTATATTCAATCAAGGGGTCTGATTATTCTATTATCTGTCTTTTTTTGTTTTATGTTTTCTGAATTTCAGTTGTTCAGTTTGTCTGTTCGTCTGCCTGTTTGCCTACCTGCCTGTTTGCAGGCGAAAATGAAGAATGTAGTTCATCGGTATCAGTTCTCGGGCTTAGGATCAAGAGGGTTTAGGCTGTCCTAAGACTGAGTACTCGGCACTAGAGGGCAGGGAAAGAGAGAAGAGGAAACAGGATCAGAGAGAAGGAAATGAAAATGCCAAGATGCAATTCAAATCTCATTTCGCGTGGTCTTTTCGACCGGTTCACACGTGTAGGTATTTAGGGAGCCGGAGCCGTCGTTAAAGAAAGAGAGAAACAGGGAGGGAAGGAGTGAAGGGTTATATATGAATATGGATATGAATGTCGTTGTAGAGACACTATGCATAACCCGGACTGGGCATGGGTTTCGTATAGGAATGACACTCGCTGAGTGGATGAAGTCCTAACGATAAGGACTGGATATAGACCGTCTAGATCTCAACCGCGGAGGAAGTAGCCCTGGTTGCGCCGTTAATATCGGCTTGCGTCTTATCCTTTTGCGACATCTCCAGGAGGGTCTTCAGCATCGATTGTTGAGTCGATTTGGTCAGGTCATCGACGTCGGCGGGGGCCAAGCCTTCGGTGCTGATGGGGGGAAGGACTGGTTTTATGTCAGCTTGATTTCTGCATGTACTTCAGCAAGCGGAGGCATGGACGCAAAAACATACCCTTGATGTCGATGGTCCCCGCATTGAATCGCATATTCCGAGGCGACAAGATATGCGAGTAGCTCTCCACCACGACAGGAACGATCGGCACACCGGCCTTCACGGCGAGATGGAACGCACCCTTCTTGAACGGCAGCATCTCTGGGTCGTCTGAGTAGCTTCTCGTGCCCTCGGGGAAGATGAAGACGCTCTGACGGTGGTTGCGCATTTCATCGGCGGCGCTATCAAAGGCCTTGACGGCCGTCTCGCGATTGGCGCGGTCAATGAAGACGGTGCGGGAGAGGGCCATGAACCACCCCAGGACGGGCACATTGCGCAAGGATTTCTTGGCCGTGACGCTGCAGTAGGGCGGGAAGACGGCGCCCAGCATGAGCACGTCCAGCTCCGACTGGTGATTGGAGATGAAGACGGCAGGCCGAGTGGAGAGGTGTTCGTTGCCGGAGACGATTTTGAATTGTACGCCGGTGGTGCAGCGCATGACCCATTTGAAGCTGCGCGCGGTGGCCCATTGGGAGACTCGGCCGTAGCCGACGAGACGTAGGACAATCGAAGCGACGACTCCGTAGGTCGCGCAGAGGAGAAGCGAGCCGTAGGCAGCTAGGCAGCGAGCGACGAAGGCGGCGCGGGGAACCTTCTGGCCGATGGCGAAGAGGGACAACGTGACGACGACAAACGAGCTGATGCCCGAGGCGATGTAGGAAAAGACCGACATGACGAGGCGAGAGGAGGAGAAAGGGCAAGGGAATGATCAAATTTAGGGAGTGAGTTTCTCCAGCTGGGGTCCGGGGTTAGAGATTATATTATATACCGGGGAAAGGGGAGGAGGGCTTCTTACTGGTGCCTTCTGATGTGCCTCGGAGAACCCGTGAATGATGCGGTCAGGCGGCAGACGCTCGGGGATGATCACAGCGGTGATTCACCAGGGACACTGGGGCATGACAAGGGAGAAGAGAGAAGATGGGCAGCTGGCAATAAAGATACGCAAGAGCAGACTACCGAAGGGAACCAAGGCGAGTAGACGGGATTTTCTTCGCTCCGGTGGTTGTTGGGCGCCTCACCGCCTTGGCCGCGATTCCCAACCGAGGAAGAAGGCGGTCCCTACGTCACTCAACGGAGATGTCTGTGGCACATGGTGTATTATCAATATGAATATCGATGGATTTGCTTTATGCGAAAGGGCCGGCCCGACAGACAATATGTTCATAACTCCCGTCGCCCGGCGTTTTCGTCTCTCATATGCAGCCAAATGCCCTGCCACGACAATGCCAACCCACGCTAATATACAGAATCAAAGTGCCTCGAGTCCTCGAGAGCTGGATGCACGGCAAATATGCACCCTCTACCCAACCAGCCAGCTAACGCCCGAAGAATGCTGATGCGTGCGCAAATGGACACCCAGGAAAGGAACCCAGCCAAATCAGAAGAATACGAAACCAAAAATGAGAAAAATGGAATAAAGAGACAAGCAACGCCGACCGTCATGAGTATAATGAGTTCCCCGGAAGACGGGAATGCAGGAGAAAACCAAATCATGCCATATCTTCATCGTCCTCCTCATCATCATCCAGGGACTCCATGGCGTCTTTAATATACTGTGCCGCCTGTAACAAGATGAAAAGTCAGTAAGTGGACGGTCATCGCAAATTACTCGGGTACCCTTACCTTGGGATCAAGATTCAAAGCCGTGGTAAAGTGCTTGATGGCGTTCCCCTTGTCGTGCAACATCTTGTAGAGTTTGCCCAGGAGATAATGTACATTAGGCTCGTCCGGGGCCATGTCTTTGAGAATCTTCAGTTCCGTCAGAGCGGATTTCAGTTCGTGGAGCTTCATGCACACGCGAGCCTTGCGGAATCGGGCAAGCACAGAGTGCGGCGCTAACAAGCAAGCTCGTCCATACTGGGTCAGTGCACCCCGGGGGTTGTTCATCTTTTCCAACACGAGACCGATGCAGCAGATCAGCACGGCGTTGGTGGGGTTGATCGTAGCCGCATTGCGGAAGTGTTGTTCGGCGAAATCGAGTTTGCCCATCTTATCGTACACCGTTGCCAATCCGTACCACGCATTGTAGTGCCTGTTGTCGGCACTGATACCGTGTCGATACGCATCGAGTGCCTTGTCATATTCCTCGTTGGCGACATATTCGTGTCCCTGTAGGGTGAATCCATATGCGAATTGAGGATCCAATTGAGTAGCCCGCTTGAAGCATTTCAACGCTTGGTCATGATCCCGTTGGTGGGAGAAGGAGTTACCAATCGCACACCATGCCTGGGGTGACAGGCGATCAACATCCATCAGTTCATGCGCCAGATGTGCTAATTCGACGTCATTCTTCAAATGCCACAGAACGGTAGAGTAGATTTCCATATCCTCTAGGCGGGAGGGCACCATTGTGCGTACTCGGACGAAGTATTTCTCGGCGTCGGAGTACATTGCTTGTTCGTAGTATGCCCGGCCGATTTGTGAAAGAACCCACGGCGTTTCGCGTTGACCCTGAGAAAGCGCGTTGAAGATCTGGATGGACTCGGAGCATCTGTACCGAGTCAGGGCGAAATGCCCGGAGGCTAACTTGGCGAATAATTCTAGTAGCCACGTGAGGGCCTCTATCGACTTGGACTTCTCAATCGCGGCGGTGCGAGATGATGTATGTTGGGTCCCGCTATGCGTGGACGCAGTTCGGTGTTCTCGACCGTCACTATCATGGATGTCACCGGCCGGCTTCCTACTACCGCTGACCACGCGACCCATGGTTGGTGCCGTTGTACTACGCCCCTTCGCTCCGGTAGCTTTAACCTTTTTCAGCTCGCGGCCGTCTTTCATGCCCAGCGTCGTCCCTGAAAATTTGCTCGTCGTCGGCTTGATCTGATTGAAAAGTCGTACGCTGCGGCGCTGCGGCGCCCCCGGCTCGGTGGGCTGTGACGTGGAGGAGTGAGCTACCTGGCCAGAAACTGTACGTTTGCGGTCCCCGACTCGCGAACTGGGGACGGTTTCCTTCTCTGCCTGGGTGGTTGCGTGCTCTTCTGACTCAGGCTTCGTCCGTGTCCTTTGCCTGATGCCCGTGGGTCTCATCTTGGGAGGCGGGTCCATTCCATGATCGGCACTCACTGACTGAATCGTGCGATTCTTCCGTGCGGGAGCAAGGGGCGGCTCCATCGGGGCATCCGTATTCCCCGCGCCATGGCCGATGCGGAACTCGTCAGATTCACTGCTTTGGCCTCCCGGTGTCTCCGTCCCTTCATGCACTATCGGCGCCGATGTCCCCGTGGAAGCCACGCTGACCGTACTTCCGTTTAACTTCTCCCATAAAACAGAGCTCCCGTGCGAAAAACTCGAGTCAGCCCGGGACGTCGCAGCTGTAAACGGGTCCATGGTTGAATTCGTGTTTGCTTGCGATTGCAGCGGGCCGGCTGCAGGGGTGGCCTTATCGGAGGTGGCAAGATCGGCGTCCTCTTGCATCGAGGAAGTAACTACCGCGAGCAGATCGGAGTTCATTTTGTATATGTTAGGAACACGGACGTTGACACCTTCGAATTTTAGTCAGTCATCGGCAATGGCCTACCCGGGCTTCAAATCTCACCAGTTTCACATAAGCCCATGAATGCATCCCACATAAACGGATTTAACCTTAAAGCTTCGACATAACAGTCTACCGCTTTGTTGTTCTCTTTGTGCGCGTACCACAGCTTGCCTAGCAGGCACATTACTGCAGCTGCGTCCGGTAAATGCTGTCTGCGCGTTTCATTGTGCTTGTCTAAAATTCCAAGAAGAACAAACATTAGTCTTGAATGGGCAGAACAGGCATCGGGTCATGTGCAAAATGCTCGCAAAGCAATCCCAAAAGCTTACTCCAATGGTTTTTCGAAGCCCATAGGCTCTTGCTCCGTTCCAACGCCGTAATTCCGTCCAGCTCTTTCCCCAGATCCAGACAGGCTTGCGCGTAGACATAGGAACAGCCGAGGTGAGTACCCCGCGATCCGAAATTCCTGCTGTAATCCAACGCCGATTTCACTTGACCGCTCAACAGATGGCACAGGGCGAGTAGGTATGAAGCTTCCGACGTTCGAGGCTCGTACGCGTGTAGACGACCGGCGAGAAAGAGAGCAGTGCGTATTAGGTTGTTGTCCAAATGGTAGTATATTAGTTGCCGCAGTTGGCTCGAGATATGGGATGTAGATGGCGACATGGTCGCGGATAAGACTGGAAGGGTTTTGGCTTTAGAGGAGAGACTCGCAGGGTCCGAGGACAAGAAGCGGTGTCGTTTGCCCTCCTCGGGGACAAAGAATGCGAAAAAGATCCAAGAACGGAAAGAGGTGGGAAAATGGGTACGTCGTGAAGGTCGAAAAGGTCAGGATCTCTCAGCATAGAAGAAACATCAGGTGAATAGGTAGCAAGTCAGGTCTTGTGTTCTTTCGTCTGACTTTCTGGAAGGCGCCGCGAGACGAAGGTCAGGAAAGCGCGATGGCGGCGAGAAAACCAAATGAGATGAAGGTTCCGAGCGAGTTAAAAATCTAGGTAGTCAAGATATCCCTTTCCCAAGAATGAATTATTTCTTCCTTTCCTTCACGTATCCTGGTTCACAATCCGAAACTGACGGGGGAGGCGACCGTGAATCTAATCAGGGCTTGTCTTGTCTAGGGAGCGAACAATCGGTCGATGCGGGTGGGCTCGTGACGCCCCTTTGGGCCAAGCAGGAGCTCAGAGAAAGACAAATTGCATATCGAGGATGACAGAAGGGGGTGGGGACAAAGACCGAGAGGACACAACGGAGCTTTTCGGGAGGCAGTAGGGGGAGGGGGGACAAGATGCAGAAAGCAATAGAGCCGGCGATGCAGACTGTCGTCACGACTTGTCTCTTTGTCGATGTTTTGGCCCGTCAACTGTTCGGTAGTCCCGTGAGTGGCTGGTGAAGGGTGCGGGCGCTTGTCCCGTTGTGGTGGGCAACGCCATTCCTTAAGCGGCGGCTTTCACTCTGCCCACGTTGAACTTACGGAGTACTCTCCCTGCTCGGTCTCTTCCTGTCTCTTGTAGTCACTCTGTACTTGACTTGTGTCTAGACTCTAGTTCCCCTCTTTGGTCTTGCTATCCGATAGGCACCATGGCTCAGGTTCGTCATTCTTCTAGTTCGGTCCTGCCTTGTTTCCTCTCACCCCAAACTGGTCAATGCAATTAGCTCACTCTCTCCCAGAAAGCAGCCAAAACCCTCGCCGCGCGCAATGCCTCCATTTTACTGCGCACACACATCATAACCCTCGGTCTGCATGTCGTCTTCCTCTTTCTCCACTGGACCTTTAACCGTCCTCGTTCCATGACCCGGTACTATCTGCTCGCCTGCCCGACGCTCGCCATCGAATTCTACCTCGACCGATTGGGTCGTCCCCAGTTCAACGCCGCCGACGGGTCGTTGCGCTCGCCTGGGGAGGATCTGGGCGCTGCCGGACTGACGGAGTACATGTGGGACATCTTGTACTGGACCTGGGGCTGTATTGGCGCCGTCTGCGTGTTTGGCGATCGGGGCTGGTGGCTGTGGACTGTCATTCCGCTGTACTCGGTGTGGCTGGCATATACCACCTTCACCGGGATGAAGAGCGGATTCGCCGGAATGGGAGGTGCCGGTGATGCCGAGCCTGCCGGGGGGGAGAGCAAGAGGCAGAAGAAGATGGAGAAGCGCGGAGGACGAGTACAGTACCGATGAGAAGTTACAAACCGGCGGCAATCAAAAATGTTGGATATTCTATGACATACTGTTCACAGAACGCACATATTTGTGATAGTTTCTTTAATGAGGTATGTATTCTTTTTAGATAACTGTGATACAGAACAACAGACACAGCGCGGGAGAAATAAAAATAGAAAAGAGGAGGAAACAACAAAAGGGAAGAAAGAACATAAAAACGAAGGCTCATCAAGGCAACATGGTATATCGTGACGTGCTCGTGCTAAAACTATATGGGGAATAAGCATGGTCGTGGGCATTCTCAGAACATTCAAACCAGAAAAGTGCGACTGGGGATATCACGCATGTAAAAGTAGCTAGATTGGACAATTGAAGCAGTATCAAATCCAGAAAAACTTGCTTCTCGATATTGGCGATTATAGATCTTCCTTGCTGGTGGTTTCGTTCGCATCGCTGGATGCATCCTCGGTTTGCGATTCGGTGGATGAAGAGTCTTCCTCGGAAACCTCCGGATGCTCAGATTCAATCGGTTCCTCCGGAATGCTGCTCTGGGTAGCTTCAATAGCATCCTCATTAGCATCCACAATCACAGGCGTTTCCGTCGCAAGTGCGGACGATTCCGTGAGTGTATTCTTATCAGTTTGAGCGGCATCAGTCGGTGACGGAATAGCTGGAGACGATTTACTATAGATAGCATGCAACCGTTTCATGACCTCTTCGGCATAAGAAGAATCCTTGCCGTCAAGTAGCTGAGAGACAAGATCGTCAATCGCTGCATAGTTGGGGGCTGGCTGGGCTGACGCTTCAGACAGGGCAGGAGTCTGAGACTCGCTTGCTTGTTTGACCGGGACTTGTTCATCGGCGGCATTTAAAATGCTGTGTAACATTTCGATGGGTTCGTCGATACTCGGTTTGTCGGTGCTTGTTTCAATATCGGCTGCAGAAACGCCCCAAGACGCCTGCTCGCCATCATGCTCCGTATCGTGGGTTTGCTCATTCGCACCCGGAACTTCCATGTCGCCGGATGAACTCGCGGAATCCAGATCGTCGGAAAGAGGCGCGTCGTCCAGGCCTATATCATGCTCCTCAGTGTAAGAGCTCGTAGCATCGGCGTCGCGATCTTCGGCATCCTGGTGATCAGGGGTTTCTCCTCCCGGAGTCTGATCGGAGGTTGTATTGCGTTTGGGGAGAGCGGGTGGCGGGTCAGACCGTGTTTCGAAATCCTCGCTCACTTCACGAGCAGCAATTTTCCACTTGCCAACGTCCTTGAGTCGGGCTAGCTCTTTTGCAGCGCTTTCAGCGGCATCCATTCCGCGGCCCAAGATGTCATCCGACAGCACTCTAGCCTCCTCCACTTTGATATGCCGCAGTCCCACTGCGCGAAACTGAATCCTCCAGTCATCAAACTGTGCTTTTAGAGCATGGTACTTTTCCCAATCCTTGTACGTGATGCCCTCCATCCGGGCCCAGCGGATCCCGATCTCTTGAAGTCCCAAGTCGCGGACACTGTCTAGCACGTCCAGAGTAGTGTTCACGGCATCAGATACTCGACGCTCAATCTCTTCGTCGAATGTCCTATGCCACTGGCGAAGTGCCTGAGCACGATCTCTGATGGCAATGGCAGCTTCTTTGACGTCCGCCGAGAGCTTTGCCTGGGCCACCTCCTCCTCTTCGGGGGCCTTTTCAACGGGCAGAGGCGTGGTTAACGAGGTGATACGTTGCTTGACCTCGGTCAGTTCATGTTGGACGACTTCTTCTAAAGCTACAAAAAGGCTTTCCCCGTGGCCTTTCGCTCCACTCTCTATATAGCTGTCAACAATCGTCTTGATGCGCTCTCCAAGGTCTTCCACTCCTTTGTCGGCGGCAACGGCGAATTTCGCCTGCCATAGGCGAAGGTCGGATTCGATTTTTTCACGAGTTTGCGCTGCTAGCTCTGTGGGAGAAAGAGTTTTTGATTCCGACGAAGTCTCTGAAGCGGTAGTCGTAGCCGGCGACTCGACTTGATGGATTGACGACGTTGTTGGTTCGGGCTGGTCCAGAGAACTACAAGATCACGAATATTAGTAAGTTGAGCATACATAGTACCACATGTCAAAAGCTCACCTGTCAACGTCATCCACAACCTGTCGTAGTCGTTTCCCCTCACGGTAGCTAGCCAGTCTCTGTCCGATCTTCACTAGTTGAGGCTCGACGTTCTCCGAGTAGAGCCCCGTGATCTTCGGCCATAATGAGCTGTTCGCAAAGTAGATCACCGAAGACCAGGTGGTTTGCGCATAAGGCATGACAGTAGTTGTGAGTATAGCTTGACCGGAAGTGTAGGTCTTGCCGATAAATGGCCTGGACTGGGCGCAGAAAGGCAACACATATCCCTGGAGCACCGAGCTGAAAGCGGCGTTGGTCTTCTGATAATATGGCGACAGCGCAATTTCCACCCGCTCAACGTGGGGTGCAACATCGGACTTGTACAACCTTGTCGCACTATCCTGGGCGGACTGCAAGTGAGGAACAACCTGCCTCTCCCACTGCTGTTGGGTGAACTGCTGAGCCTGGTCCAAAGCCGGGGCACCGTACTTGTCATAGCCCCATCTGGCAATGTTTGCGGCGGGAGTGTAGACCTTTTCATTCACCGTTCGCGCGTAGGGGCGGGCAAGTTCGACGTAAGGTGCGCCGTAGGTATCGTAGTAGGGAGTAACATGGGGCTCAACGTAGGACCGAGCGACGAGGTATGGTTTGCAAACTCGCGGGGAGGATTCGTTCAGTTCGGACGGATGGGATGGGCATCGGAAGATGGGAGTCAGTAGTGCATACCAGATACACAGGCTAGAAAGCAAGAGTTGGTCAGTCTGACGATGCGAAAGAAATCATATAGAGTAACAAACATACCGCACGAACACCCCAAGGGTCCACCGAAAAGGACTTCTCCGTGTGGATTTCACGCGGTTCTCATGAGCACCAGCACTTCTGTCGGCCTCCGCGGCACGCGCATCGTCGATGGTGGTGGTCATACTGACCGGGGCGATGCTCCGTCAGGCTAGTCAGTCCTAGCTCGCGTCGAGTTTCGAATCTAATGACACTGATTAGAAGATGCTTTATGGTTTGGATAGCCCCTAGAGTATAACAATAAGAAGGGCATCAACAGGCACAAAGAATGCGGTGAGACTCACTGGCCGAGAGTTGGTCGGTTCTAAGCGAGTTCGCAACGGAGCAAGAAGAGAGGCCGAGGAAGTATTCGCAGGGGCACCACACGCGACTATGCAATCTCAAAAAGTCTTGGCACAATTTTTTATTTTATTTTTGTTTTATATCAAAAGCTTTCTCGCAGAACTTGTGCACAAGGAACGCCCCTTGGGACAGGAAGGTTGTAAATCAGGAAGAACTATGTATAATAGCAGGGACCCTAAATAACTAGTATAGGAAAAGTCATCTCCTGCAGCTGGCGGCACTAAAGATGAGAGATGATGCATTGTGTTTTTCCTGCTTCGATCGGTGACCTCATGGCTGCAAGTGGCGCCCCTCCGTGGCCCATACATGGATTACCGTAAGATTACCACCCTCTCCGCCGATTCCGCGGAGATTCTGCCGCCGTACATCGTACAGTAATATCACGTGTCAGCGCCGGGGCGAGGCAGCTGAGTCAGCAGGCTGTTTGACCTGAACCACATTTCCACGGTTGCTTCCATAACTGCTATCAACCTGGGCAACTTGCCACAAGTTGATTACAGTCAACTTCCGAAAGTGTTCACCTTGAACTTCACTACCGGCAGTGTCTTGCTTTTAAACGGAACTACCCGCGAAACCCCCGTTGTGCTAGACTCACGTGCCCCTTATACCGAAAGTCGCGCCTTTGCGGTTCTATGAACATGATATCTGGCTATCACTACTGAGGACGATCGGACCGTCGAACGACGTTGTCGCCAACATGGAGGTTCCAGAACACCAACCCCCGGACTACTCGGGCACGACATCTTTTCCAGACCTGATGAATGATCCGGCCTATGCTACCAACACCAAAGGAAAGGGGAGGGACATCGAGGATCCTGATACTTGCCGAATATGTCGCGGGGAAGGGACGGAGGAAGAGCAGCTCTTCTATCCTTGCAAATGCAGTGGGAGCATCAAGTTCGTTCACCAAGCATGCTTGGTTGAGTGGCTGTCGCACTCCCAGAAGAAGCATTGCGAGTTGTGTAAAACGCCGTTTCGATTTACTAAACTGTACGATCCGAACATGCCTCGAAACCTCCCCGCGCCGCTGTTCATGAAACAGCTCTTCATACATACCTTTCGGACAATGGTGACATGGTTTCGATTTGTCCTTGTCGCGTTTGTTTGGCTTGGATGGCTGCCGTGGTCGATGAGGGCAATCTGGCGGGCTCTCTTCTGGCTGGCAGATGGCCGTTGGTCCGGTGGTGATATGCCTCGTCAAGGATCTCCCCCCGGTCATGGGTCTCATTCCGTGGACAATGTATCCGGCACGTTCAGCAGTGCAGCGGCCGGTACGGCTTCCGCAGTGTCGGCTACCATCTCCCCAGGCTCGACTGATGTCCCGGCGCCGGTACCGTCAATGTTCGGTTTCTCATCAGGTGAGCCTTTGATGTTCAGTCTGATAAAGAACGCCTTTTCGAGCCTTTTGTTCCCCGCGATGTCGTCTGGGGCTGGTCATACGGATTCAGCATCATCGAACGCCACTGTTGGGCTCTACAAACCCCGTCGCTCTTCATGGCTTTCTGATGTCAAATTCTTGAACTCTCTAACGCCATCTCCCACCTTCAACAACATCTTGATCGACACATTGGAAGGACAACTCATTACTGTCTTAGTTGTGGTCTCCTGCATACTGATATTTTTGATTCGGGAGTGGGTGGTTCAACAGCAACCAACGGCCAATATCGCAGAAGGGGAACGGGAGGCCGCTGTCCAGTTAATCGCTAATAACCGCCCGAATCAAAATGAAGATATACCGAGACCCGGTGAGCAGCCTGCTCCGGAACAGGAAGAAGCAGAATTACAGGGAACTGCCCGCGGGTTCGATAACGCAGACGAGGTAGCGCCTCCCCAAGAGCAGCAAAGGCCCTTTCATGGCCACTCCTTCATCCAAGACGATAATTTGGCCCACCCAGAAGCCGCGGAAGATTTCAGTACTCAGCACTACGGCGGCAATGATTATGATGAAGATCCTTCAACGGGACAACAGTATTCCCAAATAGGTCAGGTCTGGCCCGGTACCGCTATTTTTCGGGACATCTGGTCGCGTGCTCAGGGTAATCCTGAGCAGGTCCTTAATATCATCAGAGAAGAGAACCGTGAGGTAGAATTGGACTGGATCGTCACGGCGATGACTAACTTGCGGCAAAATCGACCTCCTGACTTCTTTCGACGTGGAACGGCGACGCAGCCCTATGAGACGGGTCCCAGCACGGATGCATATGATGCAAACATGTATGATTCCCAGCCTATGTTCACGGAATCTTCTCAGTCGGCATATGGATATGAACGGCCAGAAGATTACACTACGCATTGGGATGCTTCAAGTTCATTCAACCCAGAAATTGAAGCTTCTGACGACATAGAGCGATCGCAGAGTCCATTTGCTTTCCACTTTCCAGATCCAGGATCAAATGCTTTGGGCCAGGCTCAGGATGATATCCATGCCACCAAAACCTACGATGACGAACCTTATGTCCATGAAGCTCCTGTCACTACCCCTGTTGCTGCGGTTGCTCCAGCCCCTGCTCCAGCCGAACCTTTCGAGGCCAATGATTCTGCCGGTAGGGCGGGCGACGTCCCGAACAACACCCCGACATCGGTTCCAAATGACAACCCGGCTGCTCCTGCTCCTCCCAAAGCGATGGCTACTCGGGTTCTTGATTGGTTTTGGGCCGATATCACTCCAGATGAGCCGGCTGAAGAACCCCCGCATGAAGATGGAGAGCATATAGTTGAAGACCCCGCATTAGAACCGCCTTTTGTGCCCGTGCAAAACAATCAGCGCGCCATCAACAACGCTGTACAGGATAACCAAGGTCTACTTGCGGACGCTGGACTCGATCCAAACGATATTGAAGCTATTGAGGACGGCGACGATCTGGAAGGAATACTTGAGCTTATTGGTATGCACGGTCCGATTTTCGGTCTCCTACAAAACGGTGTTTTCAGTGCCCTTCTCATCTCGTTCACGGTCGCAATTGGAATCTGGCTCCCCTACCTGTGGGGTAAAATTGCGCTTGTTCTCCTAGCAAACCCCATACAGCTTGTCTTTGGTGTGCCAATGACTGCAGTATCAGTTTTCGCCGATGTTACGCTTGATACACTTATTGGTAGCCTGGGCTATGTCATGTACTGGGTCACTCTTCTGTGCAAGGTGTTCCTCAGTCCTCTCGGTGCTCTGTTGCCCATTGGAGACTGGGTCCCACACACCAAATCCATCACCAGTGCTTCGCTTTCGCTCATTGATGCTAGCAGTCATCGACTGAAGAATGTGGCGAGCGCATTTTTCGTGTTTCATGAAGCGGATGTTCCTATGTTTTCCGTTCTCTCTCACCAAGCATTGAAAATCCACCAAGCACGGATCGCCACTCTTCTACGATCCGTTTTCGTCGTGGTCAAGTTTGTATTGCACGATCTGCCACTTCGATTGGTCTCCCACGGGGTCATTGGTGCCTTTGCGTTTGATCGCGAGTCCCTTGATCTAAGTGATTGGTTGTTTCAAATTCAGTATCAAATTACGAATTTCATGGAACGCCTCCCGCTGTCCTTCAATGGCACGAAGTGGTTCAAAGCCAACATGATGGGCCTGCCGCCGGCAGCTAGTATAACCCTCGATACTGATCTCGCTGTGTGGGATACCCAAGATCGTGTTATTGCCATCGTCATGGGCTATCTTCTTGTCTCGGCTCTGGGCCTCCTCTACCTACGTGCTACCGCTCTGATATCTGGTGTGGCTCGAGGACAGAGAGTTGAAGGCATCATTGCCGAGGTTCTCAATCAAGCTGGAGGAGTTATGAAGGTAATCCTCATAATCGGAATTGAGATGATCGTGTTCCCCCTTTATTGTGGATCCTTGCTAGACGTTGCATTGTTGCCTCTTTTCGAAGGCGCATCCATTACCTCCCGAATTGAATTCACCTCCTCATCGCCCCTCACTTCGCTCTTCGTCCATTGGTTCATCGGCACCTGCTACATGTTCCATTTTGCTCTTTTCGTTGCCATGTGCCGAAAGATCATGAGGAGTGGCGTGTTGTGTAAGTGCTGCCTATTTCCCCCTCCACGTGGAAATGACTAACTTGGTCCAGATTTCATTCGCGATCCGGATGACCCGACCTTCCATCCCGTTCGGGACGTGCTGGAGCGCAACATCACCACCCAACTACGCAAGATCGCATTCAGTGCCTTGGTTTATGGTGCTCTGGTAATTGTGTGTCTCGGAGGTGTTGTGTGGGGGCTGTACTTTGCCTTTGACGGGGTTTTACCGATTCACTGGTCTGCCACTATTCCGGTCCTTGAATTCCCGGTCGACCTGCTGTTCTACAATTTCCTCATGCCGCTTGCAATTCGCTCCATTAAACCTTCTGATGGCCTGCACGGTCTCTACAATTGGTGGTTCCATAAGTGTGCCCGCTTCTTGCGCCTGACCGAGTTCTTCTTCGGCGACAGAAAACCCGACGAAGAAGGATATCATGTGCGACAAACATGGTGGCATTTGTTAACACTAGCCCAAGGGGATTTTTCGGAGCCTGTGCATGCTGATCAGCACGACCAGACAGCGGCAGATGACAAGACTCCGGACGTCTACTTTGTTCGAGACGGAAGATACGTTCGTGCCCCTGCCTCTGACCAGGTCCGCATTCCCAAAGGCAGCCAGGTCTTCTTGGAAGTATCCGTATTCAACGAGCGGGTTGACGGGGCCACAGACATGGACGAGGGTTTGCATGGCCGAAAGAATGACATGTTCACGAAGGTTTACGTCCCTCCGTTCTTCCGAAGCAGAATTGCCGCCTTCATTCTCTTGATTTGGGTGTTTGCAGCCGCCACCGGCGTAGGCACCACCATTATCCCGCTGATTGTTGGACGCAAGCTGTTGTCGTCATACTTTCCCAACCGGCCACTGAATGACATCTATGCTTTTTCCATCGGTATCTGTATAGTCGGCGGGGTGGTGTTTGCTGCCTGGTACTGCAAGAACCGTGCTGCCTCGGTCAAAGACCGCTTGGGACCGTATTTGCAATCCCCTCACCAGGCCTGCCTCGGATTAGCCAATGTAGCCATGAACGGTCTCCGTCTCATCTACATTTTCACCGCCTTCTCTGTGGTGTTGCCGTCGCTGTTTGCTCTGGTGGTGGAACTTTATGTGCTGGTCCCAGTGCACACATACCTGGGCGGTACCCAGGCCCATGTCATCCACTTCGTTCAGGATTGGACACTGGGGGTGCTCTATGTCCAAATGGCCGTCAAATTCGTGCTGTGGAATTCGACCTCTCGGCCGGCGGCCGCGCTGAACGGCATCTTCCGGGACAGCTGGTTGAAACCCAACGTGAACCTTGCCACGCGGGCACTATTGCTCCCAATAACGCTTCTCGCAGCCGTTGCAGTGTCTTTGCCCCTCTGTTTGGGATTCGGTTTGAACGCGACCATGTTCCACTCAGCCCCCGAAGTGCAGTCTAAGGTTTACCGCTATGCGTACCCAGCGACGTTGTTCATGAGCCTACTGGTTTGGCTCGCTTATCTTGTCCGTCGACAGGTAGAGATCTGGCGAGTCAACATTCGGGACGATGTCTATTTGATTGGGGAGCGTCTCCATAATTTCCGGGAGAAACGCGCAAGGGATGTTGGTGTGCCTCGACAAGTCATCACGGGATGAATGGAGTGCGACTTGGATCAAAGGTAGGAGAGGCACGCAGGAGTGGTGGATCCAATACACTTGTAGCAACATTTTGGTTGTTTTGTTTTGTTTCTTTATCGTACTTGTCGCAAACCATTGTGAGCATTATAACTATCATTTATTTATTTTATTATGATGATTCATGAACAGAATGTTTAAAAAGAAAAACCAAAAATAAAATCTAAATCCAAGAAATTCGAAGCCGATCCTTCAAATTACGTAGATCATGGAGTTAGCGGGATCTGCGATCGCAGGAAAGGTGGTTGCCTGATGAAGTTTCTTTCTGCCTGCTACTGTGGAATCCCGTGCGAGATTTTCGCAGAAATGGGGAAGCCTAGGTGCTCCGTATAGTAGAGGATTTTAGACCGAATAGAGGGCAATTATTGTTGCACGCTGGTTGGAAGATCAAAAGAATCTGTCGTGTTCGTTCTCACAACTCAGCCTTGACGGAGGACCATGAAGTATTTATACATTAATCTGCAAATGCATTTAATACATTTAATACCTTGAATGTTTAAGCCTCGCAACGAGCAAGGCACTGCTGAGTCAGCCTGCAGCCAGGCGGAGCCATGCACGTGCCCACCCGCCCCGGGGACCAATGACCGGCCGGCGCTCGCCGAATCGCGGCTGCCTGCCACGTGACTGAGGCCAGTCGGCGCGGAGGTGTGGCTTGGCAGGTGAGGCTTTGCTTCACTCGCCACTCCCTATTGGTTAGGCAACAGAATTCCTTGCCCACCGGCCTTTCTATTCTTATTCCTCCCGTCGCCTTTTTGCCCCTCTTATCACTTTCTCGCCGATGGACTAACACCGCGCTTTGCAGACTTCGCTCGCAATTCATTCTCCTTTCCTCCCCCCCCCCCCTGCCCCAGATCATGTCTTCCCCCTGATATCGGTGCTCAATTTCGTCCCACCCGTTTGAAATGATCCTCAATCCCTGCTAATATCGACGTATCTTGATCCCCGTTCGCACTCTTGCGCGCCAAGATGTCCGTTCTCCGTCATCATGGGGGGTCCTACCTCCAGCGACGCCTCACTAAGATGTATACCGACACCAAAACATCGTGTGAGAGTGTCACTACCGCGTCCAAGGCCGTTGACGACCCCGAATTAGTCACGCTCCACCGGAATTTCAGAACCCAGCGAGATCGGCTGTTGGCATGGGGCCTCGACTGGAGCGACGCTAGCGCAGCTCAGCCAAACGATATCGACGAGTCCCTGACCCAGGCCGGCTTTAGCGACGTCGTTGCCAGTGTTATGTCGTCAATCCAAGAGCTTCTAAACGAAGCCGAACGCTTGCAGCACACAGGAACCTCCGATCTCCTACCGCCCAAAGGTGGCCGAGCTGACAAGGATGCGAAAGATGCGCTGAGCCGTCTACCGGTCAAAACGCACTGGACCAATGACGATATCAATCGATCGAACACCCTGCTCTCCGACTTGACCTCTTGCATTGACACGCTATATGACCTATCTCGTTCGCGGCGCAACATGGCCTCCAGTGGACAGTCGGGCTGGTCGCGGCAAACACCTACCACGGACTCTAAATCCTACCACGGCCCATCCTACGATTCGAAGCAGATGTATGGCAGCTCCATCACGAAACAAGACCCCTTCGAATATTCGCCCTACCCCCATCATAATCTTGCGAAGCCAAGGCTGGAAAACTCGCAGAACTACCTCATCGATCGCTCGGCGCTGCAGCTCTCTGGTGCATCCCACGACAACAGCCCTCCGCCGTATGAAGTGGTCGCCGCTTCCACTAATTCCCGCGCCATCGGCCGCATCAAGACCTCGGCCTCTCCATTTTTGCGAGGTTCCAAGGACTCCACGGCGACTATCCTTGTTGAATTCACACCCATGATTCTGGAGTCGTCGGGCGCTGTCGCGGTTCCCGGTAATAAACGTCTTGATCACGTCAACCAGACCCTCGATCAGCTGGTTCAAAATGTGCGGGTGTCTCACCTGGGATTGTTGAAATTCTTGGGCTATTATATTGACATGCCCAACTCCAGGTATGCTTTCATCTACCAGATGCCAATGGACTATTTCCCTTTCCTGCGCAACCCCACCGATCTGTTGCAGGGTTTAAAACCAAAGCAATTGGTGTCTCTATTCCAGACCAAAGAAGACAACCAGATCCCCAATCTGGAAACGCGGTTCCGTTTGGCCTACGATCTTTTGATGGCCGTACTCCAGTTAAGGAGTCAGAATCTGGTGCACGGCAACATTAACAGCAGCAACGTTCTCATTTTCCCGGGACTGACAAACTCCAACAACGACGAAGTCAGCCTGACAGAGAACATTCAACGCCCGTACCTGACGTCGTTCGCGCAATTTTCTGCAAACGGGTCTACGCCCGAGCCTTTATCGTCAAGCATGTACCGTCATCCCGACGACAAGCGGTCACTTGAGGACGATGCTGCCTGGGCTTACGACCTCTACTCGCTGGGCCTGGTCTTGATGGAAATCGGATTGTGGGCGCCCGTAAGCCGCCTGTGGAAGATGAAATACAACAACTCCATGTTCAAGCAGCGGATCGAGAACGTCTACCTACAGAAGCTGGCCCCCAAATGCGGCAGTGCCTATCTTCACGTGGTGCAGTTATGTCTAGATGCGCCGAACTTTCACCTCTCCACGCAGCCTTTCGACGACCTGAACCTACGAGTGCCCCAAACCTTCCACTACCCGGTGCTGGATCTCTCCGAGCCGGACAGCATCTTTTCGTTCTCGATGAATTTCATCTACACCATGTCCAAAATCGCCTGGTCCTGCTGCCGAATCGATCTTTTTTCGGCGCCGAGTGCCGACGAGTTGGATGATTGTCTGCCCCTTGCTCTTGTCCCTAGACCCGACGTGCAAGATTCGAAAGCGGCAATGGCCGAATTTGAACCCGCACATACCCAATCCGTCCCTATTGCCGAGCCGTTTCCTGTACTACCCCATGCCGACATGAAGGCCCTTCGAGGCAAAATGGGCCTCGATGAGCGACAGACTCGTAAAAGAACTTTCAAGAAGCTCACCAACGTTGAAATTCCACAGGAACATTTGAATGTGTGGAATTTCCAGATGCTTCCCCGACTCCGGAAGCTCTTACAGAAAATCCTGAAAGACTCCTCCGAATCGTGCGGTGTTACTCTCATGATGACCGGCGATGCGGCGGAAAACGCTCGGACCACGATCTGCGTGACCTGCGCCAGCGCAAAGAAGGTCCGGGCGGCGTTAAAGAAGTATTTCCCACTCGAGAGCGAAGACTGGGATCTTCTTGTGCTCCGGGGCGACATCCAACGGTCCAAAGTCCCACGGAAGAAGCGCCGCAGGCCGGCGAAGACTGGACCGGAGAGAGTAGACCCGCATAGCTCTTCTTACCAAAACCCCAATCCTTGCCATCAGCAACGGCCCTTGTGCGGCGCATCCATGGGGGCATTCTTGAATGAGGAGCATTTGCCTCCGGTGACATACGGTGGTGCCATACTGGTAGATGGCATGCCCTATGGGATGACCGTTCACCACATGCTTGAAGCACCCAGTGACCAGGAGGATGAGGATGAAGACTCTGGCGGGCCCTTGCGGTCGGCTGGTAATTGGCCGCAACCGTCAGGTCCGCAAAATGCGGAATTCATGTACAGCTGGGCTGATGAGGAAGGGTCGTCTGATGTCGATCTTGAATTTCAAATCTCGGAAGACGAGGACGGCGATGGGCATTCATTAGATGGGAATTACGAGGAGTTTTGCCTGTCGGAGGGCTATTCGTCAGACGAGGACGCGTTCGGCATTGACGACGACGAGTACGAGGATGAGGATGCGGCGTCCATCGGTGACACGGCGGGCATCGAGCCCGGCGATGAGCCGCCTCTATTCGTCACACAGCCCGCGATTGACGATGTTCGAGAAGACTTCTTTCCGTCCCCCGAAGACCGCGACGATGAACACTTGGCATCTCACTCTTTCGGGTTCGTTCACGCATCATCTGGTGTTCGACGTTGGACACGAAAAGGGATCAAACATGAGATTGATTGGGCATTGATCAAAATCAACGATGATCGGATCGATGTACGCAACATCGTTTATGACAAGGCGTCAGCATCCAGGCCAAATGCATCGAGACGACGATACGGTGACCGCAGTCCACTTCCCCAAGGTGAAGTCATCTACCTGAATGACATTGCACGGTTAGAAGATATCGGTGGCCTAAATGTACACTGTTGCGGTCGAACGAGTGGCCTGCAGACTGGACAGATCTCAAGGGCAATGACAATCGTCAAGCTGCACGGTCGACAGACCTTCTCGACGAGCTTTTGTGTGGATGGGAATTTCGGGGGTAAGTAAGCACACCACAGTTCACTACGCACTCTCGTCATTTATGCAAGCCATCCCATGCTAACCCATCTTTCTTTAGTCCCCGGCGATTCAGGCGCATGGGTCTTCGAGCGGTCGACCGGTCGTGTCTGTGGCCACGTTCTGGCCTGGTCCGACAAAAGCCACACAGCGTACATAGCGCCCATGGAGGTCCTCCTCGAGGATATCGCGCGCACTCTCAACGCATCCTACGTTGCCCTCCCAGGGGGTCCGGATGGGTCGCTTGCATACGCCATGCCTCATTCCAACACCCTCGAGCCTCAGAATCCGCGCTACCGCAATCCCCTTCCACTCCCGGATCAGATTCCCGTTGACATCGGGCGACTCCGCATCGACGACCCCAACATGGGGCCTGTCAACACCAGTCGTGGTCTACGAGAAGTCTCGTACCGGGGCATGCCACCTATGTTGACCCAGCCTCGCAGTCTAGAAAGACAAATTGCCTGAGGTTCTCGACACATCTACTCACTCCTTCGAACCATATCCCTCCCTCTTAACTCCTTCGCCATCTCCATTTTCTCTTGTCCCCTTGTACCGAAAGAACCTTTACCACCTGTCCGCCCACCTTCTTTTCCTACAAAAATAATTACCTTCTGTCTAATTCTGCCTCACGTTTATATGAATGACCTGTGAACGAGCGGATAGGGAAATCCTTTCCCGGTTCCTTTTTGTTTGTGTTTTTTTCAGTATATTCCAACAATACCCCCTTTTGCGTTTTCGTTTTTATTTATTATGGTTCTATCTTCATCACAGGTTTCCTGTCTCCTGTCTCCTGTCTACCTACTAGTTAGTTATTAGGATATAGTACGTGAGTAAGACTAGACTAGGTCTAGCAATTTAAACTGCTTTGATAATGGAATTGGCATTTATTACATGGAATATTGATTGCTTCATAGTTCTTTTAGAATGTATTTGACAACAAATAATGTTAGATGTCCCATCACATAAACCCGAAACCTTAAAAACAAGGCAAGGACATAGAACTAAATACAGAAGCCAACCACATCTAAATGTCTCAATCTAATGAGATATCATCATCATCTTTGCTATCATCCTCGTCCTTCACAGCATCCAGTTGTAAGCTAGGTGACTTTGGAACGTTTTCAATCTCCGCAGGCCTGTGGCTAAACGCAGGATGGTCACTCTTGAGAAGTCGACTCTGACAAACATACCCCATCGGCGTGTGAGAGTACTCACTTCCTTTCCTAGTCACAGAGAGCCACTCTTGAAGGAAAGTAAGAAAGTTATCGTCCCTGGGCGTTGATTTTCCATGGTGCATGGCGTCCTGTGCAGCATCACCTCTCACGGAGTCCTTGTGACCAACCATATCTTGTCCGAGGTAATCTAGAATCTCCACGTTTTCATCAAACGAAAAGAAAAGACGACCAGACAGAAGCCCCAGCTCGACCTTGAGACTGGTAGGGAAAGTATGATCCTTAGGTAATGTGGGATAGGCGTAGAAATCCAAAGAGTTGAAATGAAGCATGCTCTTGGCGGATGGCGCTGCGTACACTAAGAGGTGCGTCGGCGAGGGGCGATGGGCCCTGATGAGTGATAGCACGCGTTCCGCTTCTTCGGGAATCAGGATCATGGCTGTGGATGTACTTGGGGCCCAGAGAATCCAGTGGACAGGACGCTGGGTAAGAGGTTAGTTTGATGTAGAGGAAATATTGCGTGGTAAGCTCTTTTGTGGTAGTACATACTAGGAAATCCTCGCGCCAGTGGTTTTCCTCTTGAAGGATTGTCTTCGTGAACTCATCCGAGATAAAGAGTCTTGATCGCTGTTCAATTCGCAGGCGATGTTTTCTGCCTAGTGTTGTTCTTCTGAGCGCCGTGAACGCTGCGTCATAGCCGGTTGTTCCTTCGAGAGACCCGGTGAGTGCAAATTTTCTGATGGATTCATGTAGTCCAGGAAAGCTGTAGTGTGGAAGGCGAGTCGGCCGTTGAATTTCTCGAACCTCCTCAACGTGCAACATGCATTCGCGTTCCTGCTCAACCTCAGCAAAAGCTAAGGTGGACGCAGAAGCTGAGAGCTCGTCATGTCCGAGACGTTGATTATCAAGGTCCAGACCGAACTTTCCAAGCTGCGGATACATATATTGACCGTTCGCGAAAGTGCTGGGCTTCGGTTTGGGTCTGTAGATCTCTTCCAAAGAATGTTCTTCTTTTTGCAGCAATGTATCCAGAAGCGCGTTTCGGTGCTCTGAGTTCGTCAGGAACTTGTCGTTCTCGTCTGCGGCATTGATCCTCCGACAGAAATCGTATCCCTGCGCCAGATACAACGATTTGAGCTGCTCCTGGTGGCAACAGGTTTGCTCGAGGAGCCATGCAATCACGTCGGCTGAATCAATTACATCCTTGGAGGACTTTTGACGCAGATCCAAGATGCTCTGATGAACTTCGGGGGCCGCAACAAATACTACAGACTGTGAAGTCCCTAATTGACGGAGTCTCATTGCAGCTATCCAGTAATAAAAGTCAATATTCTAAAGGCAGGTCGAGTGACGTAAGGCATGGATTTTGCTTTGTTGTCTTACCTTGAACTGTGTGATCCTTGGTCTGACCCAAGCTCAACGTCAGCACTCCACGTGAAGACGGCGAGAATTTCAAATCTGTCCCTCGAGTATGCGCCTCGTCCAGAAAAACAAGACATTTATCAAGATCATTTGCAAAAGAGGAAGCAAGAAGTGGCACCTCCTTGTAACTGCGATCTATCACCCAAGGCTTGCTGCCCCTGTCAAAATAGACCGCCGCAGGGGCGCTGTGGTCAATCTCCAGCCACTTTCGCGCAAGAGCCTGGTTGTCGAGCTCTAAAATATGCGCACCGGCATCAATGAGAATGCGAATATTCATTGAGAAGAGCTTGCGGATAAACTCTTCCTCAGATAGATGTTTACCGTTCGGATGAGCGGCCACAAAGTAAGATCTATTCCGAGGTTGCAGCAAATAGGAAAGAACCTCGGCATTTGTGTGCGATAATGCAGCAAGGTCGTTCTGTTTGATTGTTAGCGGAAGCAGGAATCGATCGTCATTTGTTCCGCTGAACCCCGTTGTGAGCATCTTTGATCCTGCCTCCTGTGTTGAGAACATTGGGATATCCCATCCGGACAGCTGGAGTCTCTGAGAGAACTGTTTGGCGTGAACGGGAAAGACGCAGTGATCCAGGAAATAGTTAATAACAATCACCCCATATCGAAGGTAGGTCCAGATCTCTCGGACCTGCATATCATCATCAATGCTGATCAGATTCCAGTGTCGTAGTGAATCGGGAAGACTCGGCGCATAAGCCCCCCAGCGGTCGTATTCCCCTGATGGATCGTCAGATTGGGATAAACTTTGCAAGCATTGATGCAACTGATCAGCTGATAGCCCGTCATAGTAGAAGGCTAAACAGGTCAACAGAATAGCAACATCGGGATGCCCCCATTCGGCTTGCTCAGACGGAACGCCTTTGGCGTGGAAGGGAACAGCGATCGGGCTCCGAGCTGGATGTAGACCATACTGCACGTTCCAGCGTTTCTTCAGACAAAGTAGTAAGATATCGTGACATATCAACCCACGAAGAAGATGCAAGTTCTTAAATGCGACGGGGTTATCATTGAAAATCTGTATCACATCCTCACATACTGATTGCTCGGCCTTAGCATGGCATATGAACTCCTTCACAGCCATTTGGTCAGGTGGTTGGACCAAAGGCAGAATATTGGTTTTGCCGGAGCACAAATCACCAACCAGCTTTCTGTGCAAAGCTTCCTCCACATCTGATCGTAGAATATAGATGAGTGGGAAACCACCGTTAGGACGTCTCACTACCTCGATGCTTCCAGGGAAATCCCTCTCAAGGTCCGCTAGTTGCTCTTCAACCATCCCTAGCAAGATGTGAGCCATTCTCCATCGATATGGATGACCGTCCAATGACAGCTGAGATCCACTGGGATAAATCAGCTGTGTTTTAGGGGCCAGTGAGAGATCTGATTCATCTATGACGTCCCGGGAAACGCGTCTCAACCAAGAGTCGGTAGATAAAATAGCACCGGCGGACTGGAGCTTGGAATCCGAAAGGCATTGGAACCCACTGAGCCTGAATGAAAGAAAGTGCTCGGGAAGCGTCAGAATAATCCCCGATCTCTGTAGGATCTCTTCGTGAAGCAACTGGTACTCTTTGATTGCTGCTGGCTCAACTGGGGACTTTCGAGTAAAGGGGATATGGAGCACCTCGCGGCCCACCAAGTCTCCAAGCCTGGATTGAATAGTTTGTGCGGTCTGTAGTAGAAGAGATTTTGGAACTATCAGACGCCCAAGAGTCTTTCCATTGCCAAGGACACACAGAGCCATAGGCATGACCACCGAGGTTTTACCTAGATAAAAGAGAAATTAGAAATGACATGAATAACTTTGAAGGCAGAAAGATCTCACCTTGTCCCATGTTCATCTGAAGTACGGAATTTGATCTTGACGCCGGCAATATTGTCGCAAGTGCAACATCCACTTGCTTTTTTCGGATGAGAATATTCCCATCGATTTCCATCAGTAACCAGTCAGGAAAGTCTTCTGGTTTCCAGTTTTCATGGCCGACATTCTCGTACTCGTCCCTGGAGCGTTGAAAGTCGTTTTTCTTCATGGAATCGCAAATTCGCAGTAGCTGTTGCAATTGTGTGATTGACACGCCATAATCCAGCAGGGCCCTCTTCATGTCAGGTCCAAAATGTTGCTGACTAGACGATCGTAGATGTTGAAATATAGTGACGGGAGTCATGCAAGGCCAGAGTTGTCCTGCGGAGAGCCACTTGTAACGCACATCAAACTTTGTCAATGAGTCAACTAAGACTGAGAGTCGCCGCTCTACTGCGTGTTGAACTTTGGAAACCTTCCCTTCCATCCTGCCAAGGCTAGGCAGTTCTACACTCGGTCCCTGGTGCGCCTGATAGCCCTCAAAGGCGTCTAAGCTGTTCTTCAAGTCATAGGCATACGCTTGTTTTTCTTTAGAGATTGATGCCTTCATCTCGTCAACTAGAGCTTTGAGCGGTTGAATCTCACAAGGGTCTTTGACCATAGTCGAATGGTTTGATCTATCCGCCATTGAAAGGAGTGCTGTCTTGTTACGCCACAAATGGCCCGACACAGAACTTGATCTGGTACGGTCATCTGGTCCAGGCTTTGAAAGGAGATCACCTAATTTTGGAACTGCTGAGGAGCGAGGAGAAACTGGATACATATTTGCAGTGTCTATGCATCCTGGGACAGCGGTTTCAGAATCAGTTTGGTGCTTGTCAAGCACCTTCTGGACATCGTCAAGATATCCTTCCAGTTCAAAGTTTCTGAAAAGTCGCCCCCAATCTCGCCTGATTGTGTTCAGTGCACTTTGAGTATCAAAACACTTTATGCGAATTTGAGGACAGACAATTCTCTCGCAAGGCCACTGCTTCAGAATACTGGTAGCAAACAGGCGCGCTTCCTGCTGGAACAGGGCATCGAATTCCGTCAAAGTTGTCGAAGAATGTACCCTTTCTTCTTCGATTGCTTGCTGAAGTGTATCGGATGACACCTCGGAGGAGGACTGGATTCGGTTCTTGATAAACTGCAAAGATGGTCTCTCCTTCAATTCGATGTCGAAGTATTCGGCATGCACTGGAATGCGGACAGCGCGCAGGTCGCTATAGGTACAGATTGCAGCCAATGTTCGCAGAAGATCCATATTCACGTTTTCTGCAAATGCAACCATTGCAAGCTTGAATATCGTACCATACTGCCCTTCGTTATATTGGCGGCATAGCTCGGTCAGCGGTCCCCATTCTTGGATCATGTCGACTTCAAGGGCTTCGCTCAGCGATGACTTATTGAACATGCCCGTACGTCCCATGATCCAGGCTGCTTGATGAAAGAATTTTGCTAACGAGGATGTAGCTTGGATGTTTAGTGGCCGATGTATCAGGTTATGCACGATTCTGTAAACATTTTCCCTCCCGGTACTGGGCTCACGCTTGTCACGAGCATAATAAAATCTATCGACTGGCTGCGCTAATCCGTTGATGTGGAACTCACCTGGCTCTAAGTTTCGACGACGAAGATGATTCCTATCTCTCAGGTAAGGCACACCACCTGCCTCAAGCTGTAACTGATGACAGCCATCCAAAGCAAAGGGTCTCAGCCGCTCCAACTTATTCGCCACAGCCTCAATAATAGGACGGTAGAGGTCACCTTGGATAGCCACAGTAAGGTCTTTGTCCCACAACACTTGTTGGTGGTGCTTCAAATGCTCGGGATAGTAAAACCGCTTTGCAGTCAGGCGCGCAAGAGAAATGAGAGGTGCGGTTTGAGACACCCCAACAGGGTTCCAGGGCTTACTTAACGCAGATTTCAGGCAGGATAGAGCTTCCTCAGTTCCCGTACGGCCGGTGAGAGTGTCAGGGAGCGGGAAAGATGTAAATGCATGCATCAGAGACTTGGTGTAAACCAGCAGCGGTTCTGGTTCACACTTTAACCGACCCAGTGTGCTATCAATCGAATATCGACCGTACCTACCATCATTCATGACATGAACCAAGACATGTGGCCCATGTCGATGATAGTGTACGTCTCCAATAGGCACAACCACACTTCGTTGCATTCGGTTTGATGTTTCGCGCATGACAATTTTGCTTTGCAATCCGTACCATGTACCGGCATCCTGGTCTGGATCTATTTCTGCGTGAAGCTGCTGACATACTAGATATCCTCTGCCGTTAACGTTGAAATTTAAATCCATTCGTTTCATTTCGACGGAGAGGGTTCTCAACAGTGGCTGAGTAACTGTGATATTCTGTCGGTCTTCGAACCCGTCAAATATTCTCGACACCTGACGAAAGAGCTTGCCATGGGGGTCAACAAGATGAGCGGTCCTACGAGAGGCTTGACGAGCGGAGATGTCTATCACCCAATTGCTTCGACGACTGAACCACCACATATGCTTCTTTGCTCGAATATCGACCTCCTTTTTCTTCAAATTCAGCCAGTGAAAACAATCGATTATTAGCGGCGCCGGGAGATCTGCTTGCGCCCCTTTCCCAAACTCGTCCCTGTGAACTAGATGCAACAAATTCCCTCTAACATGTGTGCGAACAATTATTTCGTTTTTGCTTCGACCGAAATGGACAATATGGTCACTTCTTGGCGCCACAAGCGTGAATTCCATACCTCGCATAGCGGACGGAAATACCAAGAGGTGCTCTTTCCCGAATAGCTCTTGAACATTCGGTGAACTGCGGTACTCAGGCGGAAGCTTGCCAACGGGCCTTCCATCGACAAGCAGATGGCCGTCTATTGGGTGGTAATGAATTATCTGCGACTGAAATAAATCTGTCTCGATGATTCGCGATTCAATCCACCCATTCGACCCTGATACAACATCCCAATTGTTGTATGTTCTGTGACCACTGGTTGCGCTGGGCCAAACTGCCTTAATAGCAAGTTCTATGTTTCTTGGGTTACGTATGATAGACCCGCGTAGAACTGGGGTCATAGAGTACGTCATTCGGAAGTCACGCACGAGCATTGCCTGAGCTGTCGGTGGAAGCTGAGCGGGATCTTGCAAGTTTTCTTGAATTGTTAGGCATGCTGCAAGGAATATCTGCAAGCTATCGGAGCCAAAGTCTCCATTCTGTGGGTTTGAAAAGGTCCGTTTGCAAACCAGCCCGGCTAGTAATGCGTACATACTTAGTCTGTCAGCTGTTTCAGTAGTAACTCCGCTTTGGATCTCGTGGCGTAGATTCTGAGTCCATGTCACAGTGATCCGCCGGACTTGGCCCAGAAGTAGAAGACCTTCGGTTTCAGCTGCTTTCGGCCCAAGATTGAGAATGCGTAGAATCAATGTTAGCAACATATCCATGCAAAATGATTCACGACAGTTATTTGAGATCCTGTTCAGAATTTCCGCCGTTTGGGTCGCCAGCTGATGACAGAACTCTGCTTCTTCGAAGACTTGGTGTATTAAACGCAAAGGTCCCTTAGACGAATCTGGCCCGGCATGTAAAGCTAAAAAGCTCACAAGGTGCATTGTAGCCTCAATACTGAAGTTGAGATTCGACGAACCAAGCTCACGAACAAGCGAGAGCCACCTAGTTGCCTGTTCTCTCAGAAGGCTTTGGCATGTAGTGTATTCATGTACTGTGAGGCGGACAGGGCACTCGTTCTGCCTGGTCATTATCTCATATGAAGACCGATCCGCAGCACTTGCCGCAAATTTGGGATCGCCATGAACATTCAAGAGGGCAAGTATAGACGGGTCTAGAGAGAAGTGGTGAGCGAAAGTCACTCTTTCTGGTAGTTCAGCAGCCCATTGACTTTTGCTTGTTTCGTAGTAATAAAGATCCGGACCAAACGGTAGTATTACCTGGCTGCGAGAGGCTGGAAGGGCGGAGCCTTTGTAGTGCGAAACAAGAAAGGACTTTGTTTTTGATGCCAAATGAAATCTCAGCTTTTTGTGCTGATTATATGGCATTAATGAGCTATACTCACGCAATAGCCCTCGGGATGGGGGCCCTTTGGGCATCGTGTCATGCTCAGGCTTCCCATAGCTGCTCAAAATCCTCCAAGTCGTGTCACGATATGCTGCTAGCTCGGGTGGCATAGCAAGCTCAAAAAGAATCGCTCTTTGCTGTATGAGAGAAGAAACTGTACCTCCATTGGGTAGGAAATCTTCGTGTGCAGATATTTTGAGCTTTTTCCGCTGCTTCTTTGCATTACAATGAGAGCAAAGGCTTCGATTTTGCCCAATTCCACGAGTGCATGGTAACAAGACCTGCGTAGACAGGAAAGAGTAACGTGAATTAACCCTCTCAAGCTCGGCTTCTTTCAACCGCTGAGCCTTCTGGGAAGCTTGTTCTATCTCCTGTCGCAACTTCGTAAGGCGTTTTTTGTCAGGAGAATGCCGCACATACTGGTCAGAAAAGCCGTCTGGGCTAGGATCCGAGAATATTGTAATGGATTTGAAGCGTGACTGGTTTTCACGTTTCGTAAGATACTGCTGAATCATTTGTAAACGAACCAGATCTTCTCGCGATGCAAGTTGCAATACGTTCAGTAATTCCGGTTGGAACCCACAGCTATACTCCTCCAATAGGGGGAACTGTCGCACGGCATTCATGTCCATGATAATCCAGAGTTCAAAAAGATCAACCATCATCACGCTCTTTTCCTCAGCGTGGTTATCAAGCAAATTAGACACCATGTCAAGATAGGAATCTATCTGATGCGCAACTTGTATGCAGCTTGTTTTCTTGTCGCGCGGCACGGTCCATTCGTTTTGTATTTTATGCTGCAACTCATGCAATGCGTAATAGCGTTGTGAAAACCGTTGGTAGTCCGGATTGACCAGTTCAGGTAGGCGTTTGGCAATTGATTTGGGATCCAGAAATGGCCTCTTGTTCAGCGGCGACCGGAGGATACCCATCAGGTGATCATAACTATTTGGAAATTGGAGGCACGTATCATCTCTATCAGCCCGGAGTGGTAGAGAGGGTATGTGCCTTTGGGTAGCATCTTTGAATCTCTTCCATTCTTCCTCCATTGCTAGGGTGGCGTTTTTGATAATTCCCGAAAATTGCGAAGAGCAGACATCTAGCAGTTGGCTGTAAGTTTCGCATGATGTCCTGCGCCGGTCAGTTTCCAATTTACTCAGGCGTCGACAAAGTTTGGCCCGAAGAAAATGACAGGATTCAACTGGCAATATTCCCGTGACGTTTCGGAGAAGACAAGCATGTATCATCGCGATGAAGATCTTGTAGTAAGCCCTGCCCTTCTGGTTTCCGTACACAAAGTAGAGCAACCTCTGGATGCAAACCCGTATGACCAAATAGAAAGGGCTTCGCCGCCAGGGAAGATAAGCATCGTTCCAACAAACGTCATCTCGAATTCTTTTTCGAAGGACTGGTGAGGCGTTTTGTGATCCATGTGCTTCCAAGAGAGACATGAGCATTTGACTGATGAGATGGGGGGTAGCGGTATTTCGACGTTCAACAACGGATTTTCCTGCTTTCTTTGCCTTGGCCGCAAAACGCTCGATCAACTCTTCGCTGGCCTGCTCGAGGAAGGCTGCTAGAGATTCCTGGAAGGAGGTGTTCCGGAACACATCTACTGGAATTGTGACAGCGTTTCCAGGATAATCGCATTCCAAGGAACCGGTGCAGGCGAGCACACTCTCAGAGGTAGGTGACGCTTCGAAGCATTCAAGGGTAACTTCTTGTTTGGGTTCATCTCGTTCACTTCGATTTTAGGTCAGCATGACAATTATCTGTCAGCGAAGCAAGATACTGACTCGTGAACTGGCAGGATCAAAAGTCCTGCATTCTGCTCAGTAACATGTAATATTAAAGCTGTCCTGTCCTCTATCGCACCAAAAGCATCCATCAAATTGCATCGGTCGACGTGGCCGTATTCGTGGATTGAGCTGCAACGATGCAGCGATCTTTTGATCAGTTCCCATGCACTCTGGTACTCGTCCCCAGCTAGTGAAAAAAGGGCCTCCACAGCCTCGATGGCATAGTGGATAATTCCTCTGTTCACTTGATCTACGTCCTTGTCGCTGTGGTCAGGTAGACGAGGAGGTAGAACAATATGGTTGAAGACTTCCTCCAATATTCTTGGGGTCAAGCCTGACATCGTGTGATAAAATGGAAAGAATATGAAGATGAAGCGAGGAGGTGCGCCTGATTCGGTGACGCTTGTGTGGAAGAAAAAGGGCAGGAGGAAGAGAAGAAGGGTCGCAAGGAAGGGTGTCTGAAGGATGATGGGGGCTGCAGTAGACGCCGGCGGCAATGCCCCAGTACCCCCCACCGGCTGAGCCACCGTAGCGACAAGGATTAACAAGATAAACAAGGCCGTCAGGAGAGGGTGAGTTAGTGAATGGAGTAGCCTTCCCTATCTTTCTTGTGCGAGGCTGCCTTGCTTTCCGATTACTTCCATCAAACATGTCAGCTCCAGAAGCAACTTGTATGACTCTTTGTCAGATCACTACCTTACCGCAGAATTTATTATTATGACAACTGATTCTTTCAAAGGGTGCTATACTCTCATTCTTTGTAGCCTCATTATCAACCATGCGAGTATCCTCTTTATGGAGCCGAGCACCGGTAAATTATAGTATTATTGTATACTAACCAGGATAAATGAAGTGGCATCATTCAGAAAGTCCAGTACCTTGATGAGGGCTGTATTTAGAAATAGTGACATCCGTCATAGTTACCGACAGAACCATTAAACAAGAGTGACTCACCTGCTAATGAGTAAATTTCTCTTTTTTCCGTTTGTGTGTCTTTCTCTATTATGATCCTCCTTTGGTATTGGATTTCTGTCTTCATACACCCAAAACAGAAATGACTTCTCGGACCACGATGCTCTCTTCTCTGGCTGACTGGCTCACACATTATACCAGGTCGGAATCAGACCCCAGGATCTCTCAAATCCCAAACGAAATTTTACTGATGATTCTTTCTCAACTCCCACTCCCATCACAAGTCTGTCTAGCACTGAACTGCAAGACACTATACCTTCTCCTATCTCCCCTCATCTTCCAAAACAAGAGCCTCGCCTGGCCAAAGCTTCTAGCTTTCTAGACATACGAAATCCCTCAGGCTCAAAGCTCCCTTCCACGAAATCAACTTCTCCTCCAGCTGGAAAACAATCGCTGGCTCTACTGCTCGATGTGTTTGAAGCTTCACCCTCGCGCCGCATTCCACAGATATTGGAGTTCAGCTCCTTCCGCAGTCAGGAGATGTGATGACCTTACATCAGTAGTCGATCTGTGTCCGTGTGTCTCATTGACTATCTTTGACAGAAAACAACTTTACACGTGACTGCAGACCGGGACCCTAGATCATAAAACGCGCTCCTGCGAGGCATTTCAGATCCGGTCTCATGGTGAATCACCCGCCCTTTATCATTACCGTTCATAACAGATGATAAGGACGTATCAGTGGACCTCCGGGTGAAGTTAAACTTGTCGGATACTCACCTATTCGCCATAACGAGATGCAGATTACACATGCAAACTCAGGCGTCAGTCGCCAGACAAACTCGCTTTTATAATGTCCAAGCACGTTATCAGATGGGACCTTTATTTGTCTGTCCGCATCTTGATCTCGTTGATATCGCATATCATGAGAACTACCGGCTGGCACGAACGTGTACCGTGTGCTTCACGAGAGTGTCCTACTACACGGGCGACGACCCCGATATTGAAATAAACGTTTCGCGAGATTTAGGAATTCTCAATAAACCTGTAGATACCATCTGGCGCGTAACTGCTTGCCCAAGCGGCCATCGTGAGCTCCGGCTCTGGTATAAGTATAAGTATAATGGCGAGAAAATTAACAACGAGCCTTTTGAGCCAACGTCGGAAGCTTTTGCGCGATGGTATGGTAGTGATGGTGCAGTGGATAGATTCACGTGGAGGTTCGAAGCAAAGAGGAAAGTCACTGGATTGAACTACGAGCTTTTGGACGATAAGAACCCCAAAGATCTATGGATAGAATGAGGCAAATTTCTATATCGTCATAATATCCCGATTATATTAGCCCAGGTTACTTGATTATTTTGATCTTATAGCTACACATGCATATGTGACAACACCTTAAGTGTTCAGCTATATAAGCTCACTCAAATTTGCTATAATGAAGGGATGTACTAAAACCACACGTTAGAGTGTATTCCAAAGCACGTAAAAGAAGGAGTGTTCATCCGATACCCAGGTGTAGGCGTTATAGTGTATTTACGTAAGGCACAAGCAGCTAAGCGCTTCACCCTTGCCCTTGTCTGACCACCCCTACTTAAAAAATGTCTCGGGGGCCTTAGCTGCCACGCATTCCGTTTGTATGGAAGAGGATGCGGCCCAGGCGTCCCCAATTCCTGTCCTCATCCATTACGAATATTCAGTAGACCTTCAAAGCCTTTACCAGGTCTCCTCCTGGGGTCTTTCGACCGCAGACTCCGACCCAGATGTAGATTCTAATCCCCCTATCTCGACAAGATTGGGGTTCAGCGCCGCCTCCCTCCGGAGGTACTGGGGTGCCGTCAAGACCTTGACCTCAGATGGTAACTAGCCCCATATCGCCCGGAAGGAGCGGTCGTTGAACCGCATACTCCGATATCTGTGCACAAGGCTGGTTATTCGCTCTGTAATGGTTATACGCCATATCCGTTGGTGGTAGTAAACAGCGGGTGCCTCCGACTGTCATCAATACCTACCCTGCGGTCGCCAAGGGCCAGGATAGGTCGGCTTTCCATATATACCATGCGGGTTTCCTATACAGGTTCAACACAACGACGTGACTCGTTTCGACACTTGCGGGGGGCTGAGCACCATCAGCGCTATGGACTCATCCCTAGACCCGAGGGGCTTCATGATCCTGCGGTGTCTTAATATATTTACTCAATATGTGTACAGTATTCTACGTACGGGTGAAGTGGTATTCGCCAGGCTACCAATCTATTGAGGCAGAGACAAAACAACAGAGCAATAAAAGCAAGATACCCATGGGGTAATGCACGGATGAATACAAAGACTGTGAGCGGCTAGAGGGTGTGTTGAAACTGAAGAAAAGGAAAGAAGGTGAAATCTGAACTCGTCTTGGCTTCACCCGAAGGCTACTAGTCACCGGCACTGCGTAGAAGTGCGAGTTCGACGCCAGTGGCCCTTCGCCTGGGTGGCCGGACCATGCCACCGAGGGTCCTCGGGGTATTGTGGGCGATTGCATTCTTCTCTCCGGTGCTCCAACCCCGTCTCTAGCGGCCGCTTTCCGGAGAAAGCTTCGAAGGGACGAGAATTGGACGGAGTCTCTCATCCCCGGCGGCCTGCTTAGCGAAAGGCTATTGGCCTCCCTTCCCCACTCCTCTCTCACTCGATGTCCGCTTCTTGAAGACCTTGACAGGCAAGAAGCGGGGCCTAGGGAGAAGGTGTGGAGCCGGGACTCGAGCCTCCAGCTACACCAGGCCTAGCTTCGCTATCGTCCTGCGACCACAGTCCGGGGGCGAGGAATCTGGCCCAGGACGTCGCGATGTCGACAACGAGCGCGCCAACGACATCGCTCAGTAAGAAGTCCGCAACCTCCCGAGCTAAACCGTCAGCCACTTTCTTCTGAATAATAATAGAAGAAAATGATAGAATGGGGAGCGAGCGTGGGTGATGAGATGGATCTTTTGTACTTACTTGTGTGACTGCGGGGTGTGCAAAGAAAGAAAATTCTCAGCTAGGCCAAAGGAGAAAGAAATGAGAGAGCACGGCATGTTTATGGAAAAGGAAGGCACAACACCATGGCGGAAGGTGCTCTGGAAAGGAAGGAGCTAGTATACCAACTGATCCCGATCCGATCAGATAAGATAAACACGTGCCCCGCTAAGCCAACACGTCATCACCATCACCAGCAGTCAACTCCATTCGCCAACTCCATTCCCCAACTTCCGTAAACGCCTCAATTCAATCGCCATCTTTCTATGCCTACCTATTATCCATACCCAGTACATAGAAGCATACGAACAGAATTTCAGTCAAACAGACACCGTGGCTCCCCTCCGCCCCAACTCCTCCACCACCCTGCGACGACTCGCCCTTCTGAATCCCCACCTATCTCCAGCTTTAAGCCCCCTTTCGACCTCAGCGATGCCCTCCCCCGCCCCCTGGCGCTCCCCATTCGAATTCCACCTCACGACCAACTCATCCACCTCCTTCACCCTCTCCACTATCGCCTTCGACGCACAGAACCGGCCCGTCCCGCGCGCGCGAATCTGCGAATTCCGCGGCTTCTGGCCCACCCCCAAGCTACACCCTAGCGCCATCGAAGCCCTCAACGAACAAAATGTCGGTCTGAACCCCTCCGTCTGCGTCAGCGACTGTCTCTCCGCGACGACAGACGCGCGAATGGAGAAGGTCGAGCAGCTGCGGGCGTCGGGCGGGCTTGTCGAATGTGTTTTCTGGCTGGCGGACGTGAAGACGCAATGGCGGGTGCGTGGGACCGCGCATATAATTGGGGATCTAGAGGGTGGAGCGGAGGAAAACGAGGCGAGGAAGAAGGTGCTCGAGAATTCGGAGTTTAGGGGGGATGCGAAGGGGTGGGATGTTGAGAGGCAGGTGACGGCTTATTTTGCGAATCATTCACCCGTGATGAGAGGTTTGTTCTTTTCTTTTCGCTTTTCGTTCTTTCTTTCTACACCTCCTATATGCTACATTGCATGTCTGAATACTGATGCCGTCCCTTCAACTATCAGGATCGTTCAAAAACCCCTCCCCCGGTCAACCCAAAGCAGGCGCGGAGCAGGACGAAGAATCCGAACTCGGCCAGAAAGTGAACCAGCTGGATGACCCAGCCGCGCGGGCGAATTTCCGCGTCATGGTCATTGCGCCGGACGAAGTAGAGAGCCTGAATGTTGAGACGAGGGAGCGCAAGAAGTGGACATTAGAAGGCGGAGTGCAGTCGCAGAAAAAATGGAAGGAGGTGGATTTGTGGCCATAGGACAGATATGAATTTGCAAAGTGGTTGGGTGGTTGGGTGGTTGGTGATGGCGGATTTCTCTTTATTTGGGAGGGCGGATATGGGGAACCCAGTATCATCTGTTTGCAGTTAGTTTGTGACTAAGAAAGGAATGAACAAAAGACACAATAGAATTATTTAGATTGGGCCCTTGTCTCTCTTTTTTTGATTGTGATGTTAGAGAGGGAATTGCAAGATAAGGCTAGTTCACCTTTATGGCACGCAAGTCGCTACGGGAAACGTGCTGGAAATAAAGAAACTGGTTTCCTTAGAAACAAACAAGCACATGTACACTGCTTTCAATGATTATTTCAAAGGGAACAGTGACTTTCTTTCAAAGTTTTCGCCCGTTCTTTCTATCTGATTTTTTATTTGTTCCTGTCTTGCCTGGTCTATATAAGGTACCAACCGGGACTTTCCTTTCGCCGCAACTACGAACTTGGTCTGTGGGAGCGAATATCACCAGAAAGTTCTGCACATACCGCACATACGTACATACGTTGATCGTATCTTTAATAGACTTGTGGGCCTTTGGTGCCTTCAGTTTATCCTCATTTTCGTTTTATCTTATTTTCATTCTTTTCCGCTATATACTCGTCGCGATTTACATCTTTTGGGAGAGCCCGGTCTATCATTAGATCACACAACTTGTCAAGAGTCACAAACAAAAGAAAACTCCACGTCAGAGTTCTGTATGAAGTCATGAGTGACCAAGGATACCAGGTAAGTATTCCGGCAGGCGGTTGATACCCTTACCCAACCAGACAATCTACTTACCAACCACCTCGCAGTCCGCGTCGGAAGACGTCCCCCCATCGACTCAGCCCAGCTCGGAAATCCAACCGTCGCAGGTCGCAGAATCCGAGACCAGGCCCAGGACCAGAAAGACCAGCAAAACGCCCCTACCCACAATCGCCGAGGAGGACGCTGAAGAGAATCCCGACCTGCTGAATGTGACTTCCCGGAACAAAAAGGTAAGCGCTGAATTTCCATGACCGTCCCTTGCTAGTGGTCTCTTTTATAACTTAATCTTATTTCTTCCAAGGCATCCAAGTCTAACGAGCATAAAAAGACCCCTGCGTGCCCACCGTGTAGGAAGTCGAAGATCAAGTGTAAACATCGTCTTGAGATCGGTGAAGATGGCCAAATCATTGAAGATAGCCAAATCAGTGAAGATGGCCAAGGTAAGCCAATTCCGTTCACTCTGTCCCCTTGACCATCTCATACCCATGCCTATGGCCAAATAATCTGACTCCGTTAGTCTCTCCAGAACCAGTCACTCCGCCGAAGACGCGCAAACGCAAAGCCAACACTGTCACAGCAGGAGGAGGAGGGGGAGGAGGAGGAGAAGAAGAAGAAGAAGAACAGGTAGAGCCAGAATCTCAGACCGAGTTGAAGAGGATTAAGCTTACTCTGGACAAGAACGAGGACAAAGGCAAAGAACCAAGCGAGGAAGTGGCAGAGCCAGCCACAGCGACTAAAAGAACCCGCGGAAGGCCTCGAAAGCGTCCCATCGAGGACTCGGGTGCCGGGGAGAATGAAGACAGCAATCCCCCGGCGGTCAAACGGCCCAAGAATAACAAAGCGCAGGAGCAGACAGTGTCTGCCGAGTCCGGCGAGGCATCAACAGCTCCCGCCCGGAGGAAAAATACAGCCCTGAGAAATTTGGAGGACTCGGCGAGTTTATCTTACATTCAGGTGATGATGCGCCAGATGGGAAGCCAATTAAAGGATTCCGACGACAAGTATGAAGCGTCCTTGAATAAATTTGCAACGACCCTGGAAACATTCAAGGAGGTCCTCGATTTATTTAACGAGGCCAAGCAAAGTTTCAAGGGGGCCAAGGGGACGATGGACGTCATGGTAGAGAAATTTGGGAATGGTGAGAACTGAATGATCAATGGAGGCAGAAAAAACAAATTATCAGTATCAAGTCATAAGAGCTATTGTAGTGTACCTCTACACCGTAGGCACACCTGCATGTCAGGTGTCGGGGACATTTTCCTGCAGAGAGGCACTGGCCTATAAAGTACGACCCTTACGGCGCGGTGTAACACGGCCGAGGTGTTTGCTCTCCGAGAAAAGGGAGGTGGTTCGTTTGTCCGTCTTATGATTGTTCCGATCGGATAAACGATGACTGCTACGATTTCACGAGAAAAATCCCGATACTCGTGAAATGGCATCAGCTGATTGATCGATCGACTGACATCGAAGCAGCCGCATCCCTGTTGCCTCGCAGTGTCCTATGGGCGTGCAAAAGCAAATAACTCGGCAAATCAGTTAGTTCATGCGAAAAGGGCATTTCTGACTCGCCAGCAGACGAGTCGACAGGTTGGTGGTGGGCCCCCGACCGAAATATCAATTCTGCATCCAATATCCACTCTCACCAAGGATTCTGGAGTCTGGAAAACATTTCTGACAGTTCTTTTGTTCTTTAAATTAAAGAGTGACAGCGCGTCTTCTCATTGATCGTTCGCTCTCTTCCAAAGAGGCAATAAGCCTGCAACCACGGGCTGTCCGACGATCGGAACTCCACCACCTTAGACCGTCCCCGTCTTAGCTCTGACCGTCGCAAGGCTACCTCCGAGCGAGTCCGTAGGACTCCAATCAATGAGAATCGAGAATTCCGAACGGCAAGATTTATCCTTCGTCTACTCCGTAGTCCGTATGTTATGCTTAGATATTCCCGTGGATGCATCGCCTAGCTTCTTAGGTGACGTCCTCTCTTCTGGGTCTTTTCCAATGAGCAGTGCGGATGCCGCGGGAGGGCCGTTACGTGTCATGCCCGTTCTGGGCAAGAGACCGTTTAGGATGCAGGCATTGCCTGTCTGTTTGTCACAAATGACGGAGAAGGGGGGGGGGGGGGGGGTTGTCGATCGTTGAATTCTTCAAGAATCAGAAAATCAGGATGCGGAGAGAGTGTTGAGAACAGGGAGCAGACTCCTCATCCAGTTGCCTCGTCCGAGCGCAGCCAGCCGTTTGTTCGAGGACAGCTTGTACGATGTAGGTCGTTGCCCTCGAGGGTTAGGAGATAACTATCTGAGGGTCATCTTGCTGAGAAGTGAGAAGCCTGTGCAAATGGAGGTGGTGTGATAAACAGTAATATACGGAATCACCGACCGTTTCGAAGCAATCAAACACACCGCTCCTTTTCGACGCATCGACCAGGATGAGGGATTGAACGAAGCGAGCAGCGGAGCAAAAGGGACTTTGTAAAGGACGATCGAGCGACTTCCTAAGCAGGCAACCCAGGATGCCCAAGGCCTCCACAGCGTACTGTGTACGGTACGGTAATTCCCTCGGCGGGCGGCTGCATCGGCCGCCCCACGCTCGGGCTTCTCGTAATATACCTAGGTACTAGTCTGGTCTTGTAATTTTCCCCTTCCTTTCCTTTCCTTTCGCCCCGGTCGCTGTCGTCCTTTTTTTCGGTTCTCTCTCTCTCCCTGATTTTCTCTTCCTTCGTCATTCTTGCTCTTCGTTTCTTTCTCTTTTCTTTCCCCTTTGACTTCCCCTCCTTTCGCCTGTTTGAATCTTTTCTTATTTACCTCTCCCACGCCGCTCCCCTCCGTGGTTCAACCCCTGAGATCTCCCATCGGCATTCCACTCCCTACAATTCCATGGAACTCAACTAGCGACCCGAATTGGGTTTGGGACCCCGGCTGCCGCTACTACTTACTAGTGACTGCGACTAGATCACCGACTCCGTACTCCGTATACTCAGTGCAACGAACACCCTGATCACCATACAGACGACTCTACGACAACACGACCCCATCCGATCTAACAGATCCCATTTGAACATATATTTTATCCTTACAACTTATCGCAATTCGGACGACCGGAACGCAGAGGAGTTTAGGAATTCTGAGACCATGCCGGCCGGTCCCATGGACGCTTTGGAGGCCTTCTCCCATCTCTCGAAAAATTTACCGCAATGGATCACGCGGTTGTCTGAGCTGGCCACCTACACCGCCGCCAAGCATGCCGAATATGCCGAGGACTTCAAGAAACATGCCGTGGCGAAGCCACGTCGTCGCAAGAACAGCTCGATCTACTCCATCCGCACCGACGAGGGTGTGCCAGATGGCTCGACTCCAGCGGCCATCGACTCGAAGAACAATCCTTCCCGCATTCCCCGAAAGCGCGGAACTGACGAAGCCTCGATCGATGATGATGATCACTATTCGTATGTGAGCGCGCGACACAACCTGATCATCCAGTATGACGGCCACACCCAGAAGTCTTTGGAGGAAATGGTACGACACATTGGAACGGCGAGGAACAACATCCGTCGGGGCCGCATGTCGCAGCTTCCGCTCGGGGGGTTTAGCAGCGGCGCGGGCGCATTCGGACGGAGCGCACGACGGAATGAAGGACCGCGATTAATGTCCTCGACGGCAGATGTTTCGGAAGACCAACTACTCTCGAACATTCGCAGTGCCCGAGCTCAAAAGTTGCCCGGACCTAGCATGACAATTCCAAAAGACTCTTCCTTCGACGTCGCAGAAAAACATCTGGAGCTCGCCCACAGCATGTGTGAAACCGCTGCATATCAGGTTTTGCGCTCGGGTGATTGCTCGAGTCAACTGGGTAGCGTTGAAGATAAATTCAAGAGCTTGCTGGATCTGGCCAACAAGGAGGTCAAGCGTCTCGAGGCTGAACAGAGCAACACGGAGTCTGAAGATGAAGCGGAAGCGGAAGCAGAAGAGCTTGCGCCGGTCAAGACGGAAGACCGACCACCCGCCTTCAGCGGAGAGATCGAGGTCGACGACGGTTCTGAGTCCGTGGAGTCATTGGACCTGACGGCTTTCCGAGCCACCCGGCTGAGGCGCTGCTAAAGATAGCACCACATCCGATGCCGTTTCCTGGAACATCTTTTGTTTCGCCCTTTCATACCCAAATATCCCTTTCCACACTGAATTTAGCGTTGCAGAGAATTGGTTTACAGTCTTTCATCAACATCAATCATCTGGTCACGGAACAAAAAGCATTTCTTTTTTTTCGGGTCGGCGGCGAATTCTTGATAACTTTAATCACCCCATTCATTCTTGCTTTTCATTTTCTTTCTGTCGTTTCCTCTCGCCTTACTTGATTTTCTCTCTTTGGCTAGTTTTGACTGTTCCTGTCTCTTCATATCCCTGATGAGTACTTACGTTGTTGGCATTATCTGATTGAAGAGCATGGCGTCGGCGTTATCTATTGTTTGTTTTAAATCTACCTAGCCATCTGGGCGGGTCATCTCAAATCTGTCCATATTGAATATATTACCTATATCATAATATACTGCATCTATCTATCTCTGTCTACACTGTCCACTGTGTACTCCGTGCTGTGTATGCCCTTCCTCCGTCCATTTGCAGATCTATTCAAAAAGCACGAACCGAGGTCCAATTGCCGACATCACCTGACCCATCCGTCCGGCCTCCACGTATCCACCGGTGTAACTTACCTGTAATATTACACATTCGCTCCACTCTCGGGGATCTGAACGGTCCCCTTGAGGGCGCTGGTTGGTCGCCACCCCGCGAGGTCCCCGAAGGCCGTCGGGGAAGTGCCCCGCTTGTCTGCATCGACTTGCTTGCATGGGCCCGGTCGAGACTCGGTGCGAAGTGGGTGGAGTATGGAGGGTGGATGTCGGGATGGACTGGGTTGTGGTTTCATGTAGAGATATTTCAGTATTCTAGTCGGCACATTCGTAACTAATGAGTACTTTGACTCATTGAGTATTTCATGTTAATGGGTGTGTAGGACTAGGTAGGACTGGGTATGGTTGTAGCGGGTCGGGCCTTCGGTGCGGACTGCGGATAGAAATAAAGTTAGGTTTGGCTAAGTCGGTTAGTGCCAGTGAAGTCAGGATGAAATTGAAGTTGAAGTCTGGCTTTATACTTAGCCTAGGGTTTATTTTAGGGTCTGGTAATGTGCTGCTGTAGGTACAGGATGGAGTGAGCCTTTTTCTTTTCTCGCGGCCAACTGCGGCGGTACGAGATATATTTTAGGGTATATGATGCTGCGCTGGTCATTATTCCGAGGATATCTATAGTCAGTTAGCCATTTAAATTTCTTGTGAGATTATTTCGTTTGCAATATGGCCTTATGGTTGATGTCTGATACTGACGAACTCGTAGAGTGTTAACCACACTATAATTATTGCTCGACAGACGTTCAAAGGACGAAAATGGCCGGGCCAGGTCCGAGAAGATAGCCACAAGAGTATACTCGATAGTGCCGGATGAAGGGCTTGGAAAAGGGTTTATACCGTGTTGAACTGTCTATATTGGAACATCGGTGGGATATGTTTTTCTCTATTTTTTGATCGCTAATCAAGATTGGTTTGAAACGACGCTGGAAGTCGCGTAAAGAGCGTCGTCGCATGTCTTGGGGGAGGATGGTTAGCTTGAACTTCTTTGAATATGATCTGATGACATGAACATGAATGATAAGAATCAGGTGTTAATAAAGTAACACACGTGCCGTAGACCAGGAAATCAATCAATAACTGCCTGTAGACAGCGTGATTGACAGATGAGAAAGCGTTCAATCCGAGAAATTGCCGTCTGTTGGGGGAATAGAAAGGTGGGTTGGTCATGGAGGAAGATTCTTGCCCGCGAGAAGCCGCCGTCAAAGCGGCACATACTAGCAGGAAATGCAGTCTGTAAGCCATGAAGTACTCCAACTTCAACTGCACTATGACGTCTGCTCGGGGCTACCGATGAAAAACGGGCTGGATTCCCAGTCGACCGACCTCTGCATATCTGACCGTGACCTTGACCGTGCCCTCAAGCCATACGTACCGGACACCAGTGGGATAGAAACCTATTCAACACACAAACCCCCTCACTCTCTGGGTACCTAAACAAGGCAGGCACATCAGACGGAGGAGAGACCCCCGGGCGTGCATACTTCTTGTGTGCAGACTTCCTGTCAACCATCCTCAAGCATATCCCCAAAGGCCACCGGTATGAATCTGTCTGGTACAAGCAAGCAAGTAGGGATTACCACGCGATTAACCGAGCTCGGTTTCTAACCCATCCGGCCAAGTACGTACTTATATTAAAAGCCCGATGGGCGGTAGACCTCGGAATCCCACCTCCGATGGGGCGAGATTTCACTCGCAACCGAGATCGCCTTTGATGGAGACAGGCTGTGCAGATCGAATGGCCGGACAATAGACGGAACTGGAATATCAAAGCGGAGAAAGAAGAAGCTAAGCCAGTCGGTGCAGAGATGGAGTCGGGATTGGCGGGATCAGAATCCGCTGGATACCTGGACTTGGTCTGGGGGTAACTTCGAGGTACGGGTCAATGTGTATCTGGATCGGAGATAAAGGTTGCCGCGGCTCCGAACCTTGATATATACAGTTTGACTCTGGGATGGTTCTACAGATTGAGAAACCATATCATGTCGGTAGGGTAGAGACGTGTTGTAGAGTAGAGTGAGGTGGAATAGATGTTCCTTTCGGAGGTTTGAAGGAATTCCAATCTAGACTGCCGACTGACCGAAGCCAAAAAAGGAAGTCTTGATGACCTAATGCCTCAATACTGTAGGATGCTAACATAGGGGGCAATTCGACGAGCATCAACGAAATAGATTTGCTCCGCTACAAGTGATTGTTACGGCCTTCATTCCTCAGCAACGGCTGCAACCGGAGTCTAGAACTAGGTACATAAGCCCATGTTACTCTAAGGTGTTGACTATTTTCCTCCGTAGCTGGAGCCCATAGATCGTGGTGTGAGCCATTGGCGAGGTTCGTCCTCCAAAGAGATGAAATGGCTCGGGCAACTTGAACCGTCGGTCTGACCACCATCGAACTCAATTCGCGCACTGAGGTCCAACGCACTCTAGCATCAAAAGAAGAAATCATGCCTACAACTATAGCTGAGCTGGCCGGAGTTTTCGGATCGAAGATGGCACCACGGCAATGTACCTGAGGGCAAGGACACCAGCATGGCTAGGACTTCGACAGACACAAACCAACAGACAAGCTAGCCTGTGCTTTGAGTACCAGGTAAGCCCGAGGTAAGCAGAAGCACCAGTGCCCAACTTCTCACCAAACGCACCGTTCTGTCGAAGCCGTTCAGCGTCATCAAGGTCGATGATCCACTGTCCAGCTCATCCCACGGCTAGATAAGACCAGAAAACATGAACCTCGGGCGAGGTTTGCGCAGATATACGTACCTCTCCCAAAGCTCTCCCAAAGCTTTCCCAAAGTTCTCATCTAGTCTGGGGTTCACACCGGGGACTTGCATTATTGGACCAAGCGCAGGGAAGGGAGGGGGACAAATGGGTGTCTAAATATCTGATCTGAGATATTCGTGGTACCCCTTAAAAAAGAAATGCCGTTGTCCGTGTTGGCTGGATATGTCCCACCGTGGCCCTGGCCTGGAGCTCCGATTTCATGCTGGTGAACTAAGCCGATGTTTTGACCCGTACCGTTGGATTCTGAACTGTCCATCCATAAGGCCGGAACGGGGTGGTACAGCATCTGGTGTTGCCTTCCATGGCTTGGCTGAATTGACTAGAGCAGAGGTCCGCGGCGGTGGCGAGATAGGCGACGGGTGTTTGAACTGAATAAACATTGGTAAGTGGGAAAATGGAAGAGATGGGGAGTGGGATGAAGGAGGAAGAGAGTCGGTCTGCTACGATGGGTTAGACCGCCATCCACCCCCGTGCGCTTTTAAAACTGCCGGGACATGGGATTCTGGCGTTGTTTCTTCCCTCGTCATCATCCGTTCAAGCTGTCTTCACAATGGCCTGTGCTGCCTCCCAACTCTATTTTTATCGCCCACCGCAAGAGCCGAATCCCCGTCCACCAAATCGTATCAGATCACTGACGTTTAGGTTTCCATGCATCCGATTGCAGTGCATTCTGGACTGGAGGGATGAGAGGGGGGCTTGCGTGGATCGCCCCTCCCAACTGACTGGGATCTAGCGATTCCGACGACCGGTTTAGATACCGTGATAGGTGTCATTATTCTCCATGTCTTCCCTGATACATAAGTATAATGGCAGATACGTGGACATCGCTGGTCGCTGGTCTCGTTGGCTTCGGCGGGTTTCAATTCTTCGCGATAGTTGTGGATTCTCTTAGCCATTGGCTCTGTTGAGGATTATCGGAGAAAATTGTGCCCAACAGACTCTTTTCTGATTATGGCATCGTGAGTCTTCTTTCCCTGCTATGCTTAGGCTTTCCCAGTCTAACTCTGTCAGCAGAGCATGCACCACGGCCAAACGACCCCCAAAGCTCCGGGCGGCCTGCAACGAGTGTCATGCGGCCAAGGCAAGTGATACTAGGTCTTCAGGCTTATTTCTCCAGTCTAATTTTCGCCGTAGGTTCGCTGCTCGGGTGAAAAATCGGGATGCCAACGGTGTGCCAATCTAGGATTGGTCTGTATATTCTCCATCTCGAGAATCGGCAAAGTCCCGGGGAAAAGAAGTAAAGCAAATCGAGCGGCGGCGGCGGCAGCAGCTTTGGCCGCCTCCTCGTCTTCATCTACGCTCAACTCAACTTCTTCGACATCCCTCCCCTCACCTACAAACCTGATTCCGCCGAATGAAGCTTTGCATTCATTCCGTTCTCTACAACACTCTGAGGATGGGACTAACGTCTCTCGACCACCATATCCCGTTACAGTGTTGACAGGGTTTCCCCGAGATCCGTCCTCCATGATCACTCCGGTACATGACTACACCAGCAACATCCAATTCTACGCTGGCGATGGTCCTCATCCTGATCCGGTCTCTCTACCGGATGTTCTTCCATCCAATGCACCCTATATCCTACCCACTAACGTCGACATTGGCCTTTCCGATCTCAGTAATCTCCCCTGGACTGCAGAGCTCGATCAACTGAGCGCGTATGGTCTACCCACCCCAGGCCTCGAGATCCCCTGCATAGCTAAAGCTCCTCCTTTGCCTTTTAGCGATCGGCAAATAAACCATGCACAGGCCCAGAATTTCCCCCAAACCCAGAGTCAGGAATGGGACCTCGATTCTGGCAGCAACACCAGCAGTGTCGATCCCCGTCGCACCAGCATCACTTCGATACGGGCGCCTATCACACCTCCGGACTATAACGTTCTTGACGACGCAGTTCCACCCACACCTCACTCCATGCGTCCCCTTGACCCTCTCAGCAGCTCCGCGTACCTGCAACTCCTCCACGACATTGAGCAGACCACCGCCCTAGGTCACACGCATACGGTGGACTCTGTCCTCGCAGCCAACCAGCGCTACCTTAGCACGCTGCTTCGCATGACGGAAACCCCTGGCTTCCAGTACGGCTACGACACACATCTTCTATTCACTGTGGCATTGAGGAAAATTATCGCGCTGTTCACCGCGGGATATCGCGATTTCGTGATTCGTATGGAGGGGCCGGAAAGTAACATCAACGGCATCAACAGTTACGCAAATAGCCACAACAACAGCAACAATGTGGCCACCGGTATCAATGGCAGCGGAGCCGACCGACTCATCCGCTTCGGAGTTTTTGAAATTGATCTCGTTGAGCAAAAGGCCATCTGCCGCAGTATCCTTCTCCGAGAGTTGAAGCGCGCAAGACTTTGTCTTATCCGATTAGTCGATGTCTTGGAAAGGGATAGTGGTGGATGCGGTGGTGCTGGACGCCACGAGGGAATGTGCGAGGAGATGAGTCGGCGGTTGGATTTGTTGGTTGGGTCATTGGAGGGAGAGTAGTCATCCCTGTTTTCCCTCGTAGATTGAGCATAAGTCTTTTCGTTTTGTCTCTTGATTCAGGCAATCTTTCTTTCTTTCTTTCTTTTTTTTTCTGGGTGGTTTTTCGATGCTGGACCATCTCTCTGTCGCTTTAGCCCTGGATTCTTGAATCTCCTCTGCTGTCTAGTCCCTAATCTTTATTACTCTTTTTTCTATGCGCTCTTTCTTTTCAACCCCTTTACATGTGCTGCATACAAAAGCCCTAATAGTTTGAGAAGTCGATGCTATTTACGAGGATACACTAAACATCACAATAAATGGCTAAACAGTCATATATGAAGAGTGACGGCCCTATGTTAAGTCAACTCCATCCAATCAATAAGAACGAACGGGCTTACCTACTTGAACTTTCCAAGGTGGAAGGAGGGCAGAGTTCTTTACGTACTAAGGTTAGATTGCGTTGCGCTATGCAATACTTACCTACCTACCTACCTATCTATCCATTGTATTACAAAAAAGAAAACAAAAAAGAGGAGAAACAAAAACACAGTGATGAACGTTATCCGTAATCAGATAGCATTGCATTGATTTAGGTTGACGTGTATTCTCTTTCCTCCTCTGCGCTTCACTATGTCTCGGCGGCCGAAGAGAGGCATCTATTCATTGAAGTGCATCTTGATTTTATGTAAGTATGCATATGCAGATATACGTAAGTGTACCTCTACCTAGCCAGGACGTAGATTGAATAAAGGGCTAGAAGGGACTGGAGTGTGGTATGACGTTGTCTTGGCTTTTGAGGGTCTGGATTGATCGATAGATCTTTCCCCTTCTCTCTATCTGGGTGTGTTTACGTGGTTTAGGAACTTCTACGTAATAGGATAGAAGATGTATAGTATGTATGTACAACCTATCGAGGAAAATCAATCCCCCATAAGGACCAAGAACAAATATCGACAACAATAAACGCACCAAATCCCGCCCTCCCATAGGGCTATTCCACCCACCACTCCTCCCCCCTCTCTGTCCTCTCCTTTCTTCCCCTTCCCTTCGGCTCTAGATTATATGAGAAGCCGCCGGGAGAATTGTTCAGTCAACAAGTCACTCGCTTTCCTCGCATTCCGAACACTTTTCGATATGGAGGCGCCCTCCCGACCCTCGAATCCAGAAACGTAGAACAAATTTGGTGCCAACTCCATCGGCTCAACTCGTTCACCCTGAATAAGAGGCATACCGTTGGACCAAAACTCTCGATGGATCCACCTAATATCTGGGTTGTTCACACAGCCTGGCAAACGCACCTTCTCGTCCTTGCCCTCCCTTTTTGGTGGTTCATCACCAATCGTGTACCCCTCATCCTGGTTTAGCTTCCCACAACTCTGATCCGAAAATGTAACTTCTTTTCGAGGCTTGCCATTCTTCCTTAATAAAGTAGCAATGTCAGAGTCTGAGAAGTTCTCTTTGGAAATGACTCTATACATGGGTTCTGAGCTACATACGCAGCCTGAACACGTATCACTAGACCCTTGGACAATCGAAATAAAAGGAGGCGCGGGAGACTTATGATCTCCGGTCGATTGCCCTGTGTTCCAGATCATCAAAGGAACTTTGGTTTTAGGCGGAAGATTAAAAGTTTGACGATCCAACGCAGTTCGGGAAATGAAGTGCGTGACGTGTAGAGGCTGGTATTTGACTTCTTGGGGAACAGCGGATGGAGCAGGATGTATGTTAATAGGGCTCTGGGAGAAAGGAGCCGCAATGATCACATAGTCAAATCTCTCAGAGTATGTATCCTCCAACCCCGAATCGGAATCCTGAGTCCAATAGACATTGAAATCTTGATGCCTCTCAATCCGCGTCACGGTAGATCCCAGCTTCAGCGAAAAGGAATCATCACGGCCAAGATGATTAGCTAGCTGCGATAGAAGATCCATATTTCCATCCCTGGCGGAGCTTTGTGGTTTCAAGCTGATACTATGTGTATCTGCGAAGTGCTTTAGATCTGCTTCACGTGGTATTGGTCGTGCCCATGCAGCTGCCCACACGATCATTTCAAGGCGTGTCTTGGGGTCGTCATACCCGTACCACTCGAGGGAGTCTCGTAAGTTCTCGTCGGTAGCTGCTTGCCAAAGTGTCCGGCGGAGGTTCATCCAGAAGCGAGGCTTTAGGCCATCCTGTCTCAAAATTTGTTTCAAGGAAGGCCAGTTGAGAGGTGGCTCCTCCGCCACATTGATCGTGAGCTTTTCGCCGTCCCAGAGACTGGCCCGGTCTAACGCGCCAAGGTTTGCCCTTCGGAGTCTATACTCGTCATAAACATAAATGATTTTCTCCTTAACGGTATCAATACTTATCGCATGAGCAAGCTCGTTTATCAAATTGTCATCCCTGTCGAAGGTGTGTCCACCGGTGTCAACCTCTGAGCCAGTCCCGTATACCTTAGTAGTACGTATCCGCCCGCCTATTCGAGCCTCTCGTTCAAATATTGTGATTTGGGTGGAATTCCCTAGTCTCTTGTCATTCTGCAGGAAATATGCAGTCGATAGCCCGGCGATACCTCCGCCTTTGCAGGTTAGAGGGGTTCAGTACTGGGCATTGAGTTGACTCACCGATGATGGCCACTTTTGCGGGTGGATTTCTCTCTTTCTCTTGTCCAGCAAATGATTCTAGTAGTGGGTTGCCTAGAGCACATTTTTCATGAAGATTCGAATCACACTCCAAATTATTCGACTTTGAGTTTGTGCTGCAAAGTGCCGGTTGCGTAGCAAGGAAGATGATGCAGAGAATGCCAACAAGATAAAAAGAGCGCTGCTTTCCTCGCATTTTGTACCTGCGATGGTCTTCCATCATGAATGAAATGTAGAATTAGAGGGGAGTGTAAAGGTGTCATCAGCAGGATACTATAATATCTATCTGGCAGTCAACACCGTGTCCTCAATGTCGGTTGAGCGTAATCATGACATGATGACACTGGCTTCGAATGTTGTTGGATCCATGAGAATTATGATTGGTTCCCCTCAACACCCCCGGCTGAGGTTTTTATATACTATAACTGGATAATATCTATTATAACACACCATAATTATATATAGGGATACGTATGCGGGTATACCCAGGTGTAGTATGTACCTCTACCTAGGGCGCAGGTAGATTGGAGAAAGGCCTAGATGCGACTGAGGTATGGTATGACGTTTTCTGGTTTTTCTTTTTAGAATTTGACTAAATGCGAATATAAGCCATATCAGCTGAGAAATGGAAATATTTAGCCAAACCTAGACGCAGCAAAAGCGACACGGTGGAAGCAGCAATGGTCACTAGGGGCTGGGACGCAGAGAGTGAGAATTTTTGTATTTTTAGATAGACTACTAGCCGAAATCCTATCTCAGCAAAAATCCATATATCTCGATCTTCAAGGCCGTGGGCTTCAATAATACGGTTTAATTGATTACATTACTGGGGCACAACCGCAGAGTCCTCCGCCTTTGTATGGTCTGCTTCCACGTTCCGCTTCTTCTTGAAGTACTCAGGATTTCACTTCATGAAGCGATAAGACTAATATCTTGAGACTGTTAGTGGGTGGATTTGAAGGATCTGTATGATTCTGCTCAAGGATCTCATTGGTAACCTTCCGAACTCCACGGAGGCCCAACGGGGCTCCTATAACATCAAAAAGGTCGATTGCCGCGTTGACTGACTCGCTTTTCCATGGATTCGTCGGTAGGGGCGATAATAGGATACATTAAATGGCTGCCAGATTTCAGCGATACTAAGCTCGGTTTTTCACTTTTCTTTTTCTTTTCCCGTGATATTCGGGCACAGCGGTGAAAATAAACTCTTACTCGCTGTTGTAGGTTGATTGCATGATTATGACAATGGGAATAGCTTGAAAATTGATTTATATATGCACGAGGTGTACTAAACAACTAGGGAAATACCGATGAGTACTCTACATTTAAGTATCATTAGATGAGATATTGGCTAACTTTGGATGCCGGATGGTCTAGTCGGCTCTTACCCCCTCCTGCAGAGGGTGAAGTAGCTTGGGCCCCGCTGCTTCCCCATCAATTCTAAGGTTGACGGTTCGAATCCCGCGATGAAGGTCCGCGTCCATCCATCATTGCAGGTTGGCGAAAGTGTTCGTGAGCTTTGCTCCAACAATGCTGGGTCATCCTGTGGCGTGATGGGTGGTGTCATCCGCTTTCTGTAATTTTTTTTTTTTTTTTTTTTTTTTTTTTTTTTAAAAAAAAAAAATTAAAAACAAAAAGAACACCAGGAATAAATCGGATCTTAATCTCTCTCTGTGTGTGTGCGCGTGTGTTTGTTTGTGTCTTGAGGTTTTCTAGGCGATGAGATGGAAGATACAGTAGCACCTATTCATCGCCCAATCTCCCTTGATAAAGAACAAATGCAGGAATATAGATTGACAACAAAGGGGTGGTGGTGTCGAATTCCCCGGCTACCTCTCTTTATATTTCTACAGAAATTATGTTGAAGATCACGTCGGAGGAGAGTTCTGACTCTGTATATGCCCAGTGCCAGGAAGGATTTATTCAACATATCTGAGGGAACTATCGGTCAAAGATCTCATTTGTGTCCCACCCCTTGGCTATTTGTATACCGGGCGTAGTGACAACCTGACCTGAAATACTATATAGGGCATTGCGCATTCCAATATTGCGGATTGGAATTCTGGTATTTTTAGTAGTTCAGGGGGTAAATATACCCTTGCCCCAAGAGGAGAAACCAAGGCATCGATGGCTTTATATGAAGCATTTGTAGACCCCAACCCAGGCAATTTTCAATGGCAAGCAGGCCACACGCCCGTGAATTAGGCGCAGAAGACTAAGAGTGCATATGGATTCTATTAACTGAGAAGTGGATGATTTAGTCACCATTATTAGTACAGTGAAGGAGGGAAGGTTCTCCAGACATCCATTACCTAGTGCAGAGTGCTAATACATCAAAAATCACATTTCTTTAGAGATCCTGCTTTTCTATTAGGCTAATTGCTTTGGCTTTCTCTCTATACATAAATTCCTAGATAGGACGGAAGTACGAGCATTCTGTTGACTGTGATGCTCGGTGGTCGTCTATATAGGCATCCGGTAAAATAATAATCTAGAATCACAAAGAAATACAAAGAAAGTTCGAAGAACTGATGCCCTACCTAGTCTATCGAAATTCCCGGAAAGCCTCACTTATTCACTGTGTCTACCCCATCCCCTAGTCACTCAGCCCCCATTAGACTTCCCATACGAAGGTGAATACTCCGTACACCGTAGCTAGATAATAATCTCAATCGTTAACGCGATCAGAAGTCCAGTCACTTCTCGCTCTATTACTCAAGCGTTGCTATACATTATTTCTTGATCACGCAAGAGTTTGCTGACTTGTCTTTGTATCCCGCAATAAATCTCCGATACATTGCCGAAAGGGTACCCAAAATGATACCTATCATATTTGGGATGCGCTGGACAGAAGCGGTGGGATTAGGTATGTCACCATTATGCATGATTTGTTGTAAAGTCACATGGTGGGATTCCTGCTGAAAACTCCTCTCAGGGATCTGAGATGTCCAATGTCAGCACAAATCTTGCGACAGGTACCCAAAGCCAAAATGTTCTCAAATCTGCGTAGAAAGCTTTTTTGCTGCGAAAGAGACAGAGGTAGCGTGGAAGAAAACACTCCTAGTGCCCAGGTGACCCAAAGGGCAATGGTGAAGCTGAACTTGAACCAAACACTGTTGTTCCCCTGCCTTCCACCATAAAAAGACAGCCGGCGGAAGCTACGCCGAAGGAAGATGAAAACTTCCATGACCTGGATCGTCTGCCGAGCTCATCAAATCAACTCAAAGATCATTCTCAGGAAGAGGTGCAACTAGAAGATATCAAAATCTCGGATAAGACCGACGATAAGGCGGGTACTGAAGCCACTGGCAACGCATCTTCAACCAACACGGAACACGTCGATGCAACGGTCGATACCGATTCGGAATGCAATACAAAAGGGTCTCTAATGAAAAGAGCCTTTGACAACCTACAATATTCCGACATAGTAGAAGAGATTGTAGCTCACGATGCTACTAACTATGGTCTGTCATCCTACGCCCCAATTGGAATCGGCTATTAACAAGAACCACAGCATCGAGTGTGTGGACAGTTGTCTCTTTTGGACTAGGGGTAAAGGCCGCTGCCGTTCCTACGCAGTAAACAGCGCTAATTCCATCCTGCAGATGATCAAAAACCATCAGGATCAGAAAGAAGCAATATTCGCTTCCTCTGCGTTTCTTGCAGATATTCTCGCTTGATATTCTATACTGGAGAGTCTCTACCGAAAGGGCCAGTCTCAAACGCAAGACGCCATTGTGAGCGTATATAAAGCTATTCTCAAATACACCGCAGAAGTGAACAAGCGCCAAAAAGCAAGCAAGATGGGTATGTCGTCTCCCTTCATGTCGGTCTATACTTACACTGTCTAGGAAAAACTTGGAATAGCCTATCTTCAGTCTCCAACACACCCCTGACAACGCTTGAATCTACTGTGAGGGAACAAGATCTGATAGTTCGGGACCCCATGGGGTTCAGTCGAAGACAAGTTAGGTGAGGTCTAAATTCTGCTTTCTACGATCTGGGGAATATGTCATATATTTGCTAATTTTAATACCATAAAGCACCAAGTGAGCAAGCCGAAAATACGTTAGCCGAAATAGAGGTTATTGTTCAAAATACAGAGACGATCAAGTATGAAGTGGATGATAAAGTAGCTCCTCCCTAGCCCTAAGCCATCAATTCTGACTCCTCTAGGGATAAAAAGGCAAAGATTATTGGATTGGCTCTCCACCACACCGAATTCACAGACGCAGAACGACAACCAAGATGTTCGAACAGACCAAACAGGTAATTGGTTGTTGTCGTCATATGACTACCACCAGTGGAAAGCCACGCCTGGGGAAAATCTCTGGCTACATGGGCCTGGTTAGTAGTATTAATCCAAAGAAAGAATTGTGCTAACAAGTTGTAAATAGCGGATTGTGGGAAGTCAATTCTATGGTGAGTAAGTAATATGCCAGAATATTAACTCCACTAATTTGTTTCAGCCCCACCGTGATAGTATTGTCTGTCTCACTTCTCACTTAGTGAGACAGACAATACTATCAAACTCGCCCATTTCTCTGTCAAGGAATTTTTGACTGCTAAGAATACTGGTTCATCAAGTCCGTGGTGGCAGCTGAGCGAAATGGAAGGCCACCAAAGCATAGCAGCACGGGCTATTGAATACTTGCTTGAGAAAACGGAGCTCCTAAGCGAAGAATGTGCACGTACTCTTCCGCTATTCAACTACGCTGCAAAACACTGGCATGAGCACTTCCTTAAGCTCGGTGATCTTACTACCGAACCAACGAACATAAACAAAAAGTTTTTCTGTCTGTTTGAGAATTGCAAAGTCTACACGAACTGGTCAATGTACCATCTAGGATAGTACAAGGAACCGAGACATCCCCTCTGCTTGGCTTCTAGACTTGGATTGGTTGCCGTGGTTCATCAGCTCCTCCTATCTGAGCATGAACCTCTGGTGGGTTCCAAAGGCTCATTGTACAGAAGTGCGGTGCAAGCTTCTGCCAGTAAAGGTCATCTCGCTGTTCTAATACGGCTATTGAAGGAGATCGAGATTTCGGAAGAAATTGCGGTGGATGTTCTGCGGTTGTTGACGTAAGATGATCCTTCGCCCGAGCTTCTTGAAACCCTCTCAGGAATAATTCTGGACCCAGATAAGGTGTATATCAAGTCAGAAAATGGATTGCCTGTGTTGGGTCATAAAGTTCTTTCTTGTGCGGTCACGAGTCGCGAGCTAGGACTATACTGGATGACCCGGTTATTAAATTTGCATCAACAGTCGTATTTCTTCTTTGATTGTGACTTTATGGAGGGCCTGATGCGCAATCCCCACGGGCAACAAATTGCGCGGCTACTCTATGAAAAAGGACCAAATTGCATTCAACTGACATCAGAACTGGCATTGAGGATCGCTCTTTAGGGTCATTTCAACCCTCCTGCTGTGTATTACTTCTTTAAGAAATGTGGATCACAGATTCCACTCGAGAAAGGAATGTTATTCGTATTTTCAAACTACGCTCCATTAAAGGTCTTGGAATCACTTTTCCAAAGTCGCATTGTTGCAATTGCAATTACAGGGCCGGTGTTGAGCATTGAAGGCAGGGAGAACCCTGATACAGCTATGACTTTATTTTGAGTCAGGATTCTGTCTACGGAAGAGGTTGTATGTGGGAATCGATATCCTGTGTGGGGTGGGAAAGTGATGACGGTTCGATAGAACTGTAAATCACTTGACACTTACTATATCAAGGTCAGGGTCATGTCTTCAGCGCAACCGCAGTTCTTTGTAAACAATAAAAGAATGAAATCTTAGTACCGTACTAATTTCATCCATAGGTCACATTTAAGCTACCATAAAATCATCAACCCTCTTGTGGTCTAAAGACCTACAGAACAGCCCTCCCGGACAAGAAATCGACCACATCCTGCAATCCCTCCCACACCTTCTTCTCCGCGTCTCCCTCGCTTGTTACATTTCCATCTTTATCATCACCAAGCTCCTCCAACAGAACCCTACTCCCTCTGATCCCGATCATTGCGACTCCCTCCCCATCAATACCCACAGATCGACCAGCCCAACCCTCAAGGAACTCCATACACTTAACGGCCAACCGGAACGCCCGAATACGATCAATCGGAGAGACCTTCCCGCCCTGCTGGAAATGTCCCGGCACGACGCCCTTCGCCTCGAACCGTCCATGTGCCTCGTCTTGAATGATCCGAGCGATCATGTCGGTGCTGTACTGCGGGGAGGTGTTTTCAGTGCGGATGATCAGTTTACCAGCTCGGGGTGCGCCGTGGTCATTTGCAAATTGGGAGCGGAGGTACGAGATGTCGTTGGAGAGGCGATCGAGAGTTACTGGATTCGCGGGCGTGTAGACGGTCATGGCACCGGCGGTCAGTGCGGCTGCTGTGGCGAGATATGCGGAGCTGGGCTCTTGGTTTGGGTCCTGGGACGGGGGCAAGCCGGAGCCTTGGGCCTCGACGACGAAGACGCGGCGCCGAGACGAGGAGGCGGATTGTCGAAGGACGTCGCAGAAGTAGACGAGCGTGTTGAGACTGGTGTCGCTACCGAGACTGTACTCGGTTCCGGGGACGTTGTTGGCCATGCTGGCGGGGAGGAGGATCATGGGGATGCGGAAGGATGGGTAGGTGGATCTGGCGGCACGGAGTTGGTGGATTGCAGTGTGGGCTTCGAGACCGCCGATGACGAGGAGAGCGTCGAAGGCATGCGATTCGAAGCAATGCGCGGTGGTGGGCAGGTCAACACCGGGAAGGCCGATGTTCGTGCCGATATCTGAGCCGCCGTCGGTGATCCAGTCTTCGCAGTCTTCCCAACGCAGGACCCCCACGCTGGAGACGGGAGTGTCGGCGTGGTGACGGCAGAGACCCGGGAAGCCGTTGTGAATAGCGATGGGCGTGTGGCCTTTGGTCAGGCAATAGGCAACGGCAGCGCGCGTGGCGGGGTTCATCCCGGCGGCGGGATTGCCAACGTGAACGATAGCAATGCGCATTCTCTGTCATATGATCAGTATAAATGGTCAAAGAGAGGATGAAGAGAGATTAAGGCACCTTTTCCTGTGGCAGCATCGTACGCGGATGATCTGCCGTGCTCAACCGTCGATATGCGCGATGATGTTCCATGAATTCGGGGTCTCGCAGCTGCATCGCCTTGTCAAAGTCCTTGGCCTGCAGACTCGCATTGGCCTCTTTGGTCAGGGCCACCGTTTCAGCCAACGAGGAAGTTTTAATCCGCGCCTCCTGGATCGTCACGACCGGCGACGGCGAGTCCGGGGTCATGTCAAGCACTGCTTTGACAGCCTCGATGCCCTGCAGGGTAGCGAGCCAACGGTCGTAGGCGCAGGGACTGCCGCCGCGCTGGATATGACCGAGCACGGTGACACGCGTATCGAGATCCAACCGGCTACTGAGGACGTTTTTGACCATTTCGGAGGAAATATGCTGCAGATTATGATCCTGGGCACCTTCGGCCATGATAACGATGGTGCGTCGTTTTCCACGGTTTCGATTCTGCCTCACGTTAGCCCTAGCCCCCTTCTCGATCCCTATCACCCAAAGCGAAGAGGACGAACCTTCATGATAATCTCACACATATCATCTTCCCAGCCCTGCCTCGGCGGTCTCTCCGGGATAAACAACCAATCGGCCCCGGTAGCAATAGCGGCCATGAGCGCCAACCATCCACAATGTCTTCCCATCACCTCAACCACAAACCCCCTGCAGTGCGAACTCGCCGTATCAAAGACACTATCAACCGCCTCACAGATTCTCGTCAACGCCGAATAACATCCGATCGTCGCATCCGTGCCCGAGAAATCATTATCAATGGAGCCCAACAAACCCACGACACTCAGATTCTCATGACCCTTGACCTGCTCAGCTTCTAATTCGCCCTTCTCGACCAACTCCTCCAATAAACCCGGCCACTCGCCCCGGAAGATATCCGCACCCGTCAAACTGCCGTCTCCGCCGCAAATCACGAGCGCGTCGATGCCATTTAGAATCAGGTTCTTTGCTGCCTGTAGACGCCCCTCGCGCTGCATGAAGGGCTTGCATCGCACAGATCCGATCAAGGTGCCTCCTCGAGGGAGATAACCGCGGACGTCTTCCCAGACAAGCGGGTGGATGCTAGCGGGGCCGCCAGTGATCAGTCCGTCGTAGCCTTCGTGGATGGCGTAGGGGGTGCAGGAGAAACGGATGGCGGTACGGACGACGGCGCGGATGGCGGCGTTCATGCCGGGAGCGTCGCCGCCGGAGGTGAGAATACCGATGTTGCGGGTGGGCATGATTGCTTGAATGGGTAGGTAGTTGTAGAGAAGACAAAAAGAGGATGTGAGAGGTGTAAGGAATTAAGAGAAGTAAGTAAAAATATTAAGGAAGTAGGTTGTAGGTAAATAGTGACAGTGAGAATGATTAGAGCGATGAAAAAAGAAGAATCCAAGAGCAGGGATAGAGGCAGAAAGCAAGCGAGATAAATAGATAAAAGTACGCCTCGTACAGAAGTTACTTAGGAATTCACGTCACCTGCAGCTGTCAAAGAACGGATGGGCTGATGCTCCCGATTGTACGACGCGTGGCGGAACCCGGGTCTCGTTATAGGTTGCCGTTACTGGGATCTGTCGGGATTCGGGATTGTCGGGTGGAAGTGGTGGAGGGGAGAATCAATAATGAACAGAGTAATAAGATCAGGATATTAAAGTGGTGATCGTGATGCAGTGCGATCTTATCAGTAATGGTGAACATGCTAAGCTGGGATCAGACAACGCTGACGTATGCCAACAGGGCGAAAGTACGAACCATCTACATAAGCATACCTATCAGGACTTTTCTTCTATTGCACTTCTCGCTTGCATTGAACAACCATCTAGGTACAGATGCATCGATATATAGCCAACCTTCATAGCACCTATATCGGACCATCAGCCGGCAAACAACGCCCTCTCGTAAACGAGCGATCGATCGTCTTTAACCTGTTCGAGCCCAAATATTTGAACATCCAGCGATGTAGGAGCTTCATCCAGTTGAAACACGAAAATAAGTGTCGACAAACCTCTTGAAAATGCCCCAGAAATCGCAAAAGGATGTAAGTCCACACACTACCAAAAAGCAATACAGATCCCCTGTAACGAAACGCCAATAACGCCCCCATTTCTCAATAAGCAATCCAATATCAATCATCCTCCTCCCCAATCTCCAGTTCCACGGCCCTCATCCCCCTCCGCACTGTTCCCCTTTCACAAAGTCGATTATACCACGCTGTCAACTCTGGAAACCGCTCCAGGTCGAGCTTGAGGGATCCAGCGGCCGCGACGGCAGGGAAGTGAATGAGATCCGCTAGGGTACTAATGCATCGAAGCGTCAGCTTCATCTCGTCATTTCCCTCTGACCTGAGACAGAAAAAGTGAGAAACTTACCATTTCTTCCCCACCAAATACCCCCCACTCTTCCGATCCTGCAACCGTCCCTCCAGGTGGAGATACAGGTGTATCATCTTCAGCACTACCTCGCCCTGACTGTTTGGCGATGGGGATCGTGTCTGTATCCTCCTTCGGTCCTGCGCCTGCGCCTGCGTCTTTGACCGCTCAGGCAAATGCCCCACCCATTCCTGGATCTCCGCTGCTCCTTTGGTCCGGTTGCTGTAGGAAATTCTCTGTCCTCTGTCGTACTTGGCGACCAGGTACGACACAATGGAGACAACGTCGTTCAGGGCGATTTGTGCCCCGTTGGATTGGATGTCAGTCAGGTAAGGGATATGGGGGTGGTGACGGTGCGTAAGGTCCATTTCGTATGGGAGTCTGTATCCTAAGTCAGGTCTAGTGAGATGTGATGGGATGGATGGGCCCTGCTTACCGTAGCTCCTCTAGCAGAATGGCGATTACAGCGGAGTCGAGCGAGCGCGGACGCGCGTGGAGCTCGATCTGGCTGGGTTGATGGGGGAAAACGTTCATGGTGGATGGTAGGTACCTAGCATAGGTACTGCGAAGTATAGGTATTCAGTTTCTGATGAGACTAGATGGAACGAGATGCAGGTCGGTTGTAGATAGAGATGAAGCAAATGGATGTCGATCGCGGATGATTCACAAGGCTAGTAGTTTTTGGAATAAGGGCCCGAGTGACTTCATTATTTATCATCTCTTAATGCTTAGTTTAAGTATCTGCATTGTCTGAGTCAAAGTGAGCAGAGGTAAGAGTGAGCACATGGGAAGTTCCATGTCCAGGACCATGGGTAAGGAGTGTTTAATGTGACCTACCGGAGAATAGATCGAGGAAATGGTCGAGAGATAAGTGTTGACTCAGATCAAGGATTATGACAGGAAATACAGAGCTGATGGTTCCATGTGCCTGTGCCTGCGCCACTTCAGATCACATTGGTGGATCGTCTGATCGGGATCAGCCTGGTAGATGCGTCGGTGCCTACACTGAGTACCATGGGACGGGGAGGAGGGGCGGGACTGATCTCCGCACCGAGTACACACCAGATTATAACATTTAGTTCTATTAAAGCGCGTATTTCGGATAGTATATCTTTTTTTTTTTTTTTTTTAATTTCAGATCTTCCTATCGACCAAAAGTTGAACACTAAGCAAATATTTTCGACAACCTGAGCGAAAACCAATAGGAACCAATTTCGATTCAACATGTTTACCTAGAGTACTGTGAAATTATCTTTGCAGAATTGATAGCAGTCATCGTGGTGACTCAATGATCAGTAGACTTCCTGTCGAAGGGTATTCCCTGGTACTGTATTGCAAGCTGAACATCACAGTGGAGAAACCCGCGCTCGCCGAGTATCCACGTGGTAATAATCATATTAATATATCTACTTTTGATTTAAATAGCGATGGCATTGTGAGATTCCTCTCGTTTGGCTATATGAATAGCCCGTCTTTGATTTCTACCAAAACTGAACCCCAGTCGAGACGCCGAGAGGCCCGATCTTCCTTCTCACACATAGCCTCAACAAAGCGTCTACACCACACATAATGATCGCTACCAACGGTTTCGTAGCCCTCCAGCATCTGTATAGCCCATTCTCGATAGATCAGATCCTCAACTTCGATCGCGACCATTACGAGCGGCAACGGCCAGAGCTTGGTAGGCGGAGGTGTCGTCTTCGAGCCCTCTGGTCGTAGGGTCTTGAGCTGTTGAGATATTCGAATGATCTCCTTGGCGTGCGCATCTGCCGCATGTCGCACGTCATTCGAAATGAGACATCGAGAGTAGGAAATCTCAGCACTGTGATAAAGTTCGCGGAGAACCAGGTATGTACATCGATTCCGTCCTTCATGTCGACCAGAATTACCATCCTGGTCGATAGATATTCGATATGAATCCAACTTTCTCCGAATATTTTTCACCGCGTGGCTGCTCGGAGAAGATCCCTTTGTTTTTGTGATCATATGTAACGCGAACGAAAGCCGAAGTATGAGCTCTAGAAGTGGATCGGTCATGGAGTTACTAACCCATGATATTACTCTCGCTTGTACACCGGTCAGTTTATCCTTGTAACCTGGGGTCTGTAATACCGAAGCAACAAAACGAATGGTATTCCTCAGTCGATTTGAACGAGCCAAGGCTAGGTCAAGATGTGCGAGAAAGAAGCATGCGACCAATAGCGCATCCTGATCATCCTCGTCAGTCTGAACCGAGGAATGGTATGGATGACCCATCGTATCATCCCGAGCTCCGGATCCCAATCCTGAAGTGGAATCCCGTACTCCTTTTCGATAAATGATATGCTCTCTTGGTAGTGTGCGAATGAATCATACAATGAACTCGCTTATCCGACGAAGAAAAGGTTCGCTGAAGTCCACGCCAAGATGGCAGAGAGCACAACAGGATGGTTTCCGGCGAAGCGATGAAAAAAGAGCGTATAGAAGGTCCAGTCTAGCCGTTTGAATGAAAATCCGCCAGCTAGGGCTCTCGAGTAATGCTTTGCCAAAAGATGTGTCGGTAGTTCTTCTATCCGGGGTTTCGTTTATTTGGTGGCCCTATATCATTGCCTGTCCATCTGTGCGGCTCAGAGATCATGAATTCCGTCGACTTTGCAATATGGTCAGGCGGTCCGCTTGGACCGGAATATACAGGTGGGGATCGTCGGCGCTATTCACGGCAATGAGGTGAATGGAATTCCGGTCATTCAACAAACATTTAAGCGACTAGAAGAAAAGATCAGTAGTGAAAAATCGATGCCAGAATTCGCAGGCACAATAATTGGGGTTCCAGTACTCAATGTGCCAGGGTTCCTGGATTCTGTGCGCTCTTTTGATGGACACGATCTTAATCGGCTGATGCCAGGGTATGTATGACTGCTTCCGACAGTTTTCTGCTGAGGGTCTTGACTGACAAAAAAATGAATAATCAAGTAATCCAAATGGAGCAGCCCCGCAGCAATACGCATATCGCGTGTTCCAAGAGATCGTGATGAAGATGAATTATGTCTTTGATCTCCACACGGCGTCTGCCGGCCGGCAGAACGCGTTGTATGTTCGCGCCAACATGAGCGATGCCGTTATCTGCGAGATGGTAAAGAATTTATGCCCTTAGATTATTGTGCATAATACAAGCCCCGGGGACTCGCTTCGTGGATGCGCCCAGAAGAAAGGCATCAAGGCATTGACAGTCGAGGTATGAGGATATGAGGACCCCCACCGTATCAGGTACACAAGGAGTAATACGAGTTAGATCGGAAATCCCAGTGTCTTTCAGCATGATCTCTTCACGAGAGCAGTGGACGGGATTTGCAATGCTCTTACACTTGGATTGGGATATCTGTTTCTGTTGAGCCCAGACACGCCTATATCGCCGCAAGAAGATCCAGTAGTTCGCTGCCGAAGTGTGAGGCTTGAACTCCGAAGGAATCTGACGGAGGTTAACTCTCTAATGCACTAGTATCATATAGTATTGACTATTCTCGCAAACCGCGGGCATCCTCCAAGGCAAGTCCAATTCCGTACGATCAAGACTTTTGATTGCTAATTGTGATGATAGTGTACAAAAAGGTAGCAGATCCTGTGATCAAAGGAGATGTCATAGCGGAAATACACTCGGTCTTTGGTGAACTGCTCGAACGGTTTGTCGCTCCCAGTGAGCATGCCACAGTGATTGTTGGTCTAGAGTCTAACTCCATTGCGAAAGTTGGCAATCGAATCGTGAGTGTATATTCGTTTTGCGCTGCCACTCTCCACGGACTAACTCATTGGTAATCAATTCTAGGTTCACCTTGGGGCCATTGGGGATGAGTTTCTGCGCGAGGTGAGGGCATCTCTAAAACAGTTACCCGAAGATCATAAGATACAGGGAAGTCAGGAGAAAAATTCCAAATTTGAAAGGGTAAATCCAATTAGAAAGAAATGCTAGGGAAAATATAGTCAATGCGATTATTTCTATAGGTCCGAATTTCTTAGGGTAGTTAGTTAGGGTGATTACAATAATGTAAACAGAAGAATTGGTAGTTAGGGTGATAGCCAAACGGTTCCCACACGCTAACCCCAAACTGACACGTGACTCACCGCCCACGACCCTCCAGCTTTTTTGCCACCGCCCTCCTCCCCCGCCAATCAGGGCGCCGAGAAAAATGAAAATGCCCTCCAGCGGCCCAAATAATCCTTATCGAGAGATTCCCATCCAGTCTTTCCACTCCGCAACTTTCACATCTCAGAAGAAAGTCCGCCACCATGCCTCAGAACGAATACGTCGAGAGATGGCAGAAGCTGCACGGAAAGCGGTACGTATCCCTTTCTCCCGTCTACCCATCGATCTGACATCTAACATCTAACCCACCACAGCTTCGACTCCGAGGAGAAAGCTCGCAAGAAGCAGGCCCGTGAAGGCCACAAGGCCTCGAAGGATGCCCAGAACCTGCGCGGTCTGCGGGCCAAGCTGCATCAGCAGCAGCGCCACAAGGAGAAGATCCAGATGCGCAAGCGCATCAAGGCCCAGGAGGAGAAGAACGTCAAGTCCAACACGGAAGCCGCCGATCTGTCGTCCGCCGTGCCGCACTACCTGCTCGACCGGTCCGAGGCCACCAACGCCAAGGCCCTGTCCTCCGCCATCAAGGACAAGCGTAACGAGAAGGCCGCCAAGTTCGCCGTGCCGATTCCCAAAGTTCGCGGTATCTCAGAGGAGGAGATGTTCAAGGTGGTGAACACGGGCAAGAAGACTCACAAGAAGGCGTGGAAGCGAATGATCACGAAACCCACTTTCGTCGGTCAGGATTTCACGAGACAGAATGTGAAGTACGAGCGGTTTATCCGGTATGCACTTTGCCTGGAATTCCCCGATCGAATGGATGAGGGATGATGATGGCTGACTTTCTTTCTTTCTAGACCCATGGGTTTGCGTTACAAGAAGGCCAATGTCACCCACCCCAAGCTCGGCGTTACGATCCAGGTCCCTATCCTCAATGTCCAGAAGAACCCCAACAACCCGCTGTACACCCGTCTTGGAGTTTTGAGTCGGGGTACCATCATCGAAGTCAACGTCAGTGACCTGGGAATGGTTACTACGTCAGGCAAGGTGGTTTGGGGTAAATGGGCACAGGTTACCAGTAAGTGTGTCGCCCGAGTTTCCTTGCCAAGGCTAAATGTGTGTTAGACAACCCCGAGAACGACGGTTGCGTGAATGCGTAAGTCATCCATCTTTTGGTTTAAGGGTCATCTTACTAACGGACGCAGGGTTCTTCTTGTTTAAAATATGAATAGCGATTTGATTTTACTGGCAGGGCTTCTGACGGATACCTTTGTTCTTGTTGATTGTTTTTAGACGGATTGAGCTAAATAAAATTTGTTAATTCTCACCATTGTTTTGCCTACGTACCGCCCCCGGGACGGCCTGTTATCGTACTTTCGTACGTATTGCACATGGTTGTTATCTGGAGGGGTCTACGTGTAGTAAATGGGCATTGATATTCGTGAATCAAGATAGGGATAGTATGACGTCTGTAGCTGGTCCAACTCGGGTATTATCCAACCTGATGGTACAATTGCTGCCTTATTCGGACTCAAGTGACAACCATTCTTAAGGAGAGGGATGATCCCCGCACTCCCTCCACCCTCCAATCTCCATCCCTTGTCCCGGAATATATTAAAAGGAATCAAATCCCGCCTCGTCGACAATTGATGCCAGAAACGGTGCAGATCATCAATCAAGATCGACTTCCACTAGAATCAACCGGGTTTCAGCGCCGACAGCGCATAGCATAGAATTAGAACCCGCGATGTACGTTGCAGGGCTGGTGGGTCACGGTTTCCTACCCACCACTGAGAGTGATGAGGAGGACGACTCTACGGCGACCGTCCATGCGATGCTGCTGTACATCGGTACATTGCCCCCCCCGATGACTGGCTTGGGGTCTCTCGGGCCCCGGAGAGGTACGAGCAGCAGCTTGCTTCCCCGAGTGGCGAGGCAGAGCTCAGTCCTCCTTGGGTTACGAATGATGTGCGGGGGAGGGAAGATGCGCGGTGTCATGGCGAGTCTAGATTCGTTGGTGCATGCTTACTAGGTTTGGAGAATGCGATCTTTGATTTTCGCTAACTGATCTTGATCATATTGGATATCTAGGTAGTTAACTACTGACTTGATGCTGACCAAGGTCGGGGCAATGGGACGCGTGACACGTGTGGTGTGTGGTGAGGCATGGAGACCCACGGTTCAAGTCCAAACAGACATCTGTTGAATCCCCCATTACTATTGCCCTCGACTCGGAGAAAGTGTCAGAGTCACACTTGTCATTATTAACGGCCAACGGGGATCTTTATCAGATGATGTGCTTTTTAGCGCCACCCGATGAGCGGGTCATCTGCCTGCACCCCAAGATGCACTATTCTTCGCATTGTTCGTCTGCCATCTTAATCCCGGCCTAGTCTCCAACTCCTTTGGTCCTGCCCCTCTTTGTTGATTCTCAATTTATCTTTCCGTCTTTCCCTATCTTCCCTTGCTCTCTCCTTTCAATATCGGGGTTTTTCGTTCGCCGTCAACTCGTCACCGTCACTCCGGACTCTCCTGGCTGTTGGAGAATTGCGGGGAATCTGGATTACTCATTGTCATCGGACTCGTGCTGGCCCAACACTCGATCACCGCTCCTTTCTGCTCTGCCTGTTCGATTGTGCTCTCATCTGTAGATGGGAGATGTTCGTCGGTGCGTGTTTGTTTTGGCTCCGTTAGGCCGCCGTCGGACGAGGACCGTCCTACCTAACTCAGGGTCATAGCGCCTTGAATTTAAACTCCGAGGCAACCCCGACACTCGTCACCGCCATCTCCAAAAAATTATATCATGCCTCGCTCGGTTTCCTCCTACTTCCCCCACCTCCCTCCGGACGAGGAGCATAATTCCCCTGACCCGCCGGATCGTCCTATGTCCGCCTCTCGAACCGCTCCGCCTTCCCCTGCGGCTTTCCGACGAAGTCACAGCCTTCTGTCCGAGTCCCATACCCAGTATGAATCGCTAGATACGCCGCTGGAGGTCGGGGAAACTACCAGTCTGCTTGGGAAATCGCAAGAGGGCCGCAAAGGGACTCTGCGACGGTCTTACACTAATTTATCGGGCGGTTCCGGCACCGATATTCCGTTTCGACATTCGCTGCTGGCGGGGAGTTTGCGTCGGTCCCGACACCACAGCCGCGCCAATTCACAGAATATTCGATTCAGTCGGCGGAGTAGTCTGGATGCAGATCAGGCGGATAGTCTGGCTGCGTCGGCAAAAGATGGTTTGACGGCGTCGTTTCTGGACGAACGGACCTGGTACGATCAGTTCACCTCCACGGACTGGGTGCATGACAGTATTGCCGACGGCGCTCGTCTGCGTGAATTGCGCAGGCGGAAAGATATTCGGGGTCGACTGTTAGCGTGGTTCGACGGAGCTCAGGGCTGGATCCTGGTTGCTCTTATCGGCTGCATCACAGCGGCTATCGCGTACTTTGTGGACGTCACCGAGGACTTTGTATTTGACCTGAAAGAGGGCTTTTGTACGACCCAGTGGCTCCACAGTCGACAGAGCTGCTGTCCCGGCGAGTCGAATTGTGCGGCATGGCGGTCATGGTCGAGGATGCTTGGACCGTCGCGGACGAAAAATCAGGGCGTGGACTTTGCCATGTTCGTGTTCTGGGTGCTCTTATTATCTGTGATCTCCTGCAGTCTGACCCTGCTTACCAAAACGGTGGTTCCCTCGTCGGTCTCGTTGACGACGCTAGACGAGGATCTTGGGGCCGCTTCGTCGCGCGGAACTAAGCGCAACGAGGAGGACTCGCCTGAGTCGGAAGACCGGACCCAGCCTTACTATCCGATTCGCACCCGTCCTGACATGGTATACTACTCCGCCGCCGGTAGTGGGGTGGCAGAGGTGAAGGTCATCAACAGTGGTTTCGTGCTACACGGTTACCTCGGCTTTAAAACGCTGGTGATCAAAACGATGGCGCTCGTGTTCAGCGTGTCCTCTGGCTTGAGTCTCGGTAAGGAGGGCCCCTACGTGCATATCGCCACGTGCGTGGGGAACATCTGCTGTCGATTGTTTGCCAAGTACAGTCATAATGACGGGAAGCGACGAGAGGTGCTGAGTGCGAGTGCTGCGGGCGGCGTGGCTGTTGCGTTTGGAGCTCCTATCGGTGGTGTTCTGTTCAGTCTCGAGGAAATTAGCTACTATTTCCCGCCCAAGACTCTGTTCAGGACCTTCTTCTGCTGTATTGCCGCGACGCTGTCTCTCAAGTTTCTGAATCCGTATGGCACGGGTAAGGTTGTTCTATTCGAGGTGCGGTACCACGGGGACTGGGAATTCTTTGAGATGGCCATCTTCATTTTGCTGGGCGTGATGGGAGGTGTCTTGGGCGCCCTCTTCATCAAAGCATCTAGTCTCTGGGCTCGATCCTTCCGCCGAATCCCCGTCATCAAGCGGCGGCCGATGCTCGAGGTAACGCTCGTAGCGCTGCTCACCGGAGTGACCAGCTTCTGGAACCGGTATACTAAGCTGCCCGTCTCAGAGCTTCTGTTCGAGCTGGCCAGTCCGTGTAAGCGTGAATCCTCATCGCGCACGGGGCTGTGTCCGGGCGAGAACGGCATCGGCGAGATCATCGGCTATCTTTCCGTGGCGTTTGTCATCAAGAGCATTCTCACCGTGGTGACCTTTGGGATCAAGGCTCCAGCAGGGATCTACGTGCCGTCGATGGTCGTTGGCGGCCTCATGGGACGCATCGTCGGGCATGTGGCACAGTACTTGGTGATGAAGTATCCCAGCTTTTTCCTCTTCGGGTCCTCTTGTCCTGCCACCTCTGGCATGGAATCCTGCGTGACTCCGGGCGTATACGCCATGGTGGCTGCGGGAGCCACGATGTGCGGTGTAACCCGGTTGTCGGTGACCCTGGCTGTCATTCTGTTCGAACTGACCGGCAGTCTGAACCATGTGCTGCCTTTTTCCATTGCTGTTCTGTGCGCCAAGTGGACGGCGGATGCGATCGAGCCGCGCAGCATCTATGTAAGTACTCTGGTATCTTACCACAGGGTGTAAACTGTAAACTGACTGTATCAGGATCTTCTCACCGACATGAACTCCTACCCGTTCTTGGATAACAAGATCCAAGTGATGTCCGACGCAGCATTAGGGGACATCGTCCGGCCTGTCCGCAAGAGCCGGGTGATCGATATTTCCGAGTCGCCATTCGTCGCCGCCTCGGAGCTTCGCTCGAAACTGCAGAACCTGCTCGTGGCGGGCGAATTAGACAGCGGTCTTCCCATCCTGCGAGACAATATCCTCACCGGACTGATTCCGGCCCCGGAGCTTGAGTTCGCCTTGGATGATTTGGAGGACGAAGATAATACGCTGTGTCTGATGGCGCTGGATGCGTCTTCTGTTCTATCAGACAGCGAAGGAGACGAGACGGATCATGTGGACTTTGGTCAATATATTGATCCTGTAGGTCTCTCCATGCCATGTGTGTCATTCAATACTGACCTGCTTTTTAGGCACCTATCTCTCTTGACATCCACTCACCTATTGACCTTGTTTATCAATGCTTTGCGAAGCTGGGTCTGCGATATCTTTGCGTTCTTCAGAACGGGAAGTACGCTGGCCTGGTGCATAAGAAAGCATTCGTGAAGTTCATGAAACAGAACGAGTGATCGCCTGTTACTGAATTTCTTGGCTTATAAATTGTGGCCTTCCCCGCTTATACTTTGATCTGTTCATATTTCTCTTTCTGGTGGGATATGGTTGGCAAGGTGTGCATATTTTGAACGCTGCTATTGCCAGCTTGCATATATTGTTTTCTTTGCTTCTTTCTTTCTACTTTCTTATACCATACTTGTTGGTGTATATTAGCCTAGCCTAGCTTGTCTTGTTTTGAGCGATTGCATTACTCGTCCATTGGATGGACTGGTAGCTTATATTAGAAAGATTTGGTTTGGTGGATGTCGAATGCACAGACTATTTACAGTGAAAGTGATACCAGTAGACAGGCTCTCTTTACTCACCCCATCATCCCAATCCTCCCCATCCAACCCAGATACTAGATTAAAGAAATTAAACCCTCTCGTACCCAACCATCCTAACCCTCACATCCCCCTCCTCCCTCCACTCCCCCGTGACCTCCTCGCCCACCCACGCGCTCACTTCGTCCGCGCTAACCTTCCTCCATCCCCTCTCCTGCTCCAGTTCCTCATCCACAGGGAAGAACGTATCGCACTCAAACGTCTCCGCAGGGTTCAGCTTCTCCACGTTCGTCATCACGATCCGCACCGGTTGCGTCGCGGGGAGGTTCAGCGACGAGGCATAGATCTCCGCGCCACCGATGATATACACGTGGCCGACTTTGGGTATCCCTGATGTGGAGGGTGGCTGGGAGAGGGTTTCTAGTGCTGAGGGGAGGGAGGTGGATATGAAGGCGGAGGTTTGTTTGCCGGGTTGGTCTCCCCCCTTCTTGTTTTGCGAGGTGGAGGTGTTTTCTTGTGCTTGTCCCTGTGCTTCTGCCTCTGCCTGTATTTTTTGTTGGTGTTGCTCCCTCTCCTTCCCCAACTTCCTCTCCAAATCCTCTCGAACCCTCTCTCCCAACCCACCCTTCCCTCCTTCTCCCCCTCGGGAGAGAATCACACTCAACCTCTTCCCCAACGGTCTCAACCCCGCCGGAACACTATCATACGTCTTCCTCCCCATGACGATCGCGTTCGTGGACCCTGGTACTGAAGCCGGTGGACGCGTCGTGACGCGCGCGAAGAATGACATGTCGGTTTTGATGCGCGGCCAGGGGAGGGTTCCGTTGAGGCCGATTCCGAGGCGTGTTCGGGGTTGGGATGGAGAGGTGCTGGGAATTGGGGTTGTCGCGACGATGAGGGTTAGGGGTTTCCCTCCTAGGAGAGGGGGGTGGGAGGCGGGTGATGGGGGCATTTTGCGGGTGGTTGTGTTTAATCGGGTTGTCAAGAGCTGGTTGATCCGGTGGAGATAGAGTAGGTATTTGGATGTTGGATGTGGGTGGGTAGATGAGTGGTAAGGTCGTAGGTAGGAAGTAGGTTCGTGGGTTGGTTCGTGGTGAGGTGAGTGACGATGTAGGATGGAGAAAAGGCATTCAGAGAGATAGGTATGATAACTGACTTGCCCCGCCGCGGCATGTCGGAGTTACAGCGAGCTTTCCATGCCATTTACAGCTCCCAATTCTTCAACGTATATATTGATCAAAAGAAGGCCGAGACATCTATCTCAATCCCATTTTCATTAATAGATTAAGTCAATAATCATAATACACCCTTCCACCCAACCAAATCCATAATCTAAGTATCAACCCATGAATCAATCAACGCCATCACCGAACACCTCGCCAGAAACCCAATGGAACAACCAACCAACCTAATATACATAGAAGGTACAAACCCTTCCCTCATAAAGAAAACCCTAGGTATATGTAGACTCAAGCAACAAACAATCACTTCGCAGCCTTCAACAACCCCCCATCCTCAACAGCCTTCTGAATCGCATCCGCGTCTCGCTCTAGCTCTTCTCGACGCCTCACATCCGTCTCGTCTTCGCCAAGTGTATCTAGTTTTCCAAAGAGCCAGGTTTCTTTCATCGTGCGGGTTAGGGAGAGGATGTCTTCGGCGGCGCGGACCTGTTGTTTCGGAGGGTTTGTTAGCTGCGTTGCTTTTGGCTGGGAGGGGGTTGGTGTGGTTTGATTTAAAGGGGTGGTAGGGAATAGCAGAGGTAAGGTACGTATTTGTTGGTGAACGTACGAGAGCTGTGGATTCGACATCGAGCTGGTATGTTTCAACGGCGGTGGCTGTGTGACTTGTGCTTTCGACCTGGGGGGGTTGATCCTGTTAGTAGCTGTGGATGAATGGTTCTATCTTCCTGTGCGCAAGATGATCAGGCAGATAAATGATAAGGAGGGGAACGTACAGTAGCTGTCGCCATGATGTTCTCGAATCGCTGCAGTAATTGCGATACATCGGTGTTGATGCGATCTGACAGTTTGGTTAGTACATTTGTGGTTGTCGGTTGATACCAGAAAGAAGAACGAGGAGGTTCCAGGCAGACATACTGTGCAATGCTTTCGATGATGGCTGAGAGTCCATTTTATCGATCTTGTCCAGCTAATTCCGCTGGCCGAGTCAGTTGTTTGATGAACTGAGGGACAATGACTTGAGGGATTGTCGGTCGGTGGTTGGCTGGTGAAGGTGGGCGGTGGAGAGGAGGGGATGTTTTGCCGGCAGTTTGGAGTCGGTGGGATGATTTGGAGATGTTCACAACTACATAACTATTTCTATACTTTTATAGGCGATAGTGATGGTGATTCTGTTACATTAATGATCTAAATACAAGTTGGCAAGCCTTATGTCTGAAGCTGGACCCCGGGCATCCTGAAGCACCTCTGTTGGGCATAAGCGCGCCTTGAAATAGACATAGAGATGCGTTCACTTGAGCTATTCATGTTTGTGCCCCAATGTGATGGTTTTCGGGAGAAGACTCAATCTGTTGAGGATGTCCGCCTTGGATAACAGTTGGCTTCCTTAGAGGTTTGTCGAGAAGTCGTCGTGAAGTGTGGTCAAATAGCAGCGTGCAACCCGCACGATCTACCGAACATATTTGGACTATACCTCGTTAGTAGATATCCATCTAAACTACTCATTCAACTTACCATAAAGCGCTTGTGGAAGTCGGATCGCAGCAAGTCCTAGAAGTTATTAGCGCAATCCCCTTATCTGCAGTATAGCGCCGACATACGTTGACAAATTCCTTGTTGCCCCTGTTCTCAGTCCCCCGAGCTTGGTTCTTGAAAACGACGTCATCGTCCCATCTCCGCTTCAAGTTGAAGTCCTGAGAGTTCAGCAGGGGATTGCCTCGCGCAATATCCACCTCCCGCTGCTCCTCTTCCTCGGCGGCGCGTTCTTGTTCCTAGAAACTGTAAGCGACTGACTTATCATCTCCCACGCGAGACATACCTCTTTCTCTTTCTGCTGCTGTCGCTCTTTTTTGATCTTCTCCAGCTCTCGCATTAACTCGGCAGCCTCGTCCTCATCGTCGTCGCTAGTCCCAGTCAGTATGTTCCTTCAAGCCCCACGCAATCCACTGACCTGTCATCTTCACTACTGTCCTCTTCTGACCCGTCCGAATCTGCATCGATATCTCGCGTCTCTTCTAATATCCGTCGCCGTTTCGCTTCGGGGTCTTCTTCCTCTAGTTCCTCTTCACCAGTCGGCGCTCCTTCCAGCTGACGTTTCGGCGCAGCATTCTCAAGGGCGGGTGTATCGACAGGGACACCGTTCTTCTTGGCGAAGTGAGCGGCTTCGGCCTGGAGCAGTTCGGCGCGCAGGTCACGTTGCTGGGATTCGTTTTCACCTCCTTGACCCGATTGTCTGGACGTTGTTAGCTAGTTCGGTGAGTGAGATGTGCAACGTACCGAGTCTTCAGGTGCGTATGCGCCGGGAGAAGTCGCTGGTGGTATGCCGGGCCGCGGAGGGCCTCTTTCCCTTGCGCCTGTGATTGTGGTCAGTCGACGGAGCGATGAACGAAGACGGCGAACCTACGGGATCGAACGTGGGTCTATGGGCTGATATAGGATTAGCGCATGATGCAAATGATCGAGATCTGGAACTTCATACCGGTAGTCATGGTGGCTGCAGTCTGTCGTGGTAGTAGAGAAGCCGAGAATCGAGACTGAATGAACAGTCCCGGCAGATCACTCCCACCGCCTTGTGTTATGGCCCCTTACCTAGTTAGGGAGATGGCGGATCACGTGTACGCTGAGTGAGAACATTCTGCCTGGACATAACTACCGCCTTCTCAGCCAGGCAATAGACAGCACAGCCCACCGCCCTTTTCTTCCCCACCCTAATTGGCTAACATCCCAGACCCCCGGGAACAACGATAACCCGCTTTATGACGCCGCCGCGGAGGAGCAAAAATCCCCAAGTCGCAACCGTCAAGATTGAAAGTCCCCCGCCGGGGCCGATTCCGCCTCAACCATGAACAAAGAAGCACCGCTCTCCATTTCTGAGCGCGATTTCATCGTCAATGCTCTGCGCGAGAACGTGAGACTGGACGGCCGCCAGCTCGACCAGTTTCGTTCTTTGAGCGTTTCCTTTGGCGAGGAATACGGACATGTGAAGGTCCAGCTTGGCAAGACGAGGTTGATCGTACGCATATCCTCGGAAGTCACAAAACCTCACGATGATCGTCCCTTCGATGGGACCTTTAATATCACCATGGAGCTGACTGCCATGGGCTCTCCGGCTTGGGATAATGGCCGGTACGTTACCTACATTCTCCGCCCGTCCTGAGTGCCCAGGCGAACTTTTTCCTTTTTCCCTCTGCCTTCTTGACTCCCGCAAGCTTGAATGGTCTCGCTCATATCTTCTAGACAAGGAGATCTCGAAACCTACGTTACGAACGTCCTCGACCGAGTCGTCCGCCATTCGAACGCTCTCGATACGGAATCGCTATGCATTCTCAAGGGCGTGAGTTGCTGGGGCGTGCGCGCGGACGTCCACATCACTGACTACGACGGGAACCTGATTGATGCGGCCTGTATCGGTGTTATGGCGGGACTGCAGCATTTCCGTCGTCCCGACGCGGTAGTGAAGGACGGCCAGGTGATCGTCTACGGACTCGACGAACGGGTTCCGGTACCGCTGAACATCACGCACAAGCCGCTCTCCGTCACCTTCCATACCTTTGACGAGGGCAAGGTGGTGATCGCGGACGCCACGCGGAAGGAAGAACAAGCGTCGGAGGCGGATGTCATCATCGGCATGAATGGCGCCGGCGACGTCTGCTTCCTGTCCAAGTTCTCCGGATCGCCCGTGGAGGCCATGGTGTTTGTTAAGAAAACCGATCTGGCGCTGGAGAAAGTCAAGGAGATTAACGCGATCGTCGACAAAGCTCTTCAAGCCGATCTTGCGAAACGGGCCAAGGGTGGTCTGGCGGAGCAATCCCGCGCAGAGAATGATCGGTGAACAGCTTGAGGGGGCAGATTTGGGTGAACACAGGATGGATTGGGTAGAGAAAATCGATTTAAGCAATTGATGTATGATAACCAATAATGCGCAATGACTGGATCTGAGGGTCGAAACCGACGGAGTCTAGACACTCAATATCGAATCCCTCTTTCACTAATCTGAAACCGCGAGGGCTTGTGGTCTCCTTTGTTTGACGTGCGGCGGTTCTAAACGGGCACTCAGGCCAATTCCGAAGGACGTCATAACTGCACGAGATTCCAATATCGGACGATCCAGAACTCTCCTGACAGCGGTGTAAAAACAGTCTCTAGATCGCCTCCAGATTAATAAATTAATTCCAGCGATAAATACTCAAGATCTCCACCCATCCGGTCTCTAAAAATACCCCAAAGCTAAGAAAGCCAAACCGCGACTCCCCAGCCACAGACGGAGATCCATAAATCAGCACCGCCCGGACTCGTTAGTGCCAAAACGCATCTCCCCCCGAAGGCAGTCAGAATTCATCCTTCTCTCCCTCTCCTGTTGGCCCCATTATTATTCTCTCCCTTTTTTCTCTCTCATTCTCCGATCCTCTTTCCCCTACGCATATAATTTTCACCATCCTCGTTCTCCCACACCCCCCTCCCAACCCTCCCCCCTATCAATGCTCCAGGGGCATTCCATCGCTTTGACGGTGTCTGTCCGCCCCCATCATCATGGCCAGCGGTAGGCCTCCAGGACGTCATCCAGCCGCTGGCCGCGATGACGATCTGCTGCAGCTGGAGGAGCCGACTCCTTTGTATAATCCGGGACAGGGCCCGCCCGTCAACGACGAACACTTGTTGCGACAATTCAACATCGACGACTCCGATGAACCTCAACCGCGACCTTCCGTCTCCTACGATAGTTTCGTCGGCGGCAGCGGCGGACACCAACCGCCGCCGCATCTCCAGCAACAACACCCCGGCGCCCATGCGATGACCTCCGCGCACCCTCTCGTCCAGTCGGGAGCCTACATGACCGATCCGTATATGGGACCCGACGTCTCGAGGACCTATTCGCAGAGTTCCGGGCTGGACAACTACCGTCGCTACTCCGTCGACGACTACGAGGACGACCATGGATACTACAACATGGACGACGGGGAAGACCCCTTGCACTCCAATAATCGCGTACGGCAAGCCACCGAGCGAAACAGTATTTTGGGCCTGGGAGGCGGGCTGATGGGCCGAGCAAAGCACATGCTGGGCATGGCTCCCGAATACTCGGAGATGGATTTGCCGCTGACGGAACATGGCGCGAGGGCGGCTCGCATCGACAGCGCCGACCCGGACGAAACGAACGCGGCGGCTGCCCCCCGGCCTAAGAAACCCAAGAAGCCCAGCTTCAAGTTCGGCTTCGGCCGCAGCAAGGTCGACCCGTCCACGCTGGGCCCTCGCATGATCGTTTTGAACAATCCTCCGGCCAACGCGGTGCACAAGTTCGTCGACAACCACGTGTCCACGGCCAAGTACAATATCCTCACCTTCCTGCCGAAATTCCTATACGAGCAGTTCTCCAAATACGCCAACTTGTTTTTCTTGTTCACGGCTGTTCTGCAGCAGATCCCGAACGTGTCTCCGACCAATCGATACACCACCATCGGTCCGCTGTTGATTGTGTTGCTCGTCTCCGCCATCAAAGAACTCGTTGAAGATTACAAGCGGAGGGCGTCAGACAAGGGTCTGAACTACTCGAAAACTCAGGTGCTTAAAGGGTCTGCGTTCCACGAAACGAAGTGGATCGATGTAGCGGTGGGCGATATTGTCCGAGTCGAGTCCGAACAACCTTTCCCGGCGGATCTGGTGCTCTTGGCGTCATCGGAGCCGGAAGGGTTGTGCTATATCGAGACGGCCAATTTGGATGGAGAGACCAATCTGAAAATCAAGCAGGCCATCCCCGAAACGGCGCATCTCGTCAGCCCGGCCGATCTCAGCCGATTGAGTGGCCGGGTTCGCTCCGAACAACCGAACAGCAGTCTATATACCTACGAGGCGACCTTGGCCATGCACGCCGGAGGGGGAGAGAAAGAGCTGCCTCTAGCTCCGGATCAGCTTCTCCTGCGAGGTGCGACATTGCGAAACACGCCCTGGGTACACGGAATCGTCGTCTTCACCGGCCACGAAACGAAATTGATGCGCAATGCGACGGCAACTCCGATCAAGCGGACCGCGGTCGAGCGCATGGTCAACATCCAGATTTTGATGCTGGTCGGCATTCTGATCGCTCTCAGTGTGATCAGTTCCGTTGGTGACCTGATCATCCGGCAGACCCAGGCCGACCGACTCCAGTATCTGGCCTACGGCAGCGTCAACCCGGTGAAGCAGTTTGTGCTTGATATTTTCACCTACTGGGTTCTCTACTCGAATCTGGTCCCCATCTCGCTTTTTGTGACAATCGAAATTGTCAAGTATGCGCAGGCGTTCTTGATCAATTCGGATATGGATATCTACTACGACAAAACCGACACTCCGGCAACCTGTCGAACGTCTTCCCTGGTCGAGGAATTGGGCCAGATTGAGTATATCTTCTCCGACAAAACGGGCACACTGACCTGCAACATGATGGAATTCAAGCAGTGCACGATCGGCGGGATTCAATACGGTGAGGATATCCCGGAAGACCGACGAGCTACGGTAGAAGACGGTGTCGAAGTGGGAGTTCACAACTTCAAACAACTGCGCGATAACCTGCAGTCCCATCGAACCAGGGACGCGATGCACCATTTCCTGACTTTACTTTCTACATGCCATACCGTCATTCCAGAACGAAACGACGAAAAGCCGGGCGAGATCAAGTATCAGGCCGCGTCTCCAGACGAGGGAGCTCTGGTTGAGGGTGCTGCCCAGCTTGGGTATCAATTCACCAACCGAAAGCCGCGATCGGTGCTTGTCACCGTGGGTGGTCAGGAATATGAGTACGAGCTCCTTGCTGTTTGCGAGTTTAACTCCACCCGAAAGCGAATGTCGACGATTTTCCGCTGCCCTGATGGAAAGGTCCGTATCTACACAAAAGGTGCCGACACGGTCATCTTGGAGCGTCTGAATTCGGACAATCCCATCGTTGAAGCGACCTTGCAACATCTGGAAGACTATGCTTCGGAAGGTCTTCGAACGCTGTGTTTGGCCATGCGTGAGGTCCCTGAGGAAGAGTTCCAGCAGTGGTACCAGATCTACGACAAGGCGTCTACGACAGTTGGCGGAAATCGCGCAGATGAGCTGGACAAGGCTTCGGAGCTGATCGAGAAGGACTTTTATCTTCTGGGCGCTACGGCTATCGAGGATCGTCTGCAAGATGGCGTTCCGGATACCATTCACACGTTGCAGACTGCTGGAATCAAGGTTTGGGTGTTGACTGGTGACCGACAAGAAACGGCTATCAATATTGGCATGTCGTGCAAGCTGATCTCGGAAGATATGACACTATTGGTTATCAACGAGGAAACGGCGCAGGCTACGAGGGATAACATAACTAAGAAGCTACAGGCCGTTCAAAGCCAGGCGACTTCTGGGGAAGCCGAGCCGTTGGCCCTTGTGATTGACGGACGGTCCTTGACTTTTGCTTTGGAGAAGGATATGGAGAAGCTATTCTTGGACTTGGCGGTTCAGTGTAAGGCAGTGGTTTGCTGGTAAGTCTCCTCCTTCCATCTTGAAAGGAAATTTCTAACTCTCTAAGTCGTGTTTCTCCCCTTCAAAAGGCTCTGGTGGTCAAGCTGGTCAAGCGTCACCTCAAGTCGCTTCTGCTTGCTATTGGTGATGGTGCCAACGACGTGTCTATGATCCAGGCCGCTCATGTAGGTGTCGGTATCAGTGGCGTCGAGGGTCTTCAAGCCGCTCGTTCTGCCGATGTGTCGATTGCCCAGTTCCGCTTTCTTCGCAAACTGCTTTTGGTGCATGGCGCGTGGAGCTACCATCGCATCAGTCGGGTTATTCTGTATTCGTTCTACAAGAACATTGCCCTTTATATGACTCAATTTTGGGTATGTCAGTCAGCTTCTTTCTTACCTTTTGCCGCTTACTAACTAGTATAGTACTCCTTCCAAAACGCTTTCTCCGGTGAAGTCATCTACGAATCATGGACCCTTTCCTTCTACAACGTCTTCTTCACCGTGCTCCCTCCGTTTGCCATGGGTATCTGCGACCAGTTCATTTCTGCCCGATTGTTAGATCGATATCCCCAACTGTACCAACTTGGACAGAAAGGGATGTTCTTCAAAAGGCACAGTTTCTGGTCGTGGGTTCTAAACGGTTTCTACCATTCCCTGCTCCTCTACATCGTCTCTGAATTGATATATTACTCGGATCTGCCCCAAGCCGACGGTATGGTCTCCGGGCACTGGGTCTGGGGCTCAGCTCTGTACACTGCCGTGTTGGCGACTGTGCTCGGAAAAGCTGCACTCATAACCAACATCTGGACCAAGTACACGTTTATCGCTATCCCAGGCTCCATGGTCATCTGGCTGGCGTTCCTGCCGGCGTATGGTTACGCCGCGCCGGCCATCGGCTTCTCGACCGAATACTACGGGACGATTCCGCGACTGTTCAAATCGCCCATCTTCTACCTCATGGCGGTGGTGCTGCCCTGCGTCTGCCTCCTGCGCGACTACGCCTGGAAATACGCCAAACGGATGTACTACCCGCAGCACTACCATCACGTGCAGGAGATCCAGAAATACAACGTCCAGGACTACCGGCCGCGGATGGAGCAGTTCCAGAAGGCGATTCGCAAGGTTCGGCAGGTGCAACGCATGCGCAAGCAGCGTGGGTACGCTTTCAGTCAGGCCGACGAGGGTGGGCAGCAGATGCGCGTTGTCAACGCTTACGATACCACGAGGGGAAGAGGTAGATATGGTGAAATGACTAGTTCCAGAGCCCTTGTTTAATGATTTGTTTTTCTGTCTGATTATTGCTCTTCTAACATTCTTTTTTCTTAACCTTTTAACCTTCCATTCTTCGATCTTCTGTCTGTCTCTGTCTCATGCTCTTGAGCTAACCCCTGGAGCCTTGATTCCGACTTGATTCCGATCCAATCCATGTTATCTTATGTATTAGTTCGCTTCTGCTTGTTGCTATTATGCCTAACCTGCTGTTGCATTTCTGGCGGTGATTCGTTGATTGACTCGATTGATTGAGTATTTACTTATTCTTTTCTTCTTGTTGGTTGTTGGGCGGATTGATTTGATCTTATATTTGAATCTAAATCTGATCCAATTCGATTGGATGGGATTTGTGGGCTTTGTTTGATTTTTTTTAAATTCCGAATATCTCTATGAATGAAGTCAATGTGAAAAATATGTTTTATTCCAAAATTTTAATTTTATTGTATACGATGATGTTGGTCTTTTGATGCCTGAGGCAAGCCGCCAAGCATCTCGCCGTTTGCTTCCCCCATCCTAAGGCACATTTTAGAAAAGCAACACCGTAGAAGACGATTCTTCCTACATCAATCCATTAATCAATTCAGTATTCATTAATATATCCCTCCGCTCGTTCATTTCATAGATTTGGCCATTGCGGTGCACATAGCCCGTAAAAAAGTCAACTTTTTACAGTCGGTCAATAAAACACAAGAACTAAACAGCGGCCATTTTATATACGGAGCAGGTGTCGCATAATTGTGGCAACATCAAAGCTTTTCGCACAAAATCCTTGAACTCCTGGATCAAAAGCAGCTGACTAGTGTTATTTTCGGATGAGATTTAAATACATAGTTGAAAGAGATGTGAGTTGCAGTCAGCTTGAACGATATCGTAGGATGCAGGTGTTTGAATGCCTGAGGTTGCAATCTGCCAAGCATTGCCTGCCCCTTCACGGCCGTTTCAGGTGCAGACCTAGAGGGCCTCTTCTTCCTCATCAACTATTTTTTTGATCATCTCATCTACGTGATTTATATGAATCCATTCATTCGATCAGCCTCGTTCGCCCCCTACGTCGCAAAATGCTTACAACTACGGTGAAATGCATTCTCTGGACCAAATAGTTAAACGATTAAATGGATTACAAGCATCAGATCCAGACATGAGAATGGTCTGACACGTCGAACCTATTGGAACGGAAGCTAAAACAGTATTTAGAATTTCTGGGAAGTTCAGATCTAGTGCTTTTGGCTGATTAGAGACGAAACAAGGATACCTAGTGAATGTCCTTCGACTGATACTGACACTCCCAATTAACCTTCCACAAACTTCTTTGACATGGCCGGTCTCGCATACAAAACACTCCACATAGTGGAAATACCATGGCTGGCTTTCTAAAGCCCAACCCACCTACAAATCATTTCACAAAAAGCACATCGCCTGGATCCTAAAGCTCCGCCCACCGATCCTTCGTCACCTTCACTTGAATAGGGTCCCGGAACTTCATGAACATGTGCTCCACCCATTCCACGCTCTTTTCATCCGTCTGGTAGAGTTCCAGATCAAAGCGTAGGAAGAGGTGCGCGATGAAGCTGTGGATTTCATGCAGAGCAAGGCTTTACACGCACTGTTAGTCATGTGGAACGGAGAAGGAAAAGGGGCTTTGAAAAACAAAAGGTTGAGATGGATGACTTACTATTGTCCAATGCAAGAGCGAGTTCCTCTGCTGAACGGGTTCCACCATTCCGTGAGCTTGGTGCCTTTTTCTCCGAGCCAGCGCTCCGGTTTGAAGTTTTCTGGGTCCGGGAAGATATCGGTGTTGTGGTGCAGACTTTGGAGACTGTGGGAGACGATGGTCTGGAATCCAGTCCGAAAATATTAACCTGGGTGGCTGGGATATGAAAAAGGAGGGGGACATACACCATGGGGGAGGAAGTAGGGGCCAAGCTGGAGACCCTCAGGAGGGACTTCACGAGGCAGCGGACCGGGAGTGGGAGTGAACAGACGCATGGTCTCTTTGATCACGGCACTCTAGAAAGCGAATGGTTAGTAGGGCTTGAAATGGGAGGGAGAATGGTGGGAGAGCATACGAGCCACGGCAGTTTCAGGATGCCGTGAATATCGAAATCATCCTTGATGATGGACGAAGCGGCGTTGAGCTCCGCGCGCAACCGCTGGAAGACACCAGGGTACTTGAGGACGGTGTACGTGACAGCTTCGATGGTGAAGCCGGTGGTATCGCTGCCGCCCACGATGAAAGCGCATCCCTCATCGACCATAGCAGCTGCATCCGGGGGCTTGTAGCCTTTCTTGGGGTTGGGTCTCAGAAGCAGTTCGAAGATAAAGCCCGCGCCCTCGGTGTACTCCTCTTGAGAGCGGTTCTGGTTCTTCCGTTCTTCGATCAATTCGTTGACACAGGCCAAGGCTTTCTAGACGGAGGAGTCAGTTCAGCTACACGGGTCAATTCTAGCAGAACAAGCACTGCACCTCTCGAAGATCAAAGTATCCCGGCATGAGCTGTTTCGACAGGCCACCCGGAAGGTTGGTAAGGAACCATCTCCAGGCGGGAATGTGTTTCACTAATTCTCAAGGTTAGACGGATTATTGGTGTTAGCTGGATAACTCATACCCATGTGGAATTGGCTCATAAAGGCCGATAGATCGCGCAGCACAATCGGTTCTTCGTCAAGAGAACCGATGAGGCCCAAGGGCCGGCCAAAGGTCACTTCAGAGACGACGTCGACCTGGACAATGGATGGTGAGTGAGGAGGATATCGCAGCGGAGAGGGGTACAACGAACGGTAAGAGACTTCGCATGGCGTGGCATGATGATGGCCATCCCTTTGCGCCCACGAGCCGCAATGTCATCCATCGATCCCCGAGTGTGTCGGAGGATCGTCGGGGTGAACGAGGCCAGAGACTTCTGGGAAAAACCCGGGTTCATGGCGGCACGGTGACGGTGGTGGATTTTAGGATCCCATTCTGATCCAATGGCGCTGGACAGGCCGAACGCATGATAGAAGGATCGAGCTTTGCGGAACGGAGATCCGATCGCAAAGAGCCTGCTAAAGTTAGCATTGTGTGTTCACGATCGCAGACGAGAGGCCCAACCGCTTACTTCTTGTAGAATTCAGGGTCGTTGACGTGGACGTGATTGGGCGACACGCGAATAATAGACGATCCTGCGCCCGGTTAGCTTCGACCAAGAGTTAAATCGGCCTCTCAACGCACCGTAGGAATTGTGCCAGTCGTCCCAATAGTGAATGTATGTTCCATTGCGGATGACATCAAAGTAGAACTCATACCACGAGGTCAAGCCGGCGAACCAGACGCCGGGGACATTGCGGAGGGGATGCAGCACCGTGTTCTTGAGTACCACATGCAGTGAGACGGCAATCGTGCTCGTGAGAATAGCCCCGAGAACCAAGGAAGAAAGGGAATGGGCATGAATGAAGTCATCCACGGTCGTGAGGACCTGCGCTGCGGTACCGGGAGACGACTGCGAGGCGTTTGGCGTCAGGAAGTGGTCGACGACCTGCCGGTGGAGGGACGCCATATTACAAACCAGGTTACCGAGAAAATAAATGGCCTCTGACTACCTTCCGCTCACCGGATCAGAGTGCCGTTTCGGTTTATATCTACGTTAATATTCCACCTTACGTGCATCCACAATGCAAGGGATGAGACTGCGGTGCAACCACCAGCGCGCTGCAGTCGGGGCTGGGACGTCTGGGACAGATTCCGAACGTCGGTGAAAGACCGCATGAATGTTGCAGTGACATCTAAAATCCAGGGACTAGGAGCCAGGGTTCGATGGGAAATCGTGCCCGGGAATTCCAACTACGAGGACATGCATGGACGAGACGACGGTGCACGACACCCCCCACATGCGTGGAAAATGATGCTTTTGACCCAAGTGGGTGCTTTAATCGTCGACCATGGCTCCTTTATGCATGTATCTGGTAAGAGGTGCTCCTAATTGGCCGCCAGGCCAGCTGCAAGGCTGCTCAGGGTCTCCCAGCTAATCAGGGAAAAGCAATATCCAACGCGAACCACGCCCGGAAGGCTGTCTGCAAGGCGTCAAATAGCTTCCTATGAACGCCACTTTGCTTACCCCACTGATTGGCATGACCCTGTTATTCAGTGTGGTGCGGCTGTTGTTGCTACGGCGGCCGCATTCCTGGTCCGGGGTCTGCATGCCTCAAAATTAGATTATCCCCTGCGGTTGCAGCCCCATCGCCTCGATCCTATTGGCATTCTATAATTACAGACCGTGAGTTTATGCTCAGAGGCTGGGTTCTCATTTTTCCTCCCTGCTGAGCGAGTGCTCTGGTTCGAGTGCCGTGATATTTATGTCCCTTGATCCTCCTAGCCGCATGAGCGCTGCACGATAGAGTCTCGCCCTTTCCTCACCTTGCGTTGACAGACCAGATCACCTGTTGGATCGCACTCTGCTCGCTGGCCCTGACTTTAGCTTTGGTTGTCTATTTTTTTTTGTTCGTATTTTTTTCCTGTCGCCTCTCTCCCACGAGCGGTTGACTGGTATGTTATGCACCTTTGACCGACTCTCCCGCAATCCTCTGATCTAGAACACGTTTTCTGAGGCCGAACTTTACCTGGAATCCTTGGGTGGGCTATACCTATCGCTATGGGGACCCGAAAGCATGCCGAAGTATCTACGGATGATATTGGGCTATTGACCTTAGGGCGTTCGTCCCAGTCGGGGCCCAGGGAGGATGGCTCGACAGCGTCCAGGGGCTCGGGCGAGACAGAACGACAAGAGGAGCCCAAAACGGAGACACAAGACACAGACGAGCGGATGACGAACCAGCAGGTTACCCAACTCGCTCGCACGTTCTCCGTCCAGTCGGGACAGCATACCGTTGGGGGTCTGAACAGCGACGACTCTGGACTAGACCCCTTCAGCCCGGACTTTGACGCAAAGCGTTGGGCACGAGTGTTCTATAAGACACGGCACAATGGGGAGGATGGAACCTTGCGACGTGTTGCTGGATTCGCCGCCAGACACCTGGATGTGGGCGGCTACGGAGTCGGAGTCGACTACCAGATGAGCGTGGGAAACGCACCTTTGAAGCTATTGTCGACGCTCGCGAACTCCATCCGGAAGCACACAACCTCGGCGCAGCGAGTGAGTATCCTGCGTGATGTTGATGCCCTCGTTCTCCCGGGTGAACAGCTCTGTGTCCTGGGTCCCCCGGGATCTGGGTGTTCGACCTTCTTGAAATCCATTGCCGGCGATACGTATGGCCTCGAGGTGGCCCCGACGTCCTACATCAACTACCACGGCATCACAGCGCGACAAATGTCTCATGAGTTCCGTGGAGAAGCAACATACACTGCGGAAGTCGACCATCACTTGCCCGAGCTCACCGTTGGTGATACCTTGTATTTCGCGGCCCTCGCCCGTGCGCCTCGCATCATCCCTGGAGGCGTGAGTCGGGTGGACTACGCCCGCCACCAGCGCGACGTTATCATGGCGATGTTCGGTATTAGCCATACAATGAATACCAAAGTGGGCAACGACTTCATCCGTGGCGTCAGTGGAGGTGAAAGGAAACGAGTCACGATCGCGGAAGCAGCATTAAGTTACGCGCCGCTGCAGTGCTGGGATAACAGTACCCGTGGCTTGGATAGCGCCAACGCCGTGGAGTTTTGCAGAACTCTCCGGATTCAAAGCGATGTCTTTGGCATCACCTCATGCGTAGCTATCTACCAGGCGCCACAAGCGGCTTATGATTTGTTCGACAAGGTCACTGTTTTCTATGAAGGCAGGCAGATTTACTTCGGCAGAGCTTCCAATGCCAAAGCCTACTTCGAGGGTCTTGGATTCCAGTGCCCTGAATCGCAAACCACTCCAGACTTCCTGACCTCGATGACTAGCTCGTCAGAGCGCATCGCTCGACCTGGAATGGAGGAGACCGTGCCCCGTTCTCCTGACGAATTCGCCCACTGCTGGAAGAATAGCAAGCAGTATGAAAACCTGCTGGGCGAAATCGAGCAATTCGCTACTGAGCATCCGTACAACAGCAATGATCTCCAGGACTTCACTCGATCCATGAAAGACGACAAATCAAGATTGCAGCGCAAGAAGTCGCCCTATACCATGTCATACTGGGAGCAGGTTCGCCTGTGCATGTGGCGCGGCATGGTCTTGACCAAGTCCGCGATCTCGGTTCCTATCAGCATGCTGATTATCAATTCGATTCAGATTTTACTTGTTTCCAGCCTCTATTACAACTTACGACCTGATACTTCGTCTTTCTTCCTGCGTGGCTCATTCATCTTTATTATGGTTCTGCTGAACACATTCACCTGTATGCTCGAGATCATGACCCTGTACGCCAAGCGAGATACCGTCGAGAAACACAATCGATACGCGTTCTACCATCCCAGCGCTGAGGCCTTCGCGGCCATGGTGATCGACCTACCTTACAAGATCTCTCTGTCGATTTGTATGAACATTGTCGGTTACTTCATGGCAAATCTCCGACGGGAGCCGGGGGCGTTCTTTTTCTATCTCTTGATCTCGTTCTCGTGCATGATGTGTCTCTCTATGGTCTTCCGTCTGCTTGGCTCGATGACCAAAACAGTCGCTCAGGCCATGGTTCCTGCGTCGCTCGTGATTCTCGCCATTACCCTCTACACTGGATTCGCGATCCCAGTGTCCCATATGCACGGGTGGGCTTCCTGGATCCGATGGATCAATCCAGTCGCCTACGCATTCGAAGCTCTGATCACGAATGAATTCCACGATCGCCAGTTCGCCTGTGCTCTATCGGGATTTGTTCCCGCAGGCCCCGGGTATGAGAACACGCCTGTGTCGCTCCAGACCTGCAATGCAAAGGGCTCTGTGCCAGGCAGTCCAACGGTGAGCGGCACTGCATTTTACGAGACTTCCTACTCGTACAATTATGGGAACCGCTGGCGCAACTGGGGTGTGATTATCGCATTCACGGTGCTTTTTGCCGCAGTTCACCTGATCTTGTCGGATTTGATTGCGGCACAACGCTCCAAAGGCGAGGTGCTGGTTCTGCCACGCGATAAGGCGAAGAAGAAGGGTCGCAGTCGCAAGGGTGATTTGGAAAACATGGCCGCCGGTGATGAGCGCTTCCGCCACTCTGAGGAAACCGGGCAGGCGGCCAATGTTCAACGGCAAACTTCTGTGTTCCACTGGGAGAACGTGTGCTACGATATTACGATCAAAGGCGAGCCTAGACGGATTCTTGACCACGTTGACGGATGGATTAAACCTGGGACCTTGACTGCGCTAATGGTAAGAATCATACTTTCTCCGCTTTCATGCATAGTACTGGAACTCTAGACACAGTTGCTCTGTTGATCATGGATATACTGACGTGAGACGAAATAGGGAGTGTCTGGAGCCGGCAAAACGACCCTGCTGGATGTGCTCGCTGACCGCGTGTCTACCGGAGTCATCACCGGTGATATGCTTGTCGACGGCCGCCAGCGTGATGAATCGTTCCAAAGAAAAACTGGCTATGTTCAACAGCAGGACCTTCACTTGCATACTTCGACTGTCCGTGAAGCTCTGCAATTTAGCGCATTACTGCGACAGCCCCGGCAGCACACTCGTCAGGAAAAACTCGACTACGTTGAACAGGTCCTCTCTCTATTGGAGATGCACGACTATGCGGATGCTGTCGTTGGAGTTCCTGGCGAGGGACTAAATGTCGAGCAGCGCAAGCGCCTGACCATTGGTGTAGAACTGGTTGCTCGACCCAAGTTGTTGATCTTCCTCGACGAACCCACTTCCGGTCTAGACAGTCAAACGTCGTGGTCGATTTGTAACCTCATGGAAAAATTGACCAACAGCGGCCAGGCAATTCTCTGTACCATTCACCAGCCCTCTGCCATGCTCTTCCAACGGTTTGATCGGTTACTGCTTCTCGGAAAGGGCGGGAAAACGATGTATTTCGGAGATATCGGCAAGAATTCAGCCATTCTTCTGGACTATTTCTCTCGCAACGGGGGCCACCCGTGCCCGCCAGAGGCGAACCCTGCCGAATATATGCTGGAGGTAATTGGTGCTGCTCCGGGAACGCACAGTAAGATCGATTGGCACTCGGCGTGGCGCAACAGCCCCGAATATGAGGAGGTCCAGCGTGAGCTGGGCCGTTTGCGACACTCGCCAAACCGAGAGTCCGCGATGTTGGATTCGCAAGATAAGTCCAATTATCAAGAGTTTGCTGCCACGATGTCGACACAATTCCTGGTGGTCGGCCGTCGTGTTTTCCAACAGTACTGGCGATCGCCGGGTTATATCTACGCCAAAGCCGAGCTGGTTATCGTTTCGGTATGTCTTTGTCATTCTGGTTCATTTTCCATTGACTCTAATCATGCAAATCATTATAGGCACTCTTTATCGGATTTTCCTTCTTCATGGGCGAAAACACACAACAGGGCCTTCAAAACCAGATGTTCGGTGTCTTTATTGTCCTGATTGTCCTGATGCAGTTGATCTTTCAGACGCTGCCATCCTTCGTGACACAGCGAACCTTATACGAAGCTCGCGAGCGCCAGTCTAAGACATACGCCTGGCAGGCTTTCGTTCTGAGCAATATGTTCGTTGAGCTAGTATGGGCCATGGTGAGTTGAACGCTCCCTCAACAGCAGCCGCTCATATTGTTAACCACTGCCTCTTCTAGTTCCTATCGATCTTCACCTTCCTGTGCTGGTACTACCCACTCGGGTGCTATCGCAACGCCGAACTTACCGGATCGGTTCATTCGCGCAGTACCCTCATCTTTTTGCTCATCTGGGTGACATTCGTCTGGGCCAGCACCTTTGGTAACATGCTTATCTCAGGGCTCGACACAGTGGATCTGGCCTCGTCCATGTCTACGTTCCTAGTCTTCCTCTGCTACAGCTTCTGCGGGCTGCTCGTCTCCCCCACCGCGATGCCGGGCTTCTGGATCTGGATGTACCGAGTGAATCCTTTCACCTACCTGGCCACCGGGTTCCTCTCCACCAGTTTGGGCCGGGCCCCCATGCACTGCGACAATAACGAATACCAAATAATTCGCATCCCGCCCAACCAGACCTGTGGAGTGTATATGCGTGACTATATCGAAAGTAATGGCGGGTCCATCTCCGATCCGAACGCAACGAATGAGTGCCAGTACTGCCAGTTTACCCAGACCGACCAGTTCCTCGCCACTTTTGGTGCCCATTTCTCGGAGCGTTGGATGGACTTTGGACTGCTCTTGGTGTATGCAGCCTTTAATGCCTTCATGGCTGTCTTTCTGTACTGGGCCCTGCGAGTTCCTAAGAGGAAGAAGAAGATGGCGTAGGTCGGAGGAGATGTGTGTATTGATAGGGATTAACGGGATATTTATGTTGGATATGATGTAATCTGTTTCGAATAGCGAGGAGGACGAGGAGGAGTAGGTAGATCGATAGAGCTGTAATACTATTTTGCTTTCTTGTGGTTACAAACGGCTTCTTAGTCTATTTATGCGCAATACTCCGTACATGGTCTGGGATTGTGCAACATATTCAACACAGACAACTTATTTCTTGCTGTCTAGAGCTCTTTTCCCCAGGGAACGTTATGCTTTTCAAAAAAAAAGATCGCCTGATATTGAAAATATTCTCTTGGTAGATATCTATAAACTGGACTTGACTAAGAAGAACCCCATCGCAGTATTACGCTATTATTCCATTCATCTACTCTTTTCCGCCATAATTAACTCGTAGTATTTTCAGCAAAAAAGAAACTAGATAAATTTTGAATTCAACAACACGGCATTCCTAAATCTTGAAATACCATGTATAATTCCGAAGAATCCTCAATAAGCCGAAGTATAGTCAAATTATTTTAGTATAAGACAAAGGTATTTGGACTGCTATAGTATTCTAGGGTGAGTTGCCTTCCTTGATAGGAAATGTGCTTACCTACCGCTTGATGCCTGAGGCAAACTGCCAAGCATTTTGCCTTTTATTCCCCAACATCATGGAGGCCTCGATTCTTCCTACATCAATCAATTCAATCGCCAGTATTGATCAAACCATCCACCTGTTCATTGATTCCATCGCACTTGTCCACCCCGGAAATTCCCCCGGCGCCTAAAACGTCTAATTAAATGAACACCAGCATCCAACTTCCATGCGGAGCTCTTCCCCCTCACGAACGTCGTGCTTGTCAAGCAAAGAAGAAACCAACTTGGATTCTTGGCCAATGCATCAATGAGCCAGGGGTTGTTTATGCTCTGCCACCCTGCCTCTCTGAACTAGCGGTGTCGCCATGCCAGGTTATGACGACTGGCAATCTTGGGAAGCGAAGTCGTCAGTCATCCCTTCCATATAGAGCCCGTAAGGGGGAACGTGCCCTTCCCGCACGAGTCTACGGGCCGCCAGGAGTATCCCTAGATTAATGACAAGCCTTTAAACGAGGCACGTCAAGTCGGTCTGATCAAAACAGGTATCGTCAAGGGGTTGCTGTGGGCACGGGTTGACAGATTATGGTAGTTTTTATTAGCGGCAAGGGCTTCAGGTAGGGGGCGATCATAACCAAAGAAAATCGGCACGTTCCCCGATTCTGATGCATGGATAGTTACTCCGGAACTGTCAATGCTTCTGGTGCAATTTTGACCGAAGAAATGATAATCAAGGAGAGAATGCACTAAAGCGAGGGATGGGCCGGCTTCCCAACCATGGATTATGTCGATCAATGGGCTTCAGGTTGGCAGTAATGTAACCTCATGAGCTTTCACACGGCGTTGCGAAGCCAGAAAGGTCTACTGAGTTCCGAGACCTTGGCTTGTGCATTCCAGCTGAGCCTGATGCAAGGCACCGCATTCTAATTTCGGTTCCACTCGGACTTCACGGCATCGATGTATAATTCTGATCGCGCAGACTGTCGAGCCATCCAGCAGGTACTCGTTGCGATGAAGAGTCACTGTTTACTTACAAAGTTGTCTTCATATTGGATTGGTTCTGCAAGAGTGAAGTGCATCCTGGACATATACCCGGTGTATTTATTTTAATGCAAGTCGAGAGTCGCAAACTCCACCATTTCAGCCATCTGACACGCAGCAGCCATTATACACACCATGTCATCATGGCAGGATTCATGCCTTTTTCCTATTCTCGCGGCAGATGCTAAACACGACGGTACTTCAAGTTGCTCCGAAGTCAAACTGGACGACGCGATACTAGAATTGGAGATTCGAAATCGAGAGATCGCGGAATTACTCCCACTATTCAGGGCTGCCTGGTCATTGGTTCTACACAGATTTTGTGAAGTGGACCAGGTGAGCTTCGGAATTAGCCTGAACGCGGAGAACATAAGCACTGGCGCCTCAGCCGAAACGACAGGTGCCTGTCAGGACACATCATGCGCGAGTGTTTCCATTACACCGGAGACGATCTTGGACGAATTGATTCGCGGCGCGAACTCTCGAACTCTTCCAATACCCTTTCAGAACAGCGAACTATTCAACACCTCCTTAAATCTCGTGATAACAAAGCCCTGTGTGATATCCGACATCCTGTGTCTAGCACGGCCGGCAGGCGAAACCGAAACAAACCTTCCTCCCGACTATATTGTGCAATTACAGGTGAAGATCCATCAAGACATCATCGAACTTGGTTTGCGATATGAGACGCATGTGTTATCGGAAAAGCAGGCACACGATGTCGCCAGCACTGTTCAACATGCTATGATCTGTCTTCTAAGGGCGCCAGGACAGACCGTTAGCCAGACAAGTTTGGCTAGCAAGCGCAACCATGACGACATAGCGCGCTGGAATGATACCACAATCTCCGAATCCCGCAATTTAATCCACGAGATCATCTACGAGCGATGCATGGATGCCCCGTCAAGCCTCGCCGTGCGGTCATGGGACGGCGATTTCTCATACCGAGAGTTGGATTCGATATCGGAACGAATCGCTTCTCATTTAGCCAGCCTTAGGGTTGGCGCCGGTGTTTTCGTCCCTGTCTGCTTCGAGAAGTCCAAGTGGTTCGTGGCGGCGGCTCTGGCGGTGCTCAAGGCTGGTGGTTGTTATGTGCCCCTCGACCCATCCAGTCCAATAAAACGATTGCATGGTATCATACGGGAAGTGAAGGCCGATATTATCCTGACTTCCAGCAAGACGGCGGAACTTCTTGATGTGAGAGTTCGCACGCTCATTCTCAACGAGAAAACATTTGCTAGTTTACCAGACCTCAGACTTGAACTCCCTCAATCAACACCCGGTAGCGCCCCAGGCTACGCTCTGTTTACGTCAGGAAGCACTGGTGTACCGAAGGGGTGCTTGTTGAGCCATGTGGGGTTTGCCAGTATAGCTTCATCCCATAGCGAGGCCCTTGGGATCGAACGGGACAGTCGGGTTCTCCACTTCGCATCCGTCGGCTTTGGCATGGGCCTGATCGAAATCTTCTGTACACTTACCACTGGGGGAACCATTTGCATCCCATCGGATAGCGAGCGAAATGGCGATCTCGTCGGAGCCGTCAACAGGCTCCAAGCCACATGGGCCATCCTGACACCATCAGTCATCCAGACAATCAATCATTTGGATGTCCAATCCCTGCGTACATTGGCAGTCGCCGGCGAGCCTCTCCCACGCAGCCTCGTTCCCGTATGGGCATCTCATGTTCAGCTCTTTCAAGCCTACGGGCTCACGGAATGGGCTGGCATCTGCGCTGTCTCCAGCGCTCTTTCCCCGTCAACCGGCAATACCAACATCGGTCGCCCTCGCAATGCGCGCTTTTGGCTTGTCGAGCCCGAGGACCCCCAGAAGCTGGTACCTGTTGGTGCGGTGGGTGAGATGTTGCTGGAGGGCCCTTGCCTGTCGTATGGATACCTCAACCAGCCCGAGCAAACGGCGCGGGGATTTATTCCTCCCCCATCATGGCGAAAGACCTTTCAACAACCACTCGCTTCACAACGCCTCTATCGAACGGGCGACCTTATGCGATATCGAGAAGACGGGTGTTTCGACTATATCGGTCGGACGGGGACGCAAGTCAAGATTCGTGGACAACGTGTAGAGCTAGGCGAGGTAGAGTATCATACTCGGCAGCATTTCGAACAGGCCAAGACTGTCATCGCGGAGATGATTCTCCCCAAGGGTGACAAGAATCCCAGCCTGGTGGCCTTTGTCTGCTTGCGCTCATCGAAAGAAACTCCAGCCAAGGATTCGCCCTGCCTGGCGCCGCCGTCGGATGCTTTTCGAGCCAGTGCGCTGGCAGCCCACGCTTCGCTTTCCCCCATCTTGCCGCGCTATATGCTGCCTGACCTGTATGTAGAGTTGAATCGGATTCCGCTCACCGTCAGCGGCAAGATAAGCCGGAAAGATCTGCGCCAGATAGGAAGCGAGAAACCAAGAGAAGAACTGAACATGTACCTCGCCGAGCGGAAGGAAACTCGAATGCCACAGACGCCCTTGCAACGCCTGCTGCACGAGTCTTTTGCAAAGGCTCTCAACAAAGACCCTGCTTCAGTCGGTATCGACGACAATTTCTTTCGTCTAGGGGGGGACTCTATCATCGGGATGCAAGCTTGTGCACTGTGCCGTAAACAGAAAGTCACTCTCACCATCCAGGATATCTTTCGACACAGGACGATAGCGGAACTATCCAAGCATATCCGAGTCAAAGACGCTGGTCAAGCACCAGAATTAGAAGCACTGAACGTCTCAGTTGCCCAGCAGGCCTTTCTTCATGCGACGCGCCCTGATGACCGCAGTAGGGCCAACCAGCACCTTGTACTCCGGCTCAGCGGCTCCGCGGACGTCGAAACGGTCCGTTACGCCGTGTCGGATCTAGTTGAGCGGCATACCAGTCTACGGAGCCGATTCCGTCTAGACTCGGCGGGCCAGTGGACACAGCATACGCAAAAGCACAGGTCCACAGCGTTCGGGTTTCGCGCAGAACTGATTACAGATATCACGGCCGTCCCCGATCTCCTTGCACAGCTGGAAGCCAACCTCAGCATTGACAACGGGCCGCTGTTTACAGCTGCTCTCACAGAATCGGATAACCGTGACCGCCATCTCATTCTCGTCGCCCACTGCCTCGTTATCGACAAGACGTCTTGGGCCACCATTTGCACGGACCTGGACGCGGCCTTGGAGGGTCAAACTCAGTCACTGGACTCGACGCCTTCTTTCCGATCGTGGTGTCAGACGCAAAAGGAGCACTCGCCCACCTTGAATCTACTGCAGCCTGCTGCTGATGCTCATGATGGCGTGGATGCTGCCGACGATATCGTGTGGCAGGCCAAGTTAGATCTAGACGAACAGCTGACCGAGACGTTGGTGGGCAAGGCTAACCACGCCTTCCGTACTCAACCGGTCGATATCTTCCATGGTGCCCTACGACACGCTTGTAGCAGGATTCCGGACGCACCGGATACGGTATACTTCCTTGAGATCCCCAGCCGTGGGTCTGATACTGAGACATCAAACATGGTGGGGTGGCTCAGTACTATCATTCCAGCGGATGTCATGATGGGGAGTGGGAATGAAGATATAGTCGACGTGATCCGGGGGGCAAAGGACGCTCGCGTACGGAAAGGGGGGTCCCTGCATGCCGAGGACAAGCGTGATTCGAACAAGGAGCAGACCAGCAAACCTCTGAGCATAGTACTCAGGTTTGACGCTGGCGATCCGTTGGCAGGATGGCAAGGAAAAGCTCTAGAGCGAGAGGACCTTCTTTGTAACGACATCGGCATGTCAGCGCCTCCCCTGGCGATGCTCGAAGTCGTCATAGGCATGGTGCAGGGCAAGGCACGACTCACCTTCCGCTCACAACGCCCCGCGCTGTTCACGACTGTCGAGCAGTGGGTTGCCCAGCTTGACTCCTCGCTTCACGAGGCAGCGGTCAAATTGGTCAACAGCGACAGTGGATATACTCTGGCTGACCTCGCGCTACCGTCCCTAAGCTACGAGAAGCTGCAGGAGGCGCTCCCATGCTCCCCGATGCAACAGGGAATCCTCCTTTCACAAGCACGAGATCCACAGACGTACCAAATTCAGTCAATATGGAAAGCAACGCCAGCGCGTTATCTTCCGGCTGAACAGATGTTGTGGCGCATCCGGGAAGCCTGGAGACAGGTCGTGGAACGACATGGTTTACTCCGCACAGTGCTGGTGGAGAGTCAACTCAATGAAGGCGGCTTCGATCAGGTCGTTCTTAAGTCGGTCGCCCCGAGGGTCGATGGCATTTGCTTGCCACGAGGTGACCCCTTCGCTGTGGTGCTCCGACGCAACCTCGAAGCTGAATGTACCGCGGAGGAGCCACCCCATAAGCTGACGATCTGCGTCTCTGGGAACTCTATCTACCTGGGCCTCAGTATCAGTCACGCTCTTGTTGACGCCACATCCATTTCCATTCTGATGCGCGACATGGGACTCGCATACGACGGGTGTTTGCCCAAGGGACAGGGCACATATTATGGGAAATATCTTTCCTACCTGCAGGGGTTGGAGATCGAAAAGTCCTCCAAATTCTGGGCCAGCTATCTCGAAGACATCAGTCCCTGTGTACTCCCACATCTGGATTACTGGAGCCCCTCGGTAGAATATAAACGAGAGCTGAAGACGGTGGAATTTGAAATGGCCCTTGTGGAGGACCTGGAACGATTCTGTGGTAAGGAAGGTATCACGATCTCCAATGTATTCCAGCTTGCCTGGGCCTTGGTTCTGCGCTGTTATGCGGAAACAGACGATGTCTGCTTTGGATATCTTGCTGCTGGCCGCGACATTCCGGTTGAAGGCGTGGAGGATGCGGTAGGTCCTTATATCAATATGATGATTACGCGTGTTCAATTCGGCAGCGGCCAAACTCTCAGGGAAGAGCTGCGAAAAACTTTGAATAACTTCATCGAGAGCTGTGCTCACCAGCATGTGCCGCTCAGTCGGATCCTCGGTCCCTTGAACCTAGCCGGCCCGTTGTTCAATACGATCATCTCGTTGCGAAGGCCGTCTTCCCATGGGGTGACCAGTGCGTCGTCGCTGCAGTTAGATAATATTTTTGAAATTGATCCCACGGAGGTAAGAATTCTATTGAACTTCATCTGACTTCATTGACTAACTGGTGAAATTCCTGGAACAGTTTGATCTTGCTGCCAACGTCCATGTCTCACCGAAGACGGTTCACGTCTCTATATCCTACTGGACCTCCAGATTCTCGACCGAACAAGCGCAAAACTTCGCGTTCACCCTGCAGAAGGCCCTGGGCACTATCCTAAGCCACGTCGATAGTGCCCCTGAACAGCTGGATCTCTTCAGTGAGCAGAACCACGCTCTTGTACAGACGCTGAATTCCCACGCGCCCGAGTGTGTTGACGAATGTGCGCACCATCTGTTCAATAGACAGGCTGAATCTGAGCCACAGGCTCCGGCAGTATGTGCTTGGGATGGCGACCTCACGTATGGCGAGCTCGACCGTCTGTCATCCCTGCTTGCCACAGGTCTAGCTCATCACGGAGTGGGACCGGAGACCTTTGTTCCTATTCACTGTGAAAGATCTAAATGGGTCTTGGTGGCGATCTTGGCCGTCGCGAAGGCTGGAGCAGCGTTCGTTCTGCTCGACCCATCGCATCCCCCGAGCCGACTGCGCGCGATCTGCGACGACGTACGGGCAGCCACAATTATTTCCTCCGAGGCTCTGTTCCCCATCAGTGAACAGCTCGTCCCGTCTGTGATAGTGGTCGGGAACAATGCAGCCAGCGCAACTACTTTTGCCGCTAATGGCACTGCTGCTCCCGTTACGACCGTTCGGCCATCCAATTCTCTATACGCTGTCTTCACATCCGGTTCCACAGGTAACCCGAAGGGGGTTGTTATCGAGCACTCTACATACTGCACCAGTGCACGAGCCCATGGAGGGATCATAGCGATTAGTCCAACCTCGCGCGTTCTGTCGTTCTCATCCTTCGCATTTGACGTGTGCATAGCCGAGCTGTTGACGACACTCTGTTACGGTGGCTGCGTATGCGTCCCATCAGAGAACGAGCGCCTTAACGACCTGTCAGGCGCGATCAACCGTCTGCGGGTCAACACCGCGTGTATCACTCCAACGCTCCTTCGGATCCTCGACGCCAAACAAGTACCCAGCCTGCGCACTGTCGTTCTGGCCGGAGAGCCCATTGCTCAGGCAGATGTCGACGTGTGGGCCGAGCAAGCCACCTTGATGAACGCCTTTGGGCCGGCGGAGTGCTGCATTTACTGCGTGATACAACCGCACATCGATTCTCACTCCGACCCGCGAAATATCGGGTACGGCGCAGCCTGTCTGCCGTGGGTGGTGGACCCGAATGACCACGATCGACTGGCGCCGGTAGGCACCGTCGGCGAGCTGCTGATCGAGGGACCTTTAGTGGCGCGCGAGTATCTGCACCAACCAGAGAAGACTGCTGAAGCGTTCATTCAATCTCCCCGATGGCGCTCCAGCTTCTCGGTCCGTTTGGCCGGCCGGTTCTACAAGACTGGTGACCTTGTCCGATATGGCCCCGAGGGTACCCTGCGTTTCGTCGGACGCAAGGGTACGCAAGTGAAGATCCACGGGCAAAGGCTGGAGCTAGCGGACGTGGAGCACCATCTGCGACAACATATCGGCCAATCTATCGAAGTTCTAGTCGACGTAGTACCCTTCGATGGCCAGCATCCGACGCTGACGGCATTCTTCAAACCGCGTCACGGCCAGGGCTCCGCAGGCCTGTCGGCATTTATGGCTGACCTTCCTTCCATGGTTTCGAGTCTGAAAGCCCGTCTCCGGAGCTCTCTGCCCCAATACATGGTCCCCATGGCGTATATCCCGCTCGAGAACTTCGCCGTCGGCAAGACGCACAAGACCGACCGAACCAAGCTGCGTCAGTTAGCCATTGAGATGCGTCAAAAGGAGGTTTCCACAGGGGGCGGCGAGGAGAAGACACCACCACGCACAGAGGCAGAGCGAAAGCTACAGAGGCTAGTGGCGACAGTGTTAAATCTTCCCCTGGAGCGTGTTGGACTCGACGACAACTTCTTCATGCTCGGGGGGGATTCGGCCTACGCCGTGAGACTCGTGTCTCTCGCACGACAAGAGGCACTGCAGCTGTCAGTTAAGGACATTTTACGACAGCCCCTGCTTAAGGACCTCGTGGCCCACGAAGAAGAAAGCTCTGCATCTCCCCCTACCTCACCCAATGCTGACGACGAGGCGACGGAGTTACCCACCACTCCGGCGCCGTCTCCTTACGAGCTGCTGGATATCGATGACACTGAAGCGTTCATTGGGAAGGCTGTCGCACCCAAGATGGGCGTGCCCGCCGAGCAAATCCAGGATGTCCTTCCCACCACCGAATTCCAGGCCGAGTGTATCCTCGACTGGCCTTTGACCTACTTCCTCGTGACCATGCACGGTGCCCTCGATAAGACGCGGCTTCGAGCCGCCTGCCAGGCACTGGTTGAACGACATGAGATCTACCGTACCGGCTATATCCGTGACGGGCCCCATGTCCGGCAGGTGGTGTTGAAGCAGACCCCTCTGCCACTCTTCGAGTATACCGGGAATTCCGAGGACGATTTGGACTCTCTGTGCGAGGCTGTCTGTCGCGCTGACTCTCGCCGTGGCCTACCTCTGGGCCACATCCCCACGCAGTTCACCCTGTTCTCCCAGGGAGATCCCAACTACCACATTCTTGCCCTCCGCATCTCTCACGCTCAATACGACGGGTTCTCTTTGCCCCTGATCTTCAAGGATCTAGCGGCCTTGTATGAGGGCCGTAGCTCCCTGGGATCTGTGACGAATTTCTCGACGTACATCCACCATCTCGCCTCACAGGGAACCCGCGACTCGCAGACCTTCTGGCAACAGACTCTGAAGGGTTGCTCGCCGCCGACGAGTCTCTGGGATCTGTCCTTGGGCACACCCGACGATGACCGCCGGGACTCGCTTGTCGAACTCACGCGTGAAGTTGCCGCTCCCACCCCGCCCGCTACCATCACTATCGCCAGCTTGATGAAGAGCGCCACGGCGCTCCTCCTAATGCGTCTGACCAGTGACACCGATCTCGTCTTCGGCCAGGTCGTCAGCGGCCGCAACACGCCACTCGCCGGCGTTGAGAACATCCTCGGAGTCTGCGCCAACATCGTTCCCGTGCGAGTACAGAGCCACCTGAAATGGACAGTACTGGATCTCCTCCAGAGCGTCCAAGCGCAGCACATCGACGCGCTGGACCACGAGACGCTCGGTCTGGAAGAGATTCAACGCAAATGTACCTCATGGCCGGAGGGCACAAAATTAGGCTGTTTGATCCAGCATCAGAATCTAGACCTGAAGCCCGAGTTCACGCTGGGTGAGGTGGAGTGCACGACGCGTATCTTTGGTGGCGAGTTCAAGCGCGAATTTCTGCATATCTGCACGCTTCCTCGCGGGAACCGCCTCGTGGTTCAGATCTTCGCTCCGGAGGGTCTGCTGCGCCCTGAGGCCTGTCAGAGGGTGTTGGATCAGTTGTGCGATACGGCGGCGTGGCTGGCTGCTCATCCGCATCATTTGTTGACAGAGTGTCCTAATTCGATTCTTGCGAATTAGATTTTTATTTCGGTTCATTTGTTTACTTTTCTTTCTAATGTTTAGGTTTTTCGGGGTATTTTGGCTTTTCCCAGCCTATATTATATATTTCATAGACATAGTAATAATGAAGGAGCTATGGTTGACATACATAGAATTTGATAAGAGTATCCTCATCCTCTTCGACAAGATGCGAATGTACCCAACTAGCTATCCTTGCTGCACCTTTCTATGACTAACTTAACAGTCATCCTTGTACATGCACTGTTGACCAGTAGGAAAGGAAAGGAGTAGAACAAGTATCTAAATCAGTACCTCAATAAAGACATGTAAGAGAAAGATGGAAGAATTCTCCGAAAAAGGATGCCCAGGCAAGTTAGTTAATATCGTGTACCCATGGGCAGATGTTACTTAACACACAAGTTGTTCTTATTCCAAAACTGGTCTTGAATGTGGTTCTTAAAAACCAAGTAATTGAGATGTACCTTGCTACAACTAATCAACAAAGAAAAGGATGACATTTAGCCGTGCAAGCCAAAGTCGACGGCACAGCGATACGGTTTATCAGTTGCCGGAAGTTGAGTGAATGCGAATACTATCTCGCTCATGGATATTTATACCGGTTGAATATATTCACTTGAGGCTCTCTCGATTGAATGTCATATATCATAGTTGAATCTCCGAGGAACGGCTGCTTTCAAAGGCAGCAGGAGACCCGGAATATAGAGAATCAGGGAGTTATTAGAGGTTACTTGATTCAAGATGATACAGCTGTTAGCTCAATCACTTAAAAAGCTGCCAGGTCTATATGTTAATTTGTTCATGGTCTAAAGGTTGACTCTATCAGCTAGCCTGCCACAGTCGTAATACAGTTGGAACATAGCCCAGAATTGAAAGTGGAAGACTACATGGTAGTATGAAGGGGTAAAAGCTATAGTTCGGGTCCTTAGGGCTGGCTCTGTGAGTCCCAGCATATTGCCTACAGGAAAAGACAAAGAAATAAAAGGAAAATAAAAGAAAAGAAGCTGTAAAAGCTGATTGGATTGGGGATTGTACTAGAAGAAGACTTAGCATAGCAAGCTCTGCGCTGACATACTCTATGATAGAGAAAGCCCTAAAGAACACAAGCGGCAAAACAACAAGGCAGAATCCTCTCCATAATCAGAACACACTTGATCTAGGGTCCGCAAAATCATGGTCCAACTCCCTTATTCATCTCCTCCCCTTCGGCATGGCCGTTGGCGGAAGTTTCGGATGGGGGATGTATATCTGCTTGGTGGCAACGCAACAGGCGCATTCGGACGTGCAGTGGCCATAAACTCCAGTTGGCTTCTCGGGTTCAAGATAGCCCTGGGGCCGATTATAAACCAGCAAGACCTTTTCGCAACATTTACAGTCTCTACTGCAACATCCACCTATTTCGGCACACCGCTTACGATTATAAACCCAAGTATAGGGCCGCCCTTCTCGATCTCTGTGGGAGTGAAGCAAAAGATAGGGCTTGACCCATAGATTGCCAGGTCTGTTCTGTACCATGTGGAACACTTCCGAATTGTTTTCCCAGAACGCGGCCATAAGCTTCTGGATTTCGGTGGCTCTCTCTGAGTTGGATAGCGCGCAAACAGTCCTGTACTCTGGAGGCACGGTGGACGCAGGGTGCGCTTTCTTGGCTTCCGCCGAGGGAAAATCCAACAAACGACGTCGCCGCTGTAGGATTGCACAGGAACGTACGAGTTCTTCATGGTAAGGATAGACGCATTCCTCGAGGATCTTGTTTCTCTTCTCTTCGGCTTCGGTCACTTTTTTCTCCTCTCCGGTTTCGGTCACTTTCTTCCATTCCTTCATACATTCCTTCTTCCATTCAGCCCATACTTCATAGAATTCACGCTCGCATTTAGGCTGGCTCTTCCAAAACATTGTATCTCAGTCAGGAAGGAAGCTGCTTGAGATTCCGGCTTGAACTTTGTTGGTGACGTGCAACGTGTGTTTATTGTCGAGAGGTGAATCGTAGAGCCCTATATAGACCCCTGTGAATACTGTCTACGGGAGCCCTCCACTAAGATAGTGGAAGGTCCTGATATGATCGGCGGAGGTGTCCGAGCAACTTGAGAGTCCCGAGGGCATCAAAGGTGTGATACTTTGCAGATGTTACGGATTTGACCTGAAGGTATCTTCGCGTGGTGATGACACTGTCTTGTGGTCAGTCGACATCAAAGCGATAACTCCAAACCATATTCGCGTTGTCTGCTGCTTAGCCCTGCTGGAGAACCTTGTCCGCCTGCATTCCCTTCTGGCCCTGCGCAGCTTCAAAGGTGACGCGCTGTCCCTCTTTCAGGGACTTGAAGCCCTGGCCCTCGATGGCGCGGACGTGGACGAAGAGATCGGCACCGGACTCGGGGATAATAAAGCTGTAACCCTTTTTATCGTTAACTTACTTAACGATTCCGTTCTGGCGCTCAGGCATCTTGAATGGACTAATCAGGGAGTTCAGTTTGGATTCTTCAGACAAAGAAAAATAGCTTGGAAGCTCCAGCTGCCGGGAGTGCTGCTTTAGGGATTGATTTGACTGATAGAGTCACTATATCTCGGACACTCATGGCAATGGAATGGTTCAAAGGTAGCCAAAAAATTTCTTTATTTGATTTAGAAGAGGAATCTCCCCTCTGGTCCAATCCACATCCTGCCCCTTTAATACACTCAAAAACCGACCTCTTTCTTTCCTCGTACCTCCTATCCTTAGCCTCTAGATCTGGGATTTTCCCTTTACGATACACCCTCAAACCGCAAACCTTACTAAGTGTGTCATTTGTTTTAATAAAGTAATATAGATTACGTTCGAAAGTTATATTACTAGTCCAGCTGAAAACAGTGCATCCGATGCTACGCCGGGGAGATTGAGAAGGAAATATGCCATTCGAATTTCTGTTTCTATCGCATTGTCATATTCAGAAAGTCTTTATATGGGAATGTTCGAGACATGAAATGGAGTACATATTTACTTTATCTGACAAGTTTGGAATGAATATACACAGGTCGAAAGGAATGAGCAACTTCGACAGAAACACCATCAATCAAGACGTGTTCTCATCCACGGGTGATTCTTGACTCATCACACCTTCGTTACTAGAGGACGCAAGAGTAACTGACAATCGTTGAACAAGAGTCTCGATCGACGAAAAACAAGAAAAGCACAACATAGATTGAAGAGTATTGAGGAAGCAAAACATCGTCCACCAGTCATCATTCATACTGCCGAGGACATCCACTAATGGAAATGATCAAACGTATCCCCACCGATTCCATGATCATCCTTTGAAGTGCAGCCAACTGTCCTCTTTCCTTCCTCGGCTGGACATGATCCACTGCCCCGTAGTCAAATCATGTCAAATGCAGAACGACTTCACAGCCCGCAGATGGACCTTTCCAAGCCCGTCAAGAAGAACAAAGGAACGACAAGATGGATAGTAAGGAGAGCTTCCCTATGTACAATTGCTCGCCACACCCGCCCAGTAGTAATACAGCAGTGACCATACAGAAAGAAAGGGTATAAGCGCCTACCCACGCTGTTTGGACAAAGGAAAGACGACAGCAATAGTAAAGTGGTGGACGCATCTCGTGGGCCGTGAAACGACGCCACCCGTGCCAGCGTTGCATGGCTAATTCGGCCATCGTGAAGGAGTGGAAGGTAGGGGGGGATAAAGGAGATAAAGTGGGGAGTAAAAGGGATAACAAAGAGAGGAAGGGGATAAAGAAGATTTAAAAAGGATTGTGGGTGATAAATATGATTATGACTATAAGTTGGGAGCATCTTGGAGGACCTACCTAAAAGAAGACAGGGAAAAGAGCGAGGGGGGGAAGATGAGAAAAAGGAGTGTTGTTGGTAAATATAGATTCTCACAAATAAGTCGCGAGAGTCATGGAGAGACTGAATAGCCAAAGACACAAAAAGTCAGACACTAACAGGCAAATAGAAGGTTGAGTGAGTGATTGTTGGAGAGGAGAAGAGACTGGGCGCCTCTCGAAAGTAAACGAACTTTTGACCCAGAGCAAGTCCTTCCTTCCTCCTTCCTCATACTGCAGCGACATACTCGTAATTGTTCCTTCCTAGCTTATACCTGGAGAGGCGGTATGTTACCTACCTAGGCAGTAGTAGTTTGCCAGAAGATTAATCACCTACGACAAGTGGATCGCTCAAGCCTTGGGGACGTCGGTGCCCTAGTGATTGATTTGACAGCCACCTGTGATTATGCTCGCTCCCTCTGCATAATCAGCATATAATGTACACATTTACAGAGCACCAAGGTAGACTTCAGTAAGAGATTCAAGGGTAGCCAAACATGCGTATACTTAATTCAAAAGGAACACCTCCCCTCCGGTCCAATCCACATCCCACTCCCCACGATACCCTCAAAAGCCAATTTCTCTCTCTCCTCCCATGTCCTGCCCTTAGCCTCTAGGTCTAGAACTCTCCCTTTTCCATCGCGCTCGCGAACCCCGCTGGAATCGAACTTCCAGTTGTGCCGTTTCTTGGCGATACGACGTAGATCGCGCTCGAAGGTCGTATCGCCGGTCCAGCCGAGGACGGCGCATCCGATGCTACGCCAGTGAGAGACGATGATGTCGACGCGATGGTGAGTGTTGGTATTTTTCTTTCTGTCCTTTGTGGGTGACTCAGTGGGGCTAGTAGGGAGAGGATCCTGCCAAACCACCAAAGCTTTATCCAGACTGTCAAAGTGGCGAGCTCCTTCAATGGCATCCCCTCGATAAGGCAAGGACTGCTGATCGCGGTCCGAGGTAGAAAGATTCAAATGCAAGGTGTGAGTGATATAATGCTCGGATTCCAGACTACCAACCACATCCACGATCAAATCCTGCGTAACGGACTCATCCCGATGCGTAAGAATGACATCGACATCGCCGCATGTTTCCTTGCCACGACGGTACCCGCCCACGATGATGCATTCGACGCCGACGCCGTCGTAATGCGCGTGCGGACGCATTTTATGTGCATGGCGCTGGACGGTGGATGCGATGGTCTCGACCTGTGAGCGGGACATGCCCCGGAGGAACTCGTCGTAGTATTTCACCCCGATCTGTTGTACGCGGGACAGGCCCGCCCAGCCGTGCAGGATTATGTCGTCGAGATCGCGCCACTGGCGGGTATAGTAGAATTCACGGGCGGTTTTGGCGCCCACGCCCCAGATCTGATTGAAGGTGTGGAGAGTGCGCAGGGTGGGGTCTTTGTCGAGTTGAGAGGCTGCTTCGAGGGAGCCATTTGGGCTAGATTGATATTCGGAGAAGAGGTGCGCGATCTTGGCGTCGCAACCAGGTAGGGATAGGATTTCTGACGCGCGGCGGAACTTGTAGGGATACGCTGCTATAGCGGCGATGGAGGTGCTGTAGGCGCGTACGCCGATCTCGTCGAGTGTGAGTTGGCGAATTTGGCGGATCTTGAGAAGTTGTTGGATAAAGGCTTCGTTTGGGGGGTGGAGGGGGCTGCGCCGTTGGCAGGCGTATGGGAGGCGGTTGACGACCCAGTCTGGGGGTGGTGGGAGAGAGGTTTTGTTATCTTCTTCGGCTTCGGAGGTGGTGGTGCGGTGGAGTTTCGGTGGAGGTGGTGGATGGGAAGAAGGCGTAGAGGCGTCTTGACGCACTCGTTGGAGGATGCTGGTTGGTTTGGTGATTGGTGGTGACCTTGCTTCTGCTCCTGCTGGACGAGCGACCTTGCGAGCTTTATATAGTAGGTATGAATCTATCGGGAGGAGGGAGTTGGCGGCGATGCATTCATCGAGCCAGCTTAGTTTCACGACTTGAATGACGTTGGGTTCGGCCCTTGCCGTTTCCTTGGAAGGAACGGCCGACACAAGTTCCGGTCTCTGCAGATGCTTCTCACCCCGATGCCCTTCCATCCCGTCTTCTTCGCTCTCGGTCTCAGTGTCCAAATCAATCGCCTCGTTGGAAGGACCGGTCATATTAGGCGTATCATCCCGACTCAGCCCATCGATCCTAGCTCCCTCAGAAACTCTGGCCCTTTTCGCCGGCGGCTCTTCCCCTTTCCATCTCCCAGCAGGTGAAACAGATGAATGGGAAGCAGGCACCTCCTCAGTCCATACCCCCCTAGCCCTCAACTCCAACGCCACCCTCTTGCTATGACTCAGTCGTCCGAGGACGACGCCCGCCTCGGAGATGTCATACGTTAGATGAGCGGCGCCGCGCACCAAGTGATCTTCGATCTGGTGGAGAGCGTCGAGGGATAGATGTGTTGGGAGGACGAAGATTGGTGGGAGGGATTGTAAATTTAGGGGTGGTTGTGATCCAGCTTCTGTTTGGCTTTGAGATTGAGATTGAGGTTGCGTTTGCGTTTGCGTTTGCGTTTGGGATTGAGTGCCAGAGCTAGATTGGGGTTCTGTTTGCTTCATTGGCTCTGAGGCTTGATGGGTTGGTAATGTGGACATTTTGTCCCTATAAATCTTGATGGTAAATGTATATAGTCGAGGATATCCGTATAAAGAGCAAGCATCCAGATCACATTATGTATACCCGAATATAGACTCGACAAAGCGATAGATATAAACCCAAGGAACGGGACCTGCTCTGGGTAAACAGAACATGCCGATTTCTATGCCAAACCAGGATGCGACTGATCTGGAGACTATTTGTCTTCTCCAGGACACAATGCTTCAGTCAACCTGCAAAATTTGTCATTTTCATGTCCCAGAAAATCCCAGAGCAGCTGACTAACGAACCTTTATTTCGAGATATGAATCATCTCAGTCGAACTCTCGTTCACGATGAGCCGGTCATATTAACGTGATGGCAAAATTTGCACGACGCGCATAGCTGGCTCGTCAGGGTGAACGTGGATTCAGTTTGGACTTGAGCTTGAAGTGACAAAGGTCGAACTTCGAGGGCGATGTCGAGTTCGTGTTCGGGTTGTTTGCTTGGGAGTTGACGTCACGTTACCTCATAGTCACCGAAGATACGTACGTAGTTATCGGTTGATGCCTCAGGTGTCACTTTTGATATCCGTGGATTAGTCTTGGCATCTGGATTTCCCTTTTAGGCATGGCTTGACTAGAAACTGACGAACCTAGTTTGATTCGGTATGTTATGGTTTCCTAGTTCATTGCCAGCATTGCTTCTAAAGGCGACTCATAGATGTGGAAAATAGAAAATTAATCATTATAGTGGACTTGATAAGTCAAGGTATACCTTAGATTGAGGATGTCCCACTAACCAGTAAACTGAACTTCTAACTCACCATCTTTATAGATCCAAATATACCGCACTCAATGCCAAACAAGGTACCCATCTTAAATCTCCGCCCATCAATCAACATCTCAAGCCGGTCCATCATTCCTCTCCGCAACTGCAACTCTCGTCTCTCCCTTCCCCGTCCCAACCACAGACCCATAATTCACACCCGGCGATCCCCCCCTCTCTTCATTCAAAATCGGCGTATCAGGTCTCAACTGCCCCTCCTGATGACCATGACCATGGCCCTCTTCATCCTCTACAAACGTCTTCCCATGCCGTCTCGCAATCCATCTTCTCCACGGCTTATACGCAAACACACTTAGGGTGCCGAAAATGAGGAAACACCCACAGATGCCCCCACCGATGGCATCATAATAGTCGCCAGCGGTCTGGACACCGTCCCAGAATCGGCCCGTCGGTTCGGCGACGTTCAAGACGAGGGTGAGTAGCTGGATGATACCGATCACGATGGCCACGATCACGGTCAACGTGGTGAGTACAATCGAGTAGTATAGGAAGGCGATGGGGTCGCGGTGGTTTTGGGATTCGACTTCTTCTGGTTGTTCGGTATCAGAGTGGGCATCGCTTTCCTCTAGCAGTGGCGAGGATACGCTTTCGCGTTTCGGCGGGAGGAAGTTGGCCGCGGGTTGGATGTACAGGGAGAGCATGAGGGCTCCGTCGGTGGTGTCGAGGAGACACATTCCGGCTGATTTGTTAGCGGGTTTTGCGTTCAATCTAGGGAGGGATGGGGGGGGGGGGGGTACATACCGGTGAAAAGAATCGGGAAGATCAAAATAACCCAGAAATCAGTCCCGCGGGCAGCTTCAATCGAGGAGATACCCAACAGCGCAATCTCGGAGGACGTGTCGAATCCAAGACCGAACAAGATTCCAAGCGGATACATTTTCCACGGACTATAGCCATAGTTAACAATCATTAGCTCTGTATGTCTTGTTCTTGGGTAGGCATGCATCTACTCACCGATCAATCAACTTGAACATGCGCTTCAACACCGAAAACAAAACACCTCCGCCTTCGATCTTCCACGCCTCGTCTTCCTGGCCCTCCGGAAGATCCAGCACCTTCTGCATCTGCATATACAGCTTATACAGAATGTACCCGTTCATCAGACCCAGGAGGATCAAGAACGCGGCGCTGACCGACGTGCCGATGATACCGCCGACGGTGCTGAAGCTGTCGAAGCGCGAGGACACGGCCGCTGCGGTGGCCGCGACCACGATGGACGTGATGATGACGATTCTGTTGATGTTAGTGTTCTGTGTTGAAGTCGGTAATGATATGCATATCGAATGGCACTTACGTCGAGTGTCCGAGGGAAAAAAACGTGCCGACAGTGACAGGACGCTGGCCTGTTGCCAGCAGTCTCCGGGTCATCAGATCGATGGCCTACATGCAATCGTTAGCATCACTTCCACTACCTACCAAGTTCATAAAGCAAGAGCAACAAACCGAAATATGATCCGCATCAAACGCATGTCTCAAACCAAGGGTATACGCAAGCACGGCATTCGAAACCAACGACCTAAACACCACCACCATCACAGTCAGCCTGACTCTCCCAACAAAGAGACCTTCCTAGCTAGACATACGGATAATAACGCTACAATTCCATTAGCCAAGTCCAGTCCACCAAGCACTTAAATAGAACATACCAACACGATAGCGGCCGCAATCCAAACCACCACGTTTATCAACGCCACGAACAAGATCACCGCGATCGCGCGCAACGGGATCTTTCGGATCCCGGGCATGCGACTGTGCGAGCGCTCGGCATGTCGGATCAGGGCCTTGGGAGACCAGTTGCTCTCCGTGTTGGCCGGGCGGGATGAATGCGGGGAAGTCGGGACGTCCGGGGAGGACTCGAGGACGGTGGCGGAGTTCCGCATGAGGATTCTATATATTAGATTATAGACGTAGATCAATCAGTGGCAATACGCTATATGAGAGAAAAAAGATATGTCGAGAATCAGAGATGGCGTGATGTGCAGAGAGTCGACTGTCAAAATTGGAGATTGTAGAAACGATGGACTTTTTTTCTTTTTTTCCTGGCGGAGGAGCACCACGATAAGAGATAAGGATGACCAATATCTATCGATTAATGGAGATAAATCTGAATACAAGAAACCCACCAGGTGGTCCGTCAGGTAGGATTTGGATTTTATAAATTAATTCTGTGGTGCTAGAAAAGCTTATGTCTGCTGGGCACTTGTTAGCACCGCCGCGAGAAGGCCGATGTCGCCTTGATGGCCGTCGGCATCCGCGAGGTTTTGAGGGCTTTTCTTGCATTATTCTAAGTACTAATCCGTACGGAGTAGGTAGTATTCTATTAAGGTAAAGAGGGATATATTGTAAGTCATTCATTCATTATCATTATCATCACTCATGTCCCTGTACGAGGGAGGTAAATATATACAGGCAAGATAAGTTTCTTTTCGTCTGTTAGAGACGGCATCTTCGTGCCTCTGGAATCTGGATATTTTTCAATCCTCACCCTCCCTGTCGGGGCAGTTCGCCGACTGGACGGCGCAGCCCCACCGTGTCGGCAACGACAGGTTTTTGTCGATGCGTCGATTCCGAGTGGTCTTTGCTGCAGGACGCTATACTGAGAACGTCTACCCGACGTGAGCGTGGGTCCTGGCGCGGTGGATCGCTCGAGACCCCGTCGGACTGTGGAATAATGCGAATTATAAAGAGAAAATTCCCGCCGTCGGTCTGGCCCTGTCGAGTGCCAATTATCGCATGTGATCTGGCATCGTTCGACAGAATGTACCCACGAGATAGGTTGACCAAGAACCGGCAGTCATGACATCCACATCACGCATTAAGATCAAGCTGCCGCCAGCACGGTCGGCGACGGCGTCCACTTCGTCACGGTCGGCTTGACGTGTTTGAAGTCCGTCCCAACCAGCATGTTCCATTCGTTTCGCGTGATGGGCGTCACATCCGACGCGGACTGCGGCGTCTTGGGGCCTCGTTTGGTCGGCATGCGCGATCGCGGCGGGCCCGCCTCGCGAGGAGAGCGGATGGCGCCGCGCAGAGGGGATTTGCGCACCGATCGCACCGTGGAGGTTGGTTTGGCGGGCAGCGGCTTGCTGGTGGGGGTGGGCTTTGCGGGAAGAATTTTGATGGCAGGCGTGGTGGTGGCGGTAGTTGTAGTTGTCGTGGTCAATGTCGTTGAGACCGGCTTCGTGGTTTCAACCTCAGGAACCGACTGCATCGCCGGCTTCATGGCAGCGCCTTTGCCGCCCATCCTCGATGACGACTTCTTCTTCGACATCACCGGAGCTCTCGTCGCCGTCTGCTCGGCAACGCCACCCCTCTCAGGTAGCACGATGCCTTCGACGCCATAACTCCTTCGATAGACGTCGGCGATGTGCATCAGCAGCTCGTCCCGCACGTCGAGCTGCTCGTACACACGATGGAAAAACGCCTTGCTGAACGGCCGGCCCTGGAAGTCTTGGATGGTGCGATGCAGCAGGCTGACACACGATCCGACGTACTCGTCCTTGGCGTGTGGGCCCCTCGAGGACAGGATACACAGTCGGCGCTTAAACGTGTAGATGCGGTCAACGTTCAGCAAGGTGAGACCCTCGCGACTGAAGACGACCTCGTTCTGCATGATGGATTGCTGGATGAGATATTCGTTGGCGTGGCGCTCGTACTGAGCACGGACTAGCGCATCGGTCCAGCTGGCTCCCAGGGAAAATTTGGCGGCGCCCTTGGCGACGGTGCGGTGCACGATGCGCACGGAGGTTGGGTCCAGTGGGCTGATGGGGATGACCATCAGGTCGGAGGGCGTGCCGGTGGGGTAGGGCTTTCCGCGGCCGACGAGCAGCGTGACGTGCATCATTTTCTGTTGTAGTTTGCGGGAGATGTACTCGAGGGCGGGCAGGCTGGAGGCCGGCAGGGTCTCCGAGTCGAAGGTGAAGTCTGAGGAGAGCGGCGGGGAGATCATGTCGGGGGTGAGAGTGCGAGTGGATGAGGAGGCAGAGGATGAAGGAGATGGGAGAGAGTTGGGGACGTAGAGGGCTGTAGGGCGGGGAAGACGGATGACGCCCATGGTGACGGTGTATAGGAGTGATCAAGATGAAGATAAAGATGAAGGATCGAAAGTGGTATGAGTGTGGTGGTGAACCACAGCAACAACAACCCAGGATACACTGGTCGTTGAAGAAAAAGAAAGATCAGATTGCAGAGGAATGAGTCGAGATAAATAGATCCCGTTCATCACACCATCCCAAATGCAGCTGGAAGGGAAGGACAGGACAAGAAGAGAAAAGAGGGGAACCCGGCCAACTAAGCAGCTGCAGGACGTTCTAATCATAGCAAAATAGGGCCCTCCACCCCCAGTCACCACCAATAATCAGAGTCCCGACGGAGTGGAAGCCAATGTGTCCCCGGACTATAAATACCTTTAAGCGCCGACTGTTGCCATCTCCTGCATATCACACCCCGTCATTGGCCAATGCGACCACCAAAATAGCAACAATTAAGAACCAAGTCGATCCCTAATTTCCCCCCACTCCCCTCCACCCAGCACACGGAGTCACTGAATTTGCCCTCTTTTCCATCCATACAAGACCCCCTGTTTATCGCCCACCCCCGCTTCTTGCAGCCTGCGTCCCGTCATCAGGCATGATCCGGCGTTGCGTGCCATGTCTTGTTCAGCCTTGCATCGCAAGGTAGGAGGGGAGGGATTGGTCCCCGGACGCCCACCATAAGCACTTATTCCGGACTATTGAATCTCTGCATAGATTGCGCGCTTGATCGGGGATTTTGACAGGCGGCTTTCGTCACTTCCGTTCGGGCCGGCGGTCGTCGATGGCTCGATTGGGCGTCTGGGGTCCTTTGTGTCCTTCTGGATTCTGACAGGTGTCGGTCCAGACTTTGGCCGTTGGACTCTCGTGGGTGATGGAGCTGAACGTTGAGCGGGGGAGGGATTTGTTTATCTGCACTTGCAGACCCGACTATTGGATTTCGGCGGTAGATTTATGCGGTCTGATTCGTTTGGCTATGGGGATGTCTTGATTTCTGGGATTGGAGTGGTGACCCATTGGTTTGGTACGTAGACGTGTCCATTTTGGATGGATATCCATGATTCATGACAATGACAACATATGAGGGGTTTTGATCCATCGGATGATCACCTACAGTAGAGAACAGAAGATACTATCGTGTGATTGGTTTACATAGAAGCATCTATTAACTGTCCAGGTCAGCCTCACAACCCAACAAGCTCACCATCCTTATGACATGGAGACATCCATCGAATAAACGAGACCAGAATGTCGGGTAATCAGGTCCAAGGTCAACACTTCCACAGAGAACATAGCCCACAGTGTCCAAATGTGGGGGCCAAATGACCCTAGGCCAGACCATCCACTAGACAGAGTACACAGGGCAACAGTTAGACCAAGATAACCTAGCCCATTAGGCATAGGAACTAGGAGTGTCACTTGGATGGATCAAGAATATGGGTACCCCTCTCCTCTCGCTCGGCTATTAACCCGTTTTGTTTTTCAATCGTTTCCTCCCTGGTTCTGTCCTACACCCTTATGCGCCGCACATTTGAGGGTGGGACTGACACGTGGAGTCTCCATGGATGTTGCATACAGCCGTACACAGTATAGAGAGAACGTGTTGAGCAAACGCGCCTGTTTCCTAAAACATCTCAGGAATTCAAACAGATTATAGCGAGTTGTAGATAAGGATATGAGTGACTGATTGATTTAACAAAGTAGCCATTCAACCTACTCAGTGGATAGACCCAAACCGACTGCAGGTTACCAGCTTAGCTCACTTTAAGCTCACGTACCAGTGTAATAGTGTTCACCTCAGGCACGGAATCTGGTTGATATGGCCGACAGAGCCCACTTGGTAGCTACGTGTAGTACGGAATAGTCACTTAACCGGTGAGCCTATCCAACGCAACCAATCGGTTCGGTGACACCAAAGACACCCCGCACTCCGTTCTAGCTTGCTTCTAAGTACCTAAACCAGGTTCCAGACTAGCCTAGCACCCGTGCCGGCAGTGGTGCATGGTGGGGTGTCTAGAAGGAAAGAAGAGGAAGATGATGGCGGCGAGGGAAGGGGAAAGGGAAAGTGAGAAGTTATATACGGCTTGTCCTATCCCACCAATGGAGACTAGTGTGAGAGTATGGCAAGGGGAAACGGTTCCTGTGGGATTCGTGGAGTTTGGGATTTCGGGCAATTAAGACCGGTCTTACCAAGGTGCAGGGGGGATTTAGCATTTACCATCCATGTCTCCGGATAGGATGCTCATCCCACCGTTGTCACGCGCGAACGTCCGCCCCAAGACGCAAGGATGCAGAGTACATCTGACCTAACCGTATCCAGCACCGGAGCGTTGAATAGCCCCGGTGAATCTGGCCCGATATCTCCCTCCACGGCATCTCGGAGATAAAGGGCCCAATCATCGGTCAATCCATTTGACCACGGACCGTATCTTCCGGGAAAACAAAACTTGGCAATCTCCTAACACGCGCGAATCCCGCTCCTGCTGGAATCCCGCCTGCTCCCCCATTGGGCGGAGTCTCATCAGGGCATTTGCTCGACTGGGTTGTCCGATTCACGGCCTTGGAAATAGTGACCAGATATCAGGATAACAAGTAGTGGGAAAATCCCTTGGACTGGGTAGCTGCCGAGAAACCGACGATATCAGGATATCACATTTCTCCTCGTCAGGCGGCCTTGACCCGATAAGAATCCGGGGGAAAGCGGATTCCATTACCTAACGAAGTTCGCGGGTGCCACAGTCCAAGTAATATAGTTCGACTCCCCACTTATGTCGTGCGAATCCTTTGGGAGACCGGGCAGGAAAAAGGGGGAGGTCTTGGAGTTTATAGTCACGGCGTCGGAAGGAGATTCACGAAGTCAAATTCCTGGTTCCCCCCGAATCGATCGGAGAATTCTCACGGGTTGTCACGCCGGGAAACACTGGGTAAAAATGCAGCATCTTCCGGCAGCACTTCCACATGGCCGAAGGGTTCTAGAAACCCTCCCTGGACAGCCGAGGAGATAAGCGGTGCATGCTGATTGGCAGGTTGGGGGAGACGAGATAAACCCGGTGATAGCGGTCTTGGCACCTCTGGGGGTCTTCCAGGTTGCATTGGCCGGTGACAGCCAAGCCGCGCCAAGACCACCAGGACCCCGTCCCCATTGGCTTTGCTTCTGCGGGGTGAGAGCGAAGGTTTTTGGGCTTTCGCTTTGCGTCGGCTTCGTCGTGCTTATTTCGAGAAGGCTTGCGGAAGAGGGTGTGCAGCAGAGTGAGAACCAGAGTTGGAAATAATGGCCAGAAGAAAAGGATTCCGTTTCTGTCAGAATCCTGCCCCTAGTCCGGTAGGAACCTTGGGGCGGTTCTTACCCCGGATAACAGCCAGTTTCCGTGACTAACAGCAAAGGCTAATCTCGACCCAAGCCTTTCGCTTTCCCCGGATGGGTCTGTACTGAACAGGCCTCCCCGTCCATGAATGTCGGGCACCCGGGCCAAGCCTCTCCGCCTCTTTCCTCGCATGGCAATTATTCTTTTCTGGCCCCTGTACACCTATTCCCACTCCGGCCACGCTACCTATTCTATCGCGTCTGCCATCGGCTCTGCCGTCCCTATACGGGAGGGGCAAATCATGCCGACCCTGTCAAGCTAGCTGTTAGTCTGCGGTGGCTAATCATCAATTCGGAATTCTAATGGTGTAATACTGGGATTTCACACGTTGTCGTGATAGCTTCCCCGCTTATCTCACCGTAGACATTATTATGCTGATTATTGGATCTTTATTTGCCATCTGCATGCTGCCTCCCGACGCCTAAATACTCCTCCCCTCCCCGTTACCTGCCACCCCAGCATTTTCTCTTCTGTCCTCTTTCCTCTTCCTCCCTCTTCCTCCTCTTCCTCCTCCTTCCCCTCCTCCTCTTCATCTCTTCGGTCTCTCCTGTCTCTACGCCCCATTTTTACTGCTCCGACCAGTTCGAAGGAAGTACCTCCATCCCGTCGCCAACCGACGGTAGAGCGTGCCTGCCTGTTTGCGCACGCAATCCGCTTCTTTCTTCTCTCCCCGCAGTTGGCTGTAAAATTGCTCTCTGCGCGCCATGGGTGTGATGGATTACAAGAACGAAGGGCTCTCTACGGAGATGCCCATCAAAAATGAACTATCCGCGACGGAGGAGGGCACGATGACCAATGGTCACCATACCAATCTGCATCGCGACCTCAAAGCCCGTCACATTACTATGATCGGTACGCCTCCCGCTTGGGTCTCCGCGTCGACGAGCGATTCAGCTAACCTTCCGCAGCCATTGGTGGCGCTATCGGTACGGGTCTGATTATTGGAACGGGTTCGGCTCTGGCAAAGGCTGGCGTATGTGCAACAGTCCCGAGAAAAGACAATCGCATGAGCTAATTCCGGATCTCTAGCCCGCCTCTATCCTCATCTCTTACTCCATCGTCGGTTTCGTCGTTTATCTCGTCATGTGCGGTCTCGGTGAGATGGCCTCTTGGCTACCTCTTCCGTCAGGTTTCACCGGTTATGCCACGCGATTCGTCGACCCTGCCATGGGTTTTGCTATCGGTTACACGTATGTTCCCTTGTCTATGAGTTTCCTACTCATGCGGCTGCGAGAATGTTTTTACTAACGAGTCACCTCGGTAGATATTGGTTTAAATATATCATTGTCACACCAAACCAGTTAACAGCCGGCGCGTTGGTCATACAGTATTGGATAGACACAGAACGGGTCAATGCAGGTGTATGGATCACGGTGTTCCTTGTGTGCATCGTCGGCATCAATTACTTCGGAGTCAAATTCTTCGGAGAATTTGAATTCTGGTTGTCCTCCTTCAAGGTCATTGTCATTCTCGGCCTGATTCTGCTGTCCTTCATCCTGATGCTCGGAGGAGGCCCCGACCATGACCGCAAAGGTTTCCGCTACTGGAAGGAGCCCGGCGCGTTCAACACTTACATCGACGACGGCGCAGCCGGGCGATTCTACGCCTTCTGGGCCACCATGGTCTCCGCCACCTTCGCCTACCTGGGTACCGAGTTG